ACTGTCGAACGCACTGTTGAGCGAGCGTGCAGTTGAGCGAGTACTGTAGTTGGACGCACTGTTGGACGCACTGTTGGACGCACTGTTGGACGCACTGTTGGACGCACACTATATAGTATTGAAACGCACTGTCGAACGTACTGTTAGTTGGGCGTATAGTTGGTTATGCAGTTGGGCGTACAGTTGGGCGTAGACTTTTTCGATTATACTTAGTAGGTCTACTAGTAGTAGTAAACGTAGAAATAGTAATAAAATCGATTTATAGCCGTATCTAGGCTCTAAACCGTATTCGAGACTCTCGAGGTTTAACACCGTATTAATACGGTGTTGAGCCTCGAAATCGATTCCACTACTGTTCGAAACCGGTTCTAAACGTTGATTTTATCACCGATTTAAGCACGCCGACTCGGATCGAAACCGGTTTAGAACCGATTCGGATCCGTAGTGGAGCCGGTTTCACTACGGTTCGAAACCTTAACGGATACTATATCCCGTATTAACACGGTGTTGACACGGTATTGAACTACTCTAATATGGCCTATATAGAACCGAATTGAATACTCTATAGATCTAAACTATATTAATACGATTCAAATACGGTTTTAATCTACCTTACTAAGTATACTAGTACTCTCTATAGTATACTTGGTGTATAGATAAATAGTTAGTTCTAAGTTGGTTCGAAGCCGATTTAAAGACATACTTATTAAAACTAATGCGAAGCTTAATACCATTAACACTATCTATACTAGAATTAAGCCTCGAATCGATTTTACTATAGTTCGAAACCTGTTCTAATACGGCTCTAAACATTTATTTTATTACTGATTTAACTATATCGACTTAAATCGAAACCGATTCAGAATCGATTCGAAACCGGTGCCGAACTAGTACGAAACTATATTAAATTCCTACCCCTATAGAAAGCTCTACTATAGTTCGGAACCGATTCGAAACCAGTTCGGTTCGAAACTAGTTTTACCACGATTCTACTATAATTTCATCGGATTACTATACGTAGTACTAGTAGCTTTAAGTATTGAAACCGTATTAACGCGATTTAGGTATACTTAGTAGTGTCCGATACGATTTAAAACTATAGTAATACCGAGTTAAAGCCATAGTAAAACCGATTCGAAATCGATTCGAAGCTTGTTCGGAACTATAGTAGATACTATATTAAAATTGTATTACTATAAATAGTACTTAGGAGTACTAGTATTTATAAGCTTGATTTATCTAGCTTCGAATCGATTCAGATCAACTTTAAGCTTTCTTTCTCCAAATCGACTTCGAATCGGTTTCGGAACTATATTAATATAGGGTTAATACTATATACAAAACTAAATTTACAACCCTAGCTTATACAGTTCCGAACCGAACTTGAATCGACTCCCAATCGATTCGGAACTATATCGGATATATATTCGATCTCTTAAACTGTTCTTAAATTATCCCAACATGGGTTTTATACCATGTGCTATGTACTGTATTGATCCTTTGGGGTTGGGTACCTACATGTCTATATTACTATCAATGCTTAAAAGGACACCATTAGGTACTAGTACATAGTAGGCCGATCTTGTATTGTCGTAGAAAAAAAGTTATATTATGGATTTTTTTCATCCCGTAATAAATATTTATATTATATAATAATACGCAGTCGAGCACACAAAACTCCTGCTAACATGGCCAAGCCTGGCTTGTCGAACTGCTCTCGTAGCCACCAAAGCAGGCCGGGCTCATTCACTCCACGACATTTCCAGCCCCATGCCATCGTTGCTGATGACACCTGTCCCTCTCCCAAAGCTGGCAATGTGTACCATGTTGTACTGCTCTTGGTGTGTCGTGTTGGTCTCTGGCAAAGTATGCCAACACTGTCAAAAATGGACCTTGCCTTCCGTCCTGGGCGGAATTGCCGATGCCCGAAGAAGCCGATATACTCAGTCGTAGTCGGTCCGCGGGTCGACCATTGTGATCCGTCGATAAACATAACCATGGTTGTCCGTGGCGGGATAAATACTCTCGCGTCCAGCTGTACCGTGGTGCTTGACGGCACTTCCCCCATGATGCTCGCTTGCATGTCAGACGTAGCCAATGCTAAAGCCAAGCTATTCCCACATTCCCTTGCGAGACCATGTCAGCGTCGACGTACGCGGTCAAGCCGGCATCCCCACAAGCAGTCACACACATGATGGCCGGTGCCGCGCCGTTTGGGTCCATGCCATAATATGGTAACGTAGGGGTATTTCCGCCTTCATGCGATGTTGAGGCGAGATATCTATATCTTGGTCCGCCACCACAATCGAGCGGTAAAGAGGGCCACGAGGATCCCTGGACCATGTAATGTCCTTGCCCCTCTTGCACCTGGACCTGGTCGGCATGTTCACTGGTGAAGAATTGGACCACTGGCATTCCGCTTCCGCCCGAAGGAGGGATCTCGGGGTTGTCAAGGACATCATATGGTTGTTGTTGCAAACTTGCGTCCGTTGAAAACGCAGGTGCAGGGAAAGATCTCTTGTACCATTGTGATTGTCCATGTCCATCTTGTGCGTCAGATATCAGAGGCAGAGGTTGTGGAGTCGGTGGAGCAGTCATGGCAGTGGAAGTTGATAGAGGCGATGTGCTCAAAGATGGAGTCGGTACATAGCCCGACATCTCGCTGTGTTGACAGGACGTAGCAGCAGCAGCAGCAGCAGCTACTACCGCTTCTGCGGCCATCATCGCTTGGAGTTGTTGTCGTCGTGTCTCGCAGTAATTCTTTTCATGCCTATATATACGTCGATGACAAGCCGTCAGCTACTGTATCTGGAATCATCTTGCCGGGATGGGGGCCATCATATGAAAGATAGCGAAAATTCTTACCGGTCTCGCAAATCCGGCCGAGAGTAGCCGTTCCCACAATACTGACACGGATACTTTTGGGGGTGAGAATGCTTCTGTCCCCGTCACCAACAGTAAGTAAGGATCATCATTGTTGAGACTCGACCGAGGATGTACAGTACATACGCTTTTGACATGGCGGGTTCGATCACCAGCCCGCAGAAAGCTTCTCGAACATCCCGCCTGCGGACAGGGTAACAACTCCCGGTGTGCTTTGTGCGTACTCATGTGGCTTCTGAGAGACCCGCGCCTCTTGAATCGCGCGCGACATATGCGGCATTGTAGTTCAGGGCTGACAAGAGCGTCGCGTGCGATGGTCGTAAAAGAACTGAATGGTGCGGGAAACGGGACGACTGGTGATGGCGTTGGCGCATTATTCATCGAGTAGATGCCTTCCACTTGACCCCAAGACTGGGAGACATTGAATTGCCCATTGTCAGAAGGGTTTGCGAGGGATTGTGTTCCTGCAACAGGGACATAAGGTGTCGCCATTGCAGGCACAGCCGTCACAGCTTGGTCGAGCGGATGAAACTGAGATGAGATTGGGAAGTAGATTTGTTCGCTATCTGAATTCGGTGCTCGAAAGGCAGCTGCATGAAAGCGGTCAAGGTCTGTAGGCTCGGAACAGCGAGGGACATTATAGTCCGGAGGATATTTTCGATCATTCAGAGAAGAATCTGGTAATTCCATATCGACAGATAGAGTAGGCTCGCCAACGAGACGCTGATAGATAAAATCACAATAACCTCCCAGTATCCTCCGGGAACGAAAAGGCTTTTCAATGCATCTGATCAAGAAAGGTTCTGTTTGACGGAATCCAACTCCTACAATCAAGATATGCTTCGATATTGGAGGGACCACTGCCTGGTCTGGGCAGTGCTACAGGCCGTAGCTTCCCCGGGGCAGTGTCCCCACCCAAGCGCCGCTCAGGCTGTCTTCGGAAACAAGTGTGCTGTTTGGAGGGACAGACGCACTCGAGTTCCTAGCGTAAAAGGCCAAGCAGCCTTCGTAATAGAGTTAATGCATTAGTGTGGCCAGCACACGACAGGCGGGCAGATCCAGACATTGCCGTCCCCAATGACGGCGGGAGAAAATCGACGAAAGGGTCTTGGAGCTCCGGGATGGCAGTGTGGTGGGTCATGGAGGTCATTCTGGTACGGAGAAATTGCTGTACACCCCGGTCGAAGGTTTTGCAGTTTATGGTCAACCAGTCATCATCGAGCAAGAACGTGCAGACCTTGAATCATGCATCTCCATTGATTCGCTGGAGGATCAAGTCGATGGAATGACAGCAGCTCCTGATGTGACCCTGTCGGCGATGCAGACGATAATGAGGCGTTTGGCGTTTGGCAGGCAGGGAACGATGCGCACCACTTGTGGAGAGCAAGCGGGTCAAAAATCAGTCCTTTTGCTGGCCAGCAACCATCGCCGTCAACCCGTCCACTTGAGCACTCAACTTCTGAACAAGAACAAGCAAGTCGGCATTATCAACACTGCCCGAGGCAGACTTCCCGGTATCACCACCCACGTCGGTCCCCGCGGCTGTTGGTGTCTCGGGAAGCGCTCTTTGAGTGGAGGGCGACTTGGCGTGATCTCGGGGGCTATCGAAACTAAACTGCCCTGCACTAAGGGGTCGGGTGGTCAAGTGCGGAGCTTTACTCAATGTTGAATGTCGCCGGGAGACAATACCTCTGGAGTTCTCGTAGGCCCAGATCATAGCCACAAATGGGATGTGGGTAACCTTGAGCACGAAGATGCGGATTCGCCGGACATCCTCCGAAGGGAAGAACAGCCGAAGCGGCCGCAGAATGGTCAGAGGGAATAGATTGAGCGGTGGCATGAAGTAGGTCAGCCGGTTCGAGGTACTGCTCTCGAGGACGTATATCGAATACTGGAAGAGGTACTCCTCCCTGGCATGGGCCATGACCTGGCGAGCCAATCAGCACAGGCGCTATTGTAGCCGGCGGCTACTTTAGGGTGATGGTCAAGTTGGACGACCCCCCTGGACAATCGACATACCTCTGTCAATGAATTCGAAACCAACGACACAAGGGACGTGATGAGTAGGATGTTGGTCAAGCAAACAAAAATCAGCCTGCAAGACACGGCAAGTTAGCTCGTCCAAACGGTAAGCGCTCAGGTTGACTCCAAATCCTTGTTCACGCGACACTTGGCGATTAAGCGCCGACGATACAGGTCTGCGGCTGAGCAAGTGCAGCAATGTAACTGGCAGGAGAATAGTGGCAGTGGAAGCATACATCAATGGATATCCAAACACGGGAGAAATCTGCGCAGCCTCAAGGTTAGCAGAAATCACAACTAGGGGGTGGCTTGTAGACCTTGACAGCCATGTCGAATCCCAGGTAACTCGAACTGGTCGCGCATTAGTATGTACAGATACTCCAGACCAAGCAAGGCGTGGCATACCCAAAAAAGACCTTGATCAACATCCATGACATCTCGTTAAGTGTCATACGGTCTCGGGCCAGCATGGTGAAGGTAGTCAGAAATCCTGAGCATATTAGGGGAGCTTCATTCCTTAATGCAAGACTTCGACTCACCCAGGTAGAGGACAATGATGACAGGCATAAACTTGCAGAATGCTTTTGTCTGAGTTCTGGTGAGCGAGAACGACGAGTGTTATGGTCTGACCAGCCTACCATTTCCTTCAAAACAGGAATCTGAACGAAAATCGTCAGCAATGTTAGGAATCTGCCCGAAGTCAAAGGCACCTACCAAGCTACCGAAGTAAGGATTCAAACTCATGACCGAGAATATCCTAACGGAACATCAGAATGGTTTGCGTCGGAGGCAGCCAGATTCACCCACCTGGGGACAAGAAACAAAGCCACCATCGACAGGATATCAAATGCCATGTCGGTAATGTAATCGCTGTCTCTGACAAGTCCGATAACACCTACAACAACAATCAGCAAATGCGACCACAGCGGCGGGTCGGGTCAACGGACGCGTCACAACAAAAGCCGCGCTGACCCCAATGATACCGAGATCCCATAGCGACCAAAAATCGACCTGATAGAACATCAAGCCAGCATCCATGACCTCACCAATTTCATCATATGCATATGCCGCGATCCAGATATACAGCAAGATTTCTGTCGGAGTGATGTGCTGCGGGTTGCGCTCCACCAAAACGGCATAGTAGAGCAGCAGAAAGGACAGGAAGAAAGCAATCTGAAACGCCTTCTGATATTTGGGCACCCTGAGGCGAGTGAAGGGGTCAGCCACGCGTTTGTTATAAGCTCGAGGCTTCTTGACAGCGTGGACCGAAAGCGATTCCCAGAAGATGACGTCGCCATTCCAGATATCCTCGACGATCTTCTGCACAGGTGTTTGGGACAGGAACTTCTTCGCATCTCCGATGGCTGCAATCTCCAGCGCGTTCATTCCAGCCATCAACTCCTCCAGATTCATACCCGCAGTATCAGCTGGGTCCTCATCTCGAAAACCATTCGCAGTACCACGCGTGTAGGAAATGCTGGCTCTCTTAGGAGGTCTCAGGCCGTCATGAAGACTGGAGTGAGACCGCAGAAGCGGCGCCCTTTCATCAGACCCATCGTGACCACCCGCCCGGTTGGGATGGTTCTCAGGTGATTCTGGAGAAGAGTTATGCTCTTCGGGACACTCAGGAAGTTCATAGAGCAGGTAATCAATCAACTCCTTCTCCGACAAAAAGGTCAGGAACTGCCACGCAACTAGCTCACAGGCAAGACCTCTGCTTTCGTTAAGTGCAGCGTCTATGTGCCCCGAGTCATTCGTGAAAAGGTAACGAGCAGCCAGCAAAGCAGCAACGACAGCAGGATGGTGACATTCCTCGCTAAGGTTGGCGATCAGGGGTCTCAAACTTTGGCCTGCCACGGTGGTTCGAAGCTGTTCGTAAGTGTAGGCGGCATCAATCGCCTTGGAAATGTACGTGGACAATTTGAAGACAACATCCGAGAAGGATTCTTCGGGGTCAATGATGGGCACATCGTCGTCCATCCACTTGGGACCCTTGACCGATTTGGGGGTTTGAGGAGCCGCCATGGAGGAGTCGACGTAGGACTTGAGATTGAACCGAAGGCCACGGGTGCGCATGAGGAGGGGCGGATAGCACTATCAGGCTATGGGCATATTCTGTACAATGATTGCGAGTTTCACAGTGTCTGAGGCGTCAACGGTCGAGATGATGACAATATTTCGCGTACAAGGTTTCGTGTTCAAACTGGCAGCGGTATACTCCCTACCTATCTACAGTAGTGGCAGGTGAGTGGTAGCGGCACATGCACATACGTGTAGTGGAGCAGACACTCCGCGGTAATCTTGGCAAGACGCCATACGGCGAAGCTTGGGATGATCAGGAGCAGTGGCAGTTTCAGCCTCGAACCTTCCGCCCACCTGGGCACTCAGCCTCGCGTTCTGTCCTGTACAAAACAATGCCAGTGAAAGCAAGTGTCCATCCCTGATGCCGAATTCTTTGACGCCTAGAAAGACTCGGACTCGAGCACAAGAGCCGACGACAAGACGATCCGTTGTTGAGCTAAGATATCTCCCCATCAAAGCTTGATTCTGTTCTCGACCCGCTCGTCTCTTGGCTCCACGGTCAGCACCGACCCGATATGAGCTTGACTTGGACCTCCAGCTCCACTTCAAGTTCCATCCGCCGCGCGCACCAACTACGGAGATAGACGACACACACGGGATGGCCATCATCAAAAGGGACGAAATGCGCATTTTTGGTCGACGTCGTGACTGGTGTAGCCAGTATGAGGACCGGCAAAGATTCTTCGGTCATCGTCGAAATTGTCGACCTTCACTTGCTTCCTTCTTCGGCACCATCATTAGTGGGAAAGTCAGCTAACTAGGAGTAGTATTGTTTTCCTTCTCCTTCGCGAATGGGTTTTGGGCCGAAAATAGGCTATTCCAGCAGTATGCAAATTAATTGCATGAGCACGAGTAAATGCAAGAAAGTTGCCACACGGGGCGAACTCAGGTTCCCGAAGACTAGGCACCACCAGCCGCCAGCACCCAACGCCAACGCTACAAAGACCTTGAGTGATGTATGAGTAATGCCCTTGCTCAACTCTCAAAAAAAGACTCCCTAACTCAGTAATCGACCCCGGAGCCAGCCATCTTATCGTTGACATCAAGGACACTGCATCCGTTAGCTCACACCAATACTAGCCGGGGACGGGAAAACCCACGAATACTGCTTGATCAACGTGCCCTCCCCACCTTTCGCCAGGTCAATGCTGAAAACGTAAAAGTTTCCCTCGTTCGTAACGACCATGACCTGTGGAGAATTAGGGCTCATGGCCACCACACTGCGCAGTTGGCTCGGTGACGCCCCGGAACTGGATTTGGGAAGCCGGATCCAGGCAAAGTCTCGGGAAGGCTCCCATATCTCGGCCACGCCTTTCGGAAGATAGCCGCCGACGGTCGAGGCCAGATTAATTCCCACGTTCTGGGACGTTCTCCGCAACAAACCCAGCAACGTCCCATTCGGCTTACGGCTTGAGATTTCAGTTGGAGACTCCGCGCCATCTCCATCTTCACCGGCTGGGTCGGATGCTGCGTCACTGCCTTGGCTTAACCGCCGGGTAAATGCACTGGTCGCTTTGGTCGGTGAGGCGGGCTGATCCTCTTCGTCACCTGCCCGAGTCGTCTGCGGCCCCAGCTTGAAAATGTGGACCGTCTCCGTTGCGGAGGAAACACATAGGAGAGTGGAAGTTATGTTGAATGCCATGCTGTAGATCCTCGCCGGCATGGAACCCCTTCTGAACTGATATAGCTTGTGAGCATCCGGGACCGAGAATACCCTAATGATTGTGCCTTTGTCTGATGCCGTCGCGAGGATTGTCCCTTCATTATTAAATGTGATACATGAAAGAGGGGAGCGGTGTGCCTCCACGACATTCACGGCCTCCAACTTGATGGCATCGAACAAAAGCACCTCGCCGGAGGTAGGGGAAACGTGGGTTGTATTAGGCGGTGCGTGCGAGGGTGGTGCAGAGGAAGAGTTTGACGCCTTCTGTGGAAGAGGGTATGCCAGGTAGCAATTGTCGGAGGCCGGCGAGAGGGCACAGATGGCTGAACATACTATCAGTCCGGGGTCACAATCAATCAGTCAGACACGGCTTACCAGTGGGATTGGGTGATGTCTCAATAGTGTAGAGCAGTCTCATAGTTTGGATATCATAGAGATATATCTGGTCCTCCAGCACAATGACCAGCCTCTTTCTATTCAAGCGCACCGCCAGGACCGTGGTGGGAAAGGTGAGTTCGCAGATTATCGAGTCTCGCTATGCCCAAGTCAACTCAAGTTACCCGAAGGGAGCGGGACCCGCGCACTTTGGTGTTCTTAATTTGCAATCGTCGAGGGGATAGTATCAGCGCAACGAGAGAGGTGGAAAAGAGCATTTCGAGGATGGCAATGTTGCCGGCCTCTCTGGATTCGTAGCATTTTGCGAAGGGATCGGTTGTGAAGATACGAAATCCGCGAGAAGTGCCTGGCCACATTAGCTAGATAGCATGCTGGGTCCCGAAGTACAGCGTACCGACAGCCAGGTGGCTGTAGTCCTGGTTAAACGTGACAAAGTTCATGGCCATGGTGTAGTATGTGGTGAAAGTAGTACTGGTCGCAGTCAGACTGCTGGACTGCGGAGATCCATGGATGTGAGCCTCGCTATCCGACTGAAGTGTATGTCCGTGGAATCTGACGGCAGCCTTCGTTGCAGCTTGGCTAAGTGGGAGGATTGTCTCACGCAGACTGCAGCTATTTGCAAAGGACCTGCCCGCGGCCGACGACAACAATGCACAGGTCGAAGTTGACCTGGACCCGAAATCTAGAGCCCGGATCGAAAGGCTGCGGGACGTTCGAGTGGACAGCAAAAGTACTGGGCGGATGACTAAGCAGGCAGCCGCCCTCGCCTACGCCGCGTTTATGTGGCACCTACGACCAACACTCGGTCAGTACGACACACCCCTTGCCCCAATCGTACTCTTTGGCTGGTCTGCGGAGTGTTTGAGGCCGAAGGATTTTAAAGGCGGTAATCTGACCATCAACAATGGCAGACAAGATGGATTTGGACGCAGACCCTCCCCGAGGTGTCAAAAGGTCTGCCGAAGAGGCAGGGCTGTCTCTCCAGACTCCCCGTCGGATCAAAGCTCTCGATCCAAATGTGGTCAACAAGATCGCTGCTGGGGAAATCATTGTTGCTCCCATGCATGCTTTGAAAGAACTCCTTGAAAATTCCGTCGACGCTGGTTCTACCGCTATAGAAGTCCTCGTCAAGGATGGCGGGTTAAAACTATTACAGATCACAGACAACGGTCACGGCATTGAGGTATGTTCACAGGCGGACAAATCATTGCATTGCCAACGGTCACTAACAGACACTACCAGAAAGACGACTTACCCATTCTCTGTGAAAGGTTTACCACGTCCAAATTGAAGAACTTTGAGGATCTCATGTCCATTGGCACTTATGGGTTTCGAGGAGAGGCATTGGCAAGCATTAGTCATATCGCCCATCTGAGAGTCACCACCAGAACTGCAACCTCCAGCTGCGCCTGGCAAGCCCACTATGCCGATGGCAAACTTACTCCGCCTAAGCCGGGCCAAAGTGCGGAACCCAAAGCATGTGCCGGCCGTCTCGGCACCCAGATCACAGTGGAAGACTTGTTCTACAATATCCCCAACCGGAGACGGGCATTTCGTTCACCTTCCGAGGAATACGCCAAAATTCTCGACGTGGTCACGCGATATGCCGTTCATCGCGAAGGGGTTGCCTTTTCGGTCAAGAAGCATGGTGAATCTGGAGCTGGCTTCTCAGTAGCTGCCGCTGCCGCCAAGGTCGATCGGATCAAACAGGCATATGGAGGCGGTGTTGCAAAGGAACTTATGGAGTTCCAAACGGAAGACGCTAAATGGGGTTTCAGAGCCTCAGGATATGCCAGCAATGCAAATTATAGTGGGAAGAGATCAACCTTGCTGCTGTTTATCAATCACCGATCCGTTGAGTCGTCGGCGGTCAAGAAAGCCATCGAGCAGACCTATCAGATGTTTCTGCCTAAGGGCGGACATCCATTCGTTTACCTGAGTCTTGACATCGATCCTGCCAGGGTGGATGTCAACGTCCATCCCACCAAGCGTGAGGTTCACTTCTTGAATGAGGACGACATCATCGACCTTGTGTGCGCCAGTATCCGCGAGAGTCTCGCCAAAGTCGACACCAGCAGAACTTTCAAGACCCAGACACTACTGCCCGGAGTGGTGACCCCTATGACGCCGATGAACTCAAGGCTCGCCGCGACAGCCGAGACACCTTCCGCTGATGAAAGCGGTGGCCCGCGAAGGACATCTACCACCAAGAAACCATATGAGAACAATCTCGTTCGGACCGACTCGAGAATGCGGAAAATCACGTCCATGCTCCCACCAGCTCTGACGACCGGAGAGTCACAAGATGGAGATGAGTCTCCCACTGTACATGGTGTTCGATACTCTACCACAGACCGGGAACCTGTCCAGATCAAACTGACGTCGGTCAAAAGTCTTCGTGCCAAGGTCCGGGAAGAAATGCACAACGGACTCACCGAGGTCTTTGCATCTCTGACATATGTAGGTCTCGTGGACAGCAACCGAAGGCTGGCGGCCATCCAATCAGGCGTGAAATTGTACCTGGTCGACTACGGATTGGCGTCCAAAGTGTTTTTCTACCAGGTTGGGCTCACCGAATTTGGCAATTTCGGTCTCATCCAACTACAGCCAGCGCCCAAATTGTGGGACCTGCTGGACCTTGCCGCCCAGTATCAGATTGAAACCGCCCCCGACTGTGCTGACTTGGACAAAGCTCAGGTCGTGCAGAAAGTTTATGAGCAGTTAATGGGTCGGAGGGAAATGCTCGCCGAATATTTTTCCTTCAATATATCTGACGACGGCCTTCTCGAATCGATCCCTCTCCTTCTAAAAGGGTATACGCCGTGCATGGCGAAATTGCCCACCTTCATCTTGCGGCTCGGGCCCTTTGTGGACTGGACACAGGAGGAACCGTGTTTTCGGACTTTCTTGCAGGAGCTGGCTTCGTTCTATGTTCCAGAGCAGCTGCCATCACGGAGACAGCCAGAGAGAGATTCCGTCAATGCAGACTTGGAACGCCCCACATCTGATAGCGGTGGTCTCGATGCTGATGCGGACGACAATATCCTGCGAGGAGAACAGACCGAAGGCGATCAGCTTATAGATCAGCGGAGAAAAGAGCTGGAGCACAATCTAGAGCACGTCCTTTTTCCGGCCTTCAGGTCGCGCATTGTTGCCACGAGGGGCATGTTGAACGGTGTGGTCGAGGTCGCCAATCTGAAGGGCTTGTATCGGGTTTTCGAACGCTGCTAATATGGTTGGGTTGGATCCCGAATGCAGTGGTTCTATACTCTTGATGTTCATCATTATTGGGGATATCGTACGGCATAGACTGTATTATGATAACGATGTGACGATTGTGGATATAGTGCCTTACTTCGGTCGCCTAGCCTTCGTTCTTGATGGATCATGGGATTGACCGACCCAGGGAACCAGTACTACGGTATATATGATCCCAATCAGCAATAGTCACTTGTCAGTACCCAGGTAACATACTAGGCAGGCATGCAGGTAGCTACACTAGGTAGTATTAAGTAGTAGGAAGAAAACTTGAACACTACTGCCAGTGTACCAGGTAGTCCATTCTGGCCCAGCCCCTGAAACGACAGCCTCGGCAGGATAGGACACCATACAACAACCACACAAATCCTGACACTAACACTGACACTAACACGAATCAACCACCATCAAGCCCCCTTCTCCCTTCTCTTCTCTTCCCACCCCATCCACTTCCCTCCCCTCCCTTCCCCATTGTAATCAACTAGGAGCTCTATAATTATTCCAAGCATCCCCCAAAGCTGACCGCCCACTCCCATCCCTATTCAAAAGATACTCCGTCCCCGCCGGTCCATCCGCAAAATTCCCAAACCAAGCATACCTCCCAATCCAAGGTTGGGCATCCATCCAGCCCATGGCCATCTGCAAAAAGTTCACCACATCCCCCGCCGGATAATCACTTCTATCCATTCCAAACTCGGTCACCCAAACCGAATAATTCGACCCTCCAGTCTGTTGGTATGCTTGCGTGACATATTGCTTGAAATAGTCAATGTTGTACGGACTCGCGTACCAATGTAAGTTCAAAAAATCAATCTGTAATCCCATCTGCGTCGCGTTGCCTAGAAAGTAGCTGAGGTATGTGAGGCCTGAGCTGCCGGAGTTGGTTACTGCTGGTGCGCCGATGAGAACGTTGCCAACGCCGGTATTACCGTTTCCGCCCCCGCTCCTCGCAAACGGTTGCATAAAATCCCTATACCCCTGCAAACTCCTGCTCAAATTCATACAAGCCGACTTCCCCGAATAACACGCATCAGGTTCATTGAACCCGAAAATCGCGTCTGTGCCATACTGCGCGATCGAGTATTGAACATTAGCGGACCAAATTGATGTCAATGATGGAGCGTCGTTATACAACAACGGTATGAATCGGAACTGGCCTGTCGGGTATGGTCCGACGTTGTCGCTGGCGTTGGGGAGCGAGTAGTAGTTGTAGGACCAGGATATGTAGGGTGATGGAGGGGGGTAGTAGACTAAGGTTGTGACGTTTGTGTATGCGAGACCGCGTTTGGCTGGGTAAGATGAAGGAGAGGGAGATGGAGATGATGTTGACGATGACGAGGTTGTTGTAGTTCTAGTTGTCGTGGTGGTGGTAGGTGAAATAGAAGTGGTGGTGGTGGCGGTTGTAGAAGCCGTAGATGTTGACGATGGCGATGTGGTGGTGATCGAGGTTGAGGTCGATGTGGACGACGAGCTTGAGCTTGAGCTTCTGCTGCTGCTCCGGCTTCTTGATGTGGATGATGACGACGTTGAGCTTGAGCCCGAGACTGCTGTACTGCTACTGCTTGTGGTGCTGACGGTGGCTGTCGTTGTGGCAGTACTAGATACACCCGACTGGCTCGACGACGGCAAAGTTGTGGAAGGAGATGATGTACGCTGAGACGTTGTAGTTGTCGTAGTTGTCACTATCGGTGTACTTGTGGTGGACTGAGTGGTAGGAGAATATGTCTGGTACGTGCTGGAGGTCGTTGTGCTGCTTGTCGTGCGGGAAGAGCTCGTTGATGCCGTGTTCGAGAGACCAGTGGACAGAGACAACATCGGGCTGGACGAAGTAGTAGTAGTGCTTGACAATGGAGCACTCGACGGACTCGGCGTGGTGATAGTCGAAGGCGATGTGGACGATGTCGTACTGGTACCACCTGTGGCTGTCCCTGTTCCAGTGCCTGACCCTGAATACAGCGTGGACGACGTCAATGATGTATGGCTGCTTGTTGTGACGCTCGTCTTTGAGGTAACCATGGACTCGGTGACACTGGATGATGGTGACTCAGATGACAAGGCGCTGGACGAGGTCGTAGGTGCAGCTGAACTATAAGACAGCTGAGTCGTCGTCAATGAGAAATCAATCAACGTGGTTTGCGTGGAAGTGGACGAAGCCAACGTCGTCGTAATCGAGTAGGAGCTCGAATCCGACGCTGTGGAAGCACCGGCCGTACTCTCAGTAGTCGTCGCCTCCAGGTATGACGAAGTCGACGGACCCGAGTCTGAGCCCATAATCACACTCGACACCGTCGTCGTAACCACCGAACTTGAAGTGGAAGTCTGCACAAACTCCGGTGCCATCGTAACCTGAACAGCGCCATCAGGAGGAGGACTCCCATTGAACAGGACGAAAAGCATTCGATCGCGACCCGCTGCAAAAGTCGTGTTTCCAAACTTCAAAGTTGTACCCTCAAACGCCCACGGATAATCGACCGATTGACGCGCCACATACTGTAAAAGGGGCAACGCCCCAGTATATGTGTTTGTTCCACAATATTGCCCGCCGCTTATAAGCTGTGCATCGGAAGTGACGGCGAGAACAGCCGCTTGATCTCTACCAGGATACAAATATGCGACGCCCTCCACAAATGTAAGGAAAACGGTCTCCCGCTTTTGCAGTGGGCCATCAAACCCAGACACTTGAACGATGAAGGGGCTTGAGGTCGGCGGAACAGACACTGATGTCGTTGATGTGGACATAGAGACTGTGGAACTCGAGTTTGGGATCGTCGATGATAAGCCCAGCGTGCTTGTGCCAAAGTTTGATGTCGACATCTGACTGTTCGAGCCATCGACTGACGAACTCGTCTGAGTTGCGCTGGTAGAGCTGAAACTGCCGGGACCTAGTTCACTGGATGACGACGTGGAATTGCCGTAGATCACGGTAGATGTCAAGTAGCATGACTGCGACGCGGTGTATCCTGATCAGATATCAGCCTTGGGCTTGCTACCATCCTGGGCCCGTTTTGCTCACCAAGTTGTGCTGTGGAAAATCCCACGGTGATGGACAAGGCCAATGCGACTTGAGTGTATACTGGACACTTCATTTTGCCTGCTCGACCTGCTTTTACTGCTGCTGTCCTCACCATAGTCTAATAGGGACTCTCTGAAGTCGCGTCAACCATGGTGTAGTATACAGTGCGGACATTGTCTGGAATGTCAGTGTGGAATGTTGGCAAGGCCCATGCGTCGCTTGCCTGCCAGACTGCCATCCCCAGCTGAGGCATCTCGTTAGTAGTCGGAGGGTAAACAGAGGGCAACGTTCGCAGTAAACTTCTCAGTATTTGATTGTGGTCAACTATGAATTTTAGCTCCTGTAAATGCGATACAGCTCCAAAAGAAAACATGGCTTGACGCACTAGTATACAAGCGCTTTTCCGATCTTGCTTTTCCGAGAATATCTGGGAATAAGTGGTACAAAAGTTTTCGAGTTGTCAAAGGATCCCAACAGACAGTGTGGCACTCAACCAGGAGGTCCACAAACTGTTTGAGCTGGTGTCCAAATCATACCCTGGCCCGCGGTCTCATTCCATTTGGTGCTTCACAATCCTGGACTAGTCGTTGGACTGACTCCAATGAAGGTGCTCGCGTTGAGATACTCGACCGGTACTTTGGGCACTTTAGGGCTCAGGATCGCGCCGGGTAACGGATTGTTCCCGCCAGATTGGCGTCGCCTTGATGCATCCTTGGTCCTATCTTTTTCTTTCTGGCTTTCACTCTTGCCGCCAGTAAGACGACGCATTCCTCGTCGCATGCCTTGCAGGCTGAAAGCTCCTCCGCCCTCTGTGTTTGGGTTTGCATGGCTCTGATATTCTGGTCCTGGACCTGACATGACCTTGTTATGACCTGGTGCGGCAACGTTCAAAGAGGGAAATGGGCTGTTTTCGCTGTCCGAAAGCACCGCCTCGTCGTAATGATCCGCAAATTCGTCATGCGCCCTGAAGGAGCTTCCTTGAGGCATGGGCGCGAACGCATTGAGGCTAGGCTGAGACGCTGGAAATTGGTTTGCTGGCGACGTGATAGACCTGGCATGCAATCCAGGTCTCTGGTGATTGACCGGACTCAGTGTAGATTGCCCGAACGTGTTTTTCGTCGAGCTAGGTAATGAGGGCCCCGGTCCGCCAAGCTCATCGATCGACGAGAAAGATGATTGTGCCGTCGAGCTGGAATTGGGCGAAGTGAAACCAGGCAGCATAGTCCGAGGGATCATGCCCTGCAAGGCTCCTGTCTCAGAAAGCCCGTCTTGCATATTGGCCAGCGATGAGGCACGCGCGAGACTCTGGCGGAGAATAGGTGCAGTCTGTTCGTCGTAAAGGGTGGTGCTCTGCTCTGCAAGAGGAGGAAGCACCATGGGCGACAGCCCGAGATCGTTGGTACCTGTCGGTGTGAGAACATTGTCTCCATCCAGGTCGTCAAAGAAATCATCCAAACTGTCCAGTGTATTCACCAAGTCACTGACGTTGGTGTCTGCGGCAGCTTCCATGGAACGAATAGTCTCGGCTCTGCTCTGCGGTGGGAGATACGAATCGGTATAACCATCATCCCCTTGGAACTCAACTTCAGGAGTCGCTGTCTCTTGATTTTTGATCGCATCCGACTCCCCACATGTATAGAATACGGCATGTACATTGCGTCTTGTCATGCTTGAGTAAATTGCGGGCATGGGTATCGACCAACCCGAAGCGAGCGGTATCCCGAACAGGCTCTGTGTGCGTTCATATTCTTTCCGGATGGCCTTAGCCTGGCCTGAGGCCATACTCATTCGCATATGGTGCTTTTCCATGGGCGTTGTTGCAACTTCCATGATGTAATCCAGCACCTCGAGAGCTTGAGTGCAATGCTCGGTCTGCAGCAGTCGCAGGAGTGGTGAAATGAGGTCTGGTCCGTGTGTGGTAATGGCTGGGCTTTTCATGTTCACCAAAGGAATCAACATGCACAGCATGTCCATCAATTTCTCCCTGAACCATGGGATTTTGTTCGTCAATAGGCCCATGACGAATATCAAGCTTTGTGCATCGTAGCTGGGGAAATAAGCCAGCTTCAAGGCCTCGACGACATTCCGGAGCATCTCCTGACTCGTTGCAAATCCCATGTCTGCAAATCGACGCAGACAAGCGGACAACATACTGTGGCCTTCGAGGTCTGCCAGATCAGCCAATCTTTGTGCGCATCCAATTGACATGGCATCACCAGTATCCAGTTCGAAGCTTCTCAAGAACCGGGGCAGGTTGGCCAATACACAATAGAGCAGGCGGGCGTCATCGCCAACCAGCTTACAATCCGGAAGCTCTGTGAGTTTTCCAAGGATGAGTAAGGTTTTGTCCAAGCTATCGGCCGACTTCAGACCCTTGTAGAGCAACGGCTGGACGCCTTCGAAACCGCCTTCCCAATTTGCGGGTTGACCTTTCATGATGGCTTCGGTAACGTCAGGTGCTGATAGGTCGAGCTTCTCAATGAGCTTTTCTAGCATGCCCAGTGTCTCGTAGAACTCTCTTTCGTGAATAGTGTTCAAGCATGCGCAGGTCGTCCAGAACAGTTGAGGGTAACGCATGAGATTCTTGGGTTCCAACGCTCCAATCACAACCTTGAGTGTGGTCAAGATTTCCATGGAGAAGGTCTGATAGTCGGTGTGCTCGTCTGCAATCGTGTTGGATAGGCGGGCAAGCATATCAGCAAGCATTCGAGCGTCCAGACTGACGGAGATGCAGCGGAAAACCTGGAAAGATCGACAGGCTAAATGTCGCACTGGGCAGATAGACGCCCAGTGTAGAGCCTCTTTAGCCCAAGCGTCACTGAAGTTGTCAAAGGCAAGGGTGAAAATAGCAACGATCTCGGCGGTCAACGCGGACATCGCTGGCGGGACCCGGCTTCCACCGTCATCCTCATCCTTCCTTGTGTTTTTGTCGTAAGACCAGCTTACACGGGCATCGTTTACGCGCACCGCTTCCACAAGGCTTTCAATCTGCGACTTGACGGGGCCCAGGACGTCGGCCTCAATTTTGTTCGTCACGAGCTCGTGGATGAGATGAACCAGCATCTCCCGTGCTTGTTCCTGTACAGAGGTTGTATAATGGTCCCACAGTATAAGTACTGCGTGCACCAGCTTGGTTGTCTCTTCTCTGGTAAGCGTCACTGGCGTGACCATCAAGTCCACCAAGAAGATCAAGGACACCTGACCCAATGACAGGCCCACTTGTTTGTTACCCATGGGCAATAAAGTGCCCAGATCAGCAACATAAGGCAACTGTCTTGTGTCAGGAACGGCGACATCGGCATTCTTCTTGTCGTTGACCATGTTCTTAGGAGTCAACTGTAACATGAAGAACTCCAGCACTCGAGAGCCCGCAGGAGTGGAGGACAGGTACACAACAATCTGCTTCGCGTATTCGACAAAGTTTTGGTCACGTCGGTACAGCGACAGGTAGATGATGAAATCCAAGATCAGTTGGACATTCCCTGCATGCGGCCCTGTCGCCAGGGCTTGCCACAAGGCTTGCACCTCGTTATGCATGGCGCTACTTGAGCATATGGTGATTTCAAACATGTTGGCCATAATCATGTAGGATATGGGGGTAGGTCCGCCAGTGATAGGGTCAACCTGGAGTTCGAGAGTTTGCAACCAAGGCAATATCGCAGCCACCATATTACGCTGATGGTCATTTCGGGCGTTCTTGTAATGCAGGGAAAACTCGGAGAAAATCAAGAATGCAACGTCGGCGTTTGCTTGAGCCAGACGCTTGGAGTATTCGAACTGTGCCAGCTTGTAGACTGCCCTGGTCTTGTCGGAGACGCTGATATCGAATTCCTGCAAGTTTGAACTCTTGTGCTGCCGTTCATCAAGCGTGCGAATCAAATTGGCCGACTTCATCCTGATTTCGCGGTTTTCATTCCCCAGGATAAAGACAATGATGCTGAGAATCTTCCAGAACGGGAGAGGATAATCTGGCTGTTGAATCAGGACATCACAGATGACACCGAAGTAACTCTCCAGCGCTAGGGGAGAATCGGTCCTGTAGCACTGCTCTATCGCGTGCTCCCCAAGAATAAGGTGTTCGGGGTTGTTGATCAGCAACAATTTGAGGGCGCGTCGGCCGATCATGTGCATCTTGTGGTTGTTGGTGGCGAAGATGGTGTCAATCCACGAGAGCATCCGTTGTAGGTTAAACGACAGTATCGCGTTGCTGTCGGTCTTGATAGTGACAGGGCCAGCGCACAAGGTAGCCATCGCACTCAAGGCAGCCACTCGCAGGTTGCTCTTCTCTTTCTCCGTCGCAGCACTGGCATTCAAACGCTCCATATCTCTGCCATGGCCATGGTGAGGCTCGAAAAGGTTTTGTTCAGCGCTGTATCCGCACCAGTCCTCCATTAGCGCGAATGCCGATTTTCGTGACTCAAAGGACATCCACCGGGAAGGGTTTTTGGTTCTGTTCACGCCTTCGAACAGTTCTTCTATCAGGCCGCAGAAGTGGTACCTCAACTTTTGAAAGCGCCAATCGTTTTGCACGTCGGTGTCGCTCAGGAAGATACGCAGGTCACGAGTGTAGGTGACGAGGTTGGTCAAGATCCATTCGTCAGTATAGATGTCTTCATGTCTGAGAAAGGAAGCTGTGAGCTTATAGACATGCGTCACCTCTGTCCGAAGCCGTTCCGTCTGCTGAGACCGCTGTGGGCTGCTGGGCGTTCGCTGGTGGTTGATTCTGGCCTTTGCTTCATCGTTACACTTGATGACCGCATACTGGAGAGATTCGAGCAAAGTCCGATAGAGTTTGCGGTTGATGGAGGCTAAAGCAGACACAACTGCGTCCCGAATGGCATCTGGTGCTGCTCCCAGCATAGGAATGATTGCAGAAAACAACGCGCGGGCGGAACTGAGTTTATCTGTTGTCGGGGTGTTACCTTTGGATGTCTTCCGAGCATGGGCGGCGTCCGCCAATTGACTTTGCGACTGGGCACCGGGCGAACTTAGAGTGACACACGCCATGATCAGGTACAACTTCCACTGTTCAAAAAACACCTCGGCAGAGGTGGCAGAACTGCGCCCTTGTATACGATGTTCCAAGGCAGCTGTATTGCCAGAACCAATGTCGGAGAACCCCTCAACATCGTGTTGCATCAGGACCAGCCTGTCAGTCACAGTTCCTCTACATAGGGCAATGGCGTTTGGGCATGCATCAAAGACCACACGAATCAGGTTGGGAAATGCTTTGAACCAGAGCGTCGAGTCGTACGACACCTCTGAACTGCAGATCTCGATCAAAGTGCTCTGTCCGGATTTGCCCCGCTTGTCTTTCTGCAGGCGGCTCCTCTCAGCGACATTGAGGGAATCTTCTTGCAAGTCCAGGATTTTGTGAGACTGTTCTTCTAACAGCTTGATGATTCGTGAAGGCTCCTCCTTGCCTAGAACATTGTCGAATTGGGTTACAAGACGGAGGACCTTTATGGCATAGGATCGTACTCGGCGAGACTGAGAGCAAAGAAAGAATAAGCCGTAGGCTTCGATCTCGTCCACTTGAGGGATGACATTTGTAAGCTCCATTTGCAAAGCTCGGGCAGAACTGGGGCCACCGCGCTCTCTCGCCTCCGTGGAGTTTGCCACAGTCTTTTGCTTGAGCTGTTCCGTCCAAATCTGGAGGAGATCAAGATAGAGTGTCAGTGTTGCTTCGATGTGGGCCGGTCCCAGACGCCCTTCGTCTGACATGGTAGAGTACTGGGTGTCATAATGGAAGATGAAACGCGGGAACGCAATGGCAACAGCCTGAGCATGCCCCTGTCTGGCAATTGCCTTCAGCGACTTTGTGGCTGAAGCTGCAATGTTTGGCTGCACATGGGCTGATCCCGTACACAACAGGTTGATTAACGGACTCAATGGAATGTGATCGGTGAAGCATCGGGGAAGAGCTTGGATTGCGACATGGAGGAGTTCATAATAGAGGTATCTCTGGTCAGTCGCCGTTCCGTCTTGATTGCGGGCCAGGTTGAAAGCATCCACGAGCGGCGTCTTCGGTGTCAAGCCTAAAGAAGAAAACTTCTCGTTCAGGGTGGCTTGACCGCCGAATGTGTTGTCGCATAAGATGGTGATCTTCCCCAGGATCTGGCAGAATTGTAAGTAGTACTGCCGCGCACTCTCGTCAAGTTGAGACGCATTGACAGGCAGAGACGAGGGACTGTCTTCTTCAAAGGTCGTACGTATCGGTGAGTCGATGCCCAGGCTTGCTCTGATACTGATAGGTGAAGATGGTAGTCCTTCAGGATTCTGTGTGTTGATGTCAAATGCAGGGAATGGGGGGCCGCTGGAATTGCCCTTTTCCAGATCTGCCATAATAGCAAGAAAGGCGCGAATACCAATGACCATCCGTTCAGGCTCCATGTTTTCGATCTTCAAATTCCGGCTGGACTGGAAGAGATCGTAGTGCACCAGTGGAAAAATGACCGTTCGGAAACACAGGTCTTGAGCAGCAAAGCCAATGATTCTGATCAGCTGCACCAGTGGTCCCGAGACGGACAGCTCCGACACAACGTGGGTTTTCTTCCCCTGGGGAATGGCAATCTTGATTATTTCTTCCAGTCGCCGAAGCCTGACTTGGGAGGACTCCGTCACACGAGCCAGATACGTCCAGACAAGCTGACAAATGGCTTGCAGTGCTATGGCGCGTGTTGATCTATCCTTCAACTTGGCAGCCAAGGTGCCTAACATGGGAAACCATTGCTGCGAGAAGGTGTCTATCGGAGAAATACAGAGGAGCAAAATCGATACCGGAAAGCCGATATGCCAGTGGCGTACTTTGACCAGCATATTTCCCAGCCTCGAGTTGATGGCATCGATGAAGTCCTTCCATTTTGGAACGCTCTGGAAGCATTCAGGTTGGCTCGCCACGGCGGTCAGCAAACGCTGGAACAGCTGGCAGTATGCTTGCTTGACTCTAGGCCCGTGCGCCTCTGAGAACAAGGCAGCAAGAGTCCTCAAGAATTCGGCAACCTGGTACGCTGACTCGCGTGTCGTAGCGATGTGCAGGTGCCTCATGCCCAATAGAAGCAACTCGAGTCGAGATTCAATGTCTCTGGCCGCAGTGGTCCCAGAGCTCTTAATGAACTCCTGCTGCCAGATGTCCAGCTGCTGAGTGAAGCGAAACGTGACATTGACGAAATCCAGGCGACTCATATGACCCAAGACCTCTCCATAAATCCTCCAATTTGCCAGACGGATGCTCGAGGTGAGAATCTGGGCCGGTTCCACTTCTCGGATCTGGCTGAAGACTATGTCTTCCAATTTGTTGGCGAGATCGGGGGTTATCGCCTCCAAGTTGCTCTGTTCAAAAATTGCGATCAACACTCGGCACAGTATGTAGACAGATACTGTTGCCCGCCGGTCAGCAAGCAAATACTCCTGCGTCAGGTTATCCTCTGCAGCAGAAACATTGTCCCACGTGGCTTGAGGAAAGCCTGGCTCTCCTGGAGTGTTCAGCGGCTCCGTATGGCGGCGTGGTAGAGAGGCAGGCAGCGATAAGTTGGGCCCACCAACTTGCAGTCGCTGCTGGTAAACTTGTTTCTTCAGATTTGCAGCAGTATCTCCCTTGCCCTTGCGCCAGAGCATCAGACTATCCACCAGCGGTTTTGGCCCTTGGCGGGAAATATGGCCCAGCGAAGATATCAACTGGTCGAACCCAGGATCCACCCCAGGCGCACATGCTTGTTCAACCGGCGTAGTCGAACTATCGATCAGGGACAAACAGTGGTTGATCCTCTGGTCAGCCCGCAGCACGAAAGCATGGAAGAGATGATGTAGGGCATATTCGCCAGGGGTGCGCGGCTCCGCCTGTTGGTGGACGCTCGAAGATTGATATGCATGGCCTCGCCTAGTCTTAGAATGCTCTTTCCGTCGCCGCGGTTGGGCCGTGCCAGTCTCAGGCAAAGTTGAAGGCCCATCTATAAGGGAGTCAATCGAATGGCCTTGTGCATGCCCTTGGAACGGAGATACTGGACTTGTGAAGGTTGACGAGGCGTCGGTGGTCGAAAATTGACCACGGCGAGCGGTTTGGTTGGCATATCTTCCATAGTTCTGCGCGCTCAGCAGGGACTCTGGAGTAAGAGGGCTGGCAGCCGAGGGAGAATTGAAGCTTGGGCTCCGAGAATGTTGTAACCCATGAATAACAGATGTCTGGCGATGATGGCCATAATTGTTCGAAGTGCGTCGTTGTAGGCCAGTGTCGACAACTTGGCCACCCTTTAAGCCCAACCCTGATTCTGTCCCCTGCGGTTGCGCAGACCCTGCCCGCGACGACGGCACGTAGTTGGAGCCATATGTGTTTGTGATAGATTGTTGAGGTCTTCCTCTTGTCACCGATGTTTCCCTCGAGTGAATTGGAGCACCTTGTTGAGGGCGCAGGCTGGTTTGGAGGAGCGCTGGAGTGATCTGTTCCGGCCCAGGGCCATCGAGGGAGACATTCTGCGGCTCGCTGGAAGCAGATTGAGCATCTGGTAACATTTGATCATTGCTCGGTCAGCTATTGTCGTCCACTGCGCTCGCGTGAAGGTCGTGGTGAGGGTTGCGGTGTGACTGTGGTCGCCGCGGAAGAGTTCCGAACGAGAACTTACGGTTATGCGGCATGTTGTGCCGTCGATGGCGGATCCAAGAGAAGATGCAGGGTCTGCGTCATTGCTTCGTGTCAAAGACTGAAGTCGGGGCACATGGAGAGAGAAAAGTATTGTGCGTTGCGAAACGTTTGGAGGTGGTGGTCGTTGTGCCTTGGTCGTTGAAGAATGAACGAGACTTGTGGTGAGACGGCCGAACACCACCAAATAATGGCACAGTAAGGATTGCCGCCAACCACAGAACCACCCCCCTTGAGATCTACAGTCTACCTCAAGGCATAGAAGTGAAAATAGGCCAATGCGCTATACTATATTGTACATCAATGCATCTGTATGTCTATAACTGGCGCAGGAAATATTCAAGTTGTAGTAAGCGCCTAGTACTATATCCTTGGTTGCCTGCTACGGGGCGCTTTTCACCACGGCGCAAGCAAAGTTGTTGACGCAACGAATTGCCATAAAGCTCAGTATCCGGGCAGACACAAGACGAGTGTCACCTTGAGACTCTTCTAGCACGCAGACATCCGGCACTAAACAACAGGTCAGGGAGACGGGAGCATGCCAGTGCCAGCCGTCGTGGATGTACAGGGAGTCGCCATAGCATGGCTTCTTCACAATACTAGTATAGTAGGTATAAAAGACCCGTTTTCATTTTCGTCCCACTATCCGTGTCTGTTCTGGTAGGTACCCAACTGCCTAGTTTCGTGATCGTCCGAAGATAGGGGTAGATCGATTTCAGGGTTAAGATCGAAGCTGGGCGGAATCTAGGCCTTGTGCAGCAGTGTGATAATACTGGTACCTGTAGTTTTGATCAGGTCGATTAGACGACGTACGGCATTGTAGAATTCGCTCCGCAGCCTGCTAATGGTCAGGATAACAACCAACGGTGTGTGCCACCGAAGATAGCACAATAACGGAGTGGCAAGTGTGAATAGCCGACGGTTGGCTCTCAATGGCCTTTTGCGGTGGCAGAAATTGTACAATAAAGTAGGATACTACCTAGGTACCTAGCAGAAGATGATGGCGAAAAGAAATCCTGTTTGTGCGACTCACGACGGCCCGCAGGCAACCTGAACGCAGGCATCGCGGACTCTTTAGCTTCGAGTTTGAGGCCATCATGGCACCTCACGCTCAGGCTGCCTCTTGTAGTCAGCCAGTGATGAGTACCGAACTTGAAAGGTACCAGGTAGTCACGGTGTGTGCAAGTCGGTCCGCGAAATCCAACCGCCAGTGCACCCGCACCGCAGCCCGAGGGCGGGTGACAACAAGATTGGCACATTATTTTCCAAACCTCCTGCTCAAGAACTTGAACTACAACAGTACGAGTAAAGCAAATTATCTCAAACTTGGTAGGATAATTCTATAGCTCCTAGAGCGTAGAATAGTCTAATTATCTTGTAGAATAACCCTATATTGAAGGAGCAGAAGCAGGTTTTGTCTAAAAAGTGCTATGTGTAAGATGCCATTCTTGTTGTCACCCGCCCTCGGCCCAGCGTCGTAGTTGAAATCACAATCAATACACTTCAAGTTGCACTCCGAGTCTTCGGGGCACTTCTACCTCCCCACAAAGGCTCGGAGTATTCCCTGCCACCCCTGGAGCCTTAAGCCCAAGGAAGGACCCCTCGGCCCCCTTCTCTACCTAGGTAGCCGTCACGGTCCCCAGGCGAAACCGACTCCCACCTCCAGTGGCCATTTATTTTGCCGCCCGCCGAAGCCGCACCCTCGTGTAGTCGCAGGACTCTCTGTTGCGGTTGCCCCCCCTTCGACCCAACTTCAAGTTGACTGCAATTCCGCAGTCGGGGCGCTTTAGTTGTAGTGCGGCGTCCTCCTGGCTTCCGGTTCGACTCGTCTGTCTCTCCTGCTTGCCGAACTGCCTGACCTCAGGCTCTCTACCACGACCACTGCCACTGCCACCACTCTTCGATCTCGATCCTCCATATCAAGCCGAGATTCCTGACGTCCTAGACTTCAAAAAGCACTCTGTTCCCCCGACTCCTACTGTGTACAATTACCTACTTAGGTCCTGAACACGCTGCTCGACTCCATCCAGTCCCATCCACTTTTTGTTTTCGAGCAACTGCGCTCCGTCCTCAACTTGAAGTACAGGACCCATCCAACGGACAAAGTTCCGCCGTCATTGGGCCCTACAAGTTCAGCTAGAATCGCAGTCCACCGCATCTCTTGGCCACATCAGGCCACATAAGGCGGGCCCCTCCCGAAGACGCCGTGAATCTCCACGCTGTTCACTTGTTGCCATCAAGTCGGTTTACTTTGTATCTTGTTGCAAGCTTGGCTGCGTTCCAGGTCTAAGACAGCCCAGCGGACATATTCACGACTTGCTACAATCGAAATATCCAGTTCTGCAGCGCTGTCGGGTTCGGTCACCATGGCTCAAGTCGACACCCTGGACATCATTGTCCTCGTGGTGCTCCTGCTGGGCAGCATCGCCTACTTTACGAAGGGAACTTATTGGGGCGTGGCCAAAGATCCGTATGCCACGTCTGCCCTCAATGGCAGTGCCTCCAAGAAGGGATCCCGGAATATTGTGGAGAAGATGGAAGAGTTGGGGAAAAACTGTGTCATTTTCTACGGCTCTCAGACTGGTACCGCAGAAGATTATGCCTCGCGTCTGGCCAAGGAAGGACATGCTCGATTCGGACTGAACACCATGACGGCCGACCTAGAAGACTATGACTACGAGAACCTTGATACCTTCCCCGAAGATAAAGTGGCGTTCTTTGTCCTGGCCACCTATGGCGAAGGCGAGCCCACAGATAACGCCGTCGAGTTCTGGGAATTCATTAACAGCGATCCCCCCCAATTCTCCCAGGGCGAGGAGGACAAGCCCTTGAAAAACCTGAAATATGTAGCGTTCGGGCTCGGCAACAACACATATGAACACTACAATCTCATGGTTCGCAATTTGGATAAGCAATTAACCAAGCTGGGCGCGAAGCGGATTGGCGTCGCAGGCGAGGGAGACGATGGAGCTGGCACCATGGAGGAAGACTTCTTGACCTGGAAGGAGCCCATGTGGGCTGCGCTCACCCAAGCTATGGGCTTGGAAGAACGCGAAGCTGTCTATGAGCCCGTGTTTAGTGTGGAAGAGAGAGACGATCTTTCCCCGGAAAACGACACCGTCTATCTTGGAGAGCCTAACAAGAATCACCTCGAAAACACCCAGAAGGGGCCGTACAACGCCCACAACCCGTTCATCGCTCCCATTGCCGAATCCCGAGAGTTGTTTACCGTCAAGGATCGAAACTGTCTTCACATGGAAATCGATGTCTCGGGCTCCGGCCTCTCTTATACAACTGGTGATCACATTGCCGTTTGGCCTACCAATGCAGGCTTAGAGGTGGACAGATTCCTCAAGACTTTCGGCCTGTACGAGAAAAAGGACAAGGTCATCAGCATGAAAGGTCTAGATCCGACAGCCAAAGTCCCGTTTCCCACCCCGACAACCTACGACGCAGCCGTACGCTACCACATGGAAATTTGCGCTCCTGTCTCCCGTCAGTTCATGGCCACGTTGGCCCCCTTCGCGCCTACCGAGGAAGCCAAGAAGGAAATGGTCCGCCTGGGTTCGGATGCCGACTACTTCAAAGAGAAGGTGTCCTCGCACATGTTGAATATTGCGCAGGCCGTCTCTGCTGTGCACCCCGGCCCTTGGTCCGGTGTGCCTTTCTCTGCTCTGGTCGAAGGTATCCATAAACTTCAGCCACGGTATTACTCGATCTCATCGTCCTCGCTTGTTCAGCCGAACAAGATCTCTATCACTGCCGTGGTCGAATCTGTCCGTATTCCAGGCGCTGGGCATGTTGTCAAGGGTGTCACAACCAACTATTTGTTGGCATTGAAGCAGAAGCAGAACGGAGATCCTGATCCTGAACCACACGGTCTGAGCTACGCCATTACCGGACCTCGCAACAAGTACGACGGTATCCACGTTCCGGTGCATGTCCGTCACTCCAACTTCAAACTCCCCTCCAACCCTAGCAAACCTATCATCATGGTCGGACCTGGTACCGGTGTTGCTCCTTTCCGCGGATTCGTGCAGGAGCGCGCCGAGCAAGCAAAACAAGGTGAGGATGTCGGAACGACTGTCCTCTTCTACGGCTGCCGACGACCATCCGAAGACTGGCTGTACAAGGACGAATGGGAGGTAAGTCAAGCTCATCTGGAATAATGCGACGCGCTTGGGTTCTAACTAACGGTGTTTGTAGGAATACAAGAAGGCTCTCGGAGACAAGCTGATCATTTTCAACGCTTTCTCCCGCGAAGGACCGCAGAAGGTTTACGTGCAGCATCTGATCCAGCAAAACGGCAAACTGATCAACGACCTCCTTCAACAAAAGGCTAACTTCTACGTCTGTGGTGATGCGGCGCACATGGCCCGAGAAGTGAACGATGTTCTCGCTCAGATTATCGCTGCCGAACGAGGGATCGATCAACAAAAGGCGGAACAAGTGGTCAAGAGCATGCGCAGCAGTGGAGTGTACCAGGAAGATGTCTGGTCATAAACGGCGTCGTGTGCGCATTGTCTACATGGCAAGTGCGTGGTGACGTCCTGGGCGTCGACAAGAGAGAGTGCACTATCCGAGATGGGCGCTGCTGCTCTGGGCCCGTTACCGGATCAATCTCGCGCGGATCCTATTCGCATCAATCCGATAGCTTGCAGCCGATACGGAATTCCTTTGGCGCGGAGATTGTCTGGAGGGGGTGGGTATTTGGGAGGTTTCCTACCCGTTCCAACCGCCTGGATGGTCACGCGAACTGTCCGCCGCGCGTTAATCCGACGGCAGAACCATTTCCTCGTGATTTTTTTTGCCAGGCCGGAAGCGGCCCAAAGGTGGATTTTCCGGGTCGGGCAAAGGTTGGGGGCTCAGTCCATCAATGTGGGGTCGTGGTCGGCCATCGCTCGAGAACCCCCCGGGCGCTCCCACAACCACCGCCCACCATCAAAGTATCTCCCGAGACTCGCAAAAGTCCTCCCACTTCGTGTCGCTGCAACAAGCTTGGGCACTGGATGGCCTGCTGCTCACATGACCTTACCACGGCACACTGGCAGGGTATGTGGGGACGTCTTGACCACACACACTGCATCCCGCTGTTCTGCCATTCCGCTCTGGACATATCTTACCCCACGGCACGGCATTCGTCTTTCAGTTTTAAGCTTTCTATTTACGTAGTCTTGCAGGGCCTAATGGTCTTTTGGGAGCCTGGTTTATAGTTATTATGTTGGTAAAGCATCGTGCCCCTTGCGGCATGAAAGACTTTCTGTTACTGATTCGGGGTGAGCGCGTTGGACTGTTCGATTCGTAGCATGCTGGGCAGCTTGTACGGGGCATGGAGCTTTAGTCCAGCCATCGACGAAGGATTAAGGCAAACCAGAGATAGTACAAATAGATGAAAAGACACATATATACTAGGCTTGACTTCTTTTTTTTTCAGAGTTGCATACTACATTCGCATGTGTAGGAGACTATCCCTCTCTTCTCCGCTGCGCTGGGGTCGAGCATAGACCATCAAACAAAGCACGACCAGGATCGAAGCACAACAAGTTCCGGTCGTCGAAAGAGACCCAAGCCTTACAGAGGCAGCTGTCTTGGAACTCTGTCTGTCGAGGGTTCGCGGTTCTGGTCCTCGAAGTCGGACGCCGTCATCACCAGTTGTTCTCCAAGTCGCCCCTTTCTCTGCTCTTGGATCGAAGCGTATCAAGTACTAGTAGGGCTTTGTTGCTCCAAAGCTGCCGTGGCGCGAGCACATGCGTCCTGGAGAGCAACCATGTCTCCGTGGCTTTCTTCGAGGAAAGCGGTCTCATTACTACTCCCATCCGCCTGTGCTTGGGCAGCGGCGGCTGCTTGCTGCAGCAACGACTGCAGAAATCTCGACGAATCGCTGAGCGAGGTGATATATGTGTTAATCCTGGATTTGAGAGGAGAACCAGTTGTTGAGTCTGCTGGCGGCAAATGCGGAAGGATGACGCAGAGCAGATTGAGCGTTGCGACGAAGTAAGGGAGGTCGAGTAGGAAGGAGGACAGGGTGTCCGAGTCCGTGCTGTCTTCTGACTCTCCCTGCCCGCCACTCTCAGACGCAGCTCGTAGACCGGACAAAGTCTGCTGCGGAAGGAGAAGGTCGAGCAGAGTCGCGTCACTCGCGCTGTCTTCTTCGCCATCCGCAGCAGCCGTGTGACCGTCGCTGAGTACCGAGAAGTCGAGGCCATCTGTTCGCGCAAGAGGCTGTTCGTGGACTGTAGCTTGACCTTGGCCGGTGTTCGAGTCTGACTTCGCTTCTTCTTGCCTGCGGATCCAGATGGCGAATTCGTCCTTCAACCACTCGGCACCCACGGCTTTCAGTTGTCCCATTTGCTGGGGTGGCGCCAACGGGATCGGATGCGGCTGCAGCGCCGAAGTGCTCCGCGTGAGGCCCGTCTCTTCATCGATACCCGGCTCTGGATCCGGCTCATCCTCATCTTCAATCTCTGCCCAGTTGGTGCTTAATGTGCTGCCACGAAGTGTCTGGATGATGACGTCCAATCGCACCTTGGGGTCCGGGTAAGCGTGCAATAGTTTCGTGGCGATATAATGCGCTGAATCGCGTAGTGGCGGCCAGGGTGTGATGGAGAAAATCTGCGTCAGTGTGCTTACGAGAAGAAGGAATTTGGCAGGGGAAGGTGGTGCGTCGTTGGCGGACGGGGACAGAATCCGGCGGTATAGAAGCGATAGTTGGGCGTCTAGCAGCGCGGGGTGCGGGATCGAGGGTGTTGCCGAAAGTGGGAAGGAGTGTGCGATCAGCTTCGTCAATTCAGTTGTAGTAAGCAGCGTCGAAGGCGGAGCTGCATGGGTGAAGGCCTCGTAGGCGTAGAGGAAGATGACGCCCGCTCTAGGAAATGGAATCTGAGACGGAGAAGTCGGGTATTCAGAAGGCTCCTGCTCTTTCTGGAGTAGAGAGTCTTCGGCTTCGTCCTCATCCTCTGTTTCATGGATGAGCCTCTTGATTTCTGCTGCAGCGTCTATCTTCAGGTCTTTGCCTAGAGCGCCAAACCTTGCAACCAAAGCATCTCGCTCCTTTAGTTCTGCGATGCTTTCCCAGACCTGGGTCTCGGAGGGCCTGCTTGGTATTATACGTTGGGGCTCAAGCTTTTCCCGCAGGCGAGCCGTCCAGGACATAGACGGATGTTCCTGAGATGAGAGCGATGACAAGTATTCATCGAGTACCTCGAGGAGGACGGCATCAATCAGCCGGGACGTGATCGCTTTCTCTTCTGGTGACGATGTGTTGATCCCTGTTTTTTCTTCTTCCGCCTTGGCCTCTGGATCTGGCAATGGTGCCGAAGCAGCGCTTTCAGTCTGACTAGAACTACCACCCGCACCAGGAACGGTGTCACGGGTGCTGCCGCCTCGTGGAGGAAGGGCCGGACGCCGCTTGCCGGCAAGGGTTTCCAGCATGGTGAGGAAGCACGACGTCGTTGCAGTGGAGATGGGGATTTTGCGATACGCCCCAAGTGCTGCGGGTAGTGATGTTGCGAGGAAACGACTTGGGTATTGTGTCTTGATTCTCGGATGAAGGATGCCGAGCATGTTCAGCAATGCTTGTAGTTTTCGCTGTCTCAATGCATCCGAATCCACTTCAGGCTCTGCTTCAGCCCATTTTGGGCCATCCGAGGGGGTTTCCACACGCTTTCCGGGTTGTGGCATACCTTCCAGTGTCATGGAACCCAGATGGATACGGGGAGCTTCGCCGGCGAAGGTGGGCAGCTCCTCCCCGGCATCACCATGGTCGGAAGCATCAACATCTTCGTCAGAATCTCCTGCTTCTTCGCCCAGCTTCTCTAGCTCTTCGGCTACACGGACAACTACCTCTCGAGGATTACCTCGTCGAGCAACCACTTCCAGACACCGGCTTGCCTCGTCCGGGTTATGATTCAGAAGCGGTAGTAGCAGCTTAAGAAGATCCCATCCAATCTCCTGTGCGAGCGTACCATCATCTTCTCGGAGAAGCTTGGTTAATGTCGGGAGGTTTTGGGGGGTTAGTTGATACTCGAGCATGGTCAGATAGGTGATGTAGTCTGTGGCCGGAGGCAAAGCGGCAACGAGCGGATCCTCCGCCGAGGAGGGCTGAAAAGCCATTTTGGTCACAGACTGATGGATTCAGTTATGCAGCACTGAAGCACAAAGTGAAGATGATTAACTCGGCGGTAAAATATGGGTGGAGGGTATTTGGGAAGCACAGAGGGTGCGGTAGATGGGCCAGCAAGGAACAATGCCAATTGCTAGACTCCAGCAACATAGGAGGTATGTGTGTAGACAACATTCACACAAACACCCCGGCAAGCAAGCTCGAAGAGCGACGAGGTCTTTTCACGAGAGATGGACCAAGAGGCATGAGCTCCGAGGGTGAGGTTGTGTCGCGCCCGTTCTGCTGTAGTTCAAGTTGTCGTTGTTCTTCTGCCACTTCCACTTCAGGTTCTCTCCAAACCGAATCATCGTCATACGGAGGCTTGGCATCACGCTGCGCTGCACACTGCACACTTAGTACTGTTCGACTTGAGTTCAACTTCACTTCCCACACTTCAACGTGCAATGCCAGTTCAATCTCTGGAAGCAGTCTCCTGCAACTCACCCATGCCTGCGCCATGATATTCCTGACCTTATCAGACCCTGCCAGATCCCGCAAGGACCGACGCAGCAGCTCTTCTTTCTCCTACGGCAGGTCGAGGTCACGTGCTCCCCGACTGGGCCTGTATACACCCAGGGCTCGAGTTGATGGTTGTTCATTCTCTCGCAACGGGCTCTGTCCCTATATCAATATAACGGTACAAACCAAGCTGGACCTCTGCTAGGAGAATCCAGGGACTTCAACCGACAGCAATATGGCTGAAGCTCGGCTACAAACGCATCATGACAGGCTATGTGGTCAATAATGGCTGCGGCAGCGCAATTACTGATGGTAAATCCCCACCCGCCTAGTACGACGTCTGTCTTCAGAAACGCACAGCTACGAGTAAAATAAGCATGAACGTTGGGCGGAATGTGTCCCGGGAGTGATACCCAAGGCTGAATGTGGCTTGCGAGGTGGCGCCTCAATTAGGCAAAAACGCTGTCTGAAAACCTTACTGGCTGGTTTGGCTGATGAGCTGTAATGCGGTTAAGGTATGCGAAATTATTCGGCCTTCCCAAACGCGGGCAGTCTGGAGCCAAGAATATCAGCCGAAGTCTGCAACGTGGGACTCCGCTCGCAAGACCAAACATGGCGATCGTTCTTTGGCTCGGTACCTGAAGGGCAATGCGCCATGTATGATTGTCCTTAAACAAGGATGAGAGGAAGCGAAAAGGATCCAATTTTCAACTGCCCGTCTTGGGCTCGCGGAGAATAAGCGCGGCTCGACCCTCTTGGGCTTTGTTTTTCGCCTGTTTGTGTTGCGCGGCCCTTCTCTGACGGCTGTCACCGGCATTGCGAGATCCGGGTTAGAGGCAACTTCCGGTGATCTTTCCTCCCGCCATTCACTAATAGTGTGGACGCCGAATGGGGTGATTCTTTGCCGCAGTTACTCGCTAGTCACGAGGGAAGCCTTCCGTCCTTACCAAGCATACAAGATTAGGAAACGAACCGGCAGTTGGCCTCATAACCACTCTGCCTTACTCGCCAGAACCCTGGCTTTGGGCTCAGCTGCTGGCCTTGTGCGCCACTTCAAAGAACCACAAGATTCGCTGGTATTCAGGCGTTGTGCTACGAATCCAAGCCAGCTGTGGACCAGGCTTATTTCGGAGTAGGCCCATCGCGTAAACACTGAACATGCGCACGCGGCGGCTATTCGCCTGACAGGTGTCGTCTGAAATTATTTATGGAACAGTCCATAGAAGGCGCCTGCCACGGAAAGGAAGCCCATTTTCAGCCTCCAGCGCAAATGATGAGCTCTTGGACATCTCAACAGTATCTGGATAATAATCGACCAATCCGGCGGTGATCAAAACAAAAGAATCAATAGTACAGATTGGGCCCATGCGATATGGCTAGCCAAGCAATTGCTACCCATCCATCCCACACACTAACAAGCGAGAAACCAGTGTGAAAGAGCAAGCCAACAGGAGCGCACACCGGGCTTCGGATCCTCGACACTACCACAAGACCCTAGGCTGGCTGAGAGATATACGTACCCCTCCAAATGCGCCACGGTATTCGGCACGCCCACTGGATGTTATCCCTGCAAGGCTAGTGCGAGCTGAACAAGAAAGGATGGACAGAAGAGAGCTTGTGCTTGCGACTCTCCACCACACCTTTTGAATATAGGACCCGAGTACCGTGCGCGCGAGCAACTATTCTGTATGTCCGGCTTCGTCGCCGAGCGCCAAGATGGGTAGCTCGATCTGCATTCTGGACGACTGAATACGGATCATTTTGTCGGAAGTCTCAGTCCACAATCTGATAAATCGAAATAATGCACGCCGAGGACTCATCATTGTTGAAATCTCCATGGTGATGCCCGATGTCCCAATGCTGATGGTTCGGCCGGCGATACTTTACTCGGTTACCACAGTCAATACAACGTATGTAGGATTTGTGGAACCATGAGTCCACCGGGAAGGTTCTCAGCTCCTCATAGGTTGCACAAGAATGAACTATTCCTGGACCAATATGCAGCCCGGCTGCCAGCACAACAGTATTGAGATTCGACAAGAACACTCCAACCTGGCCTCTGCTGCAAGTATGCATTTGGCAGGATCTACTAGCAGGACAGAGCCGCGAAAAACCTGGGCTCGCCTTAACTGGGTGACCAACCCCATAACCAGCGATTGGGTATCAGATGCTGAACCTTCTTCATAACCTTCACAAAGAAGGACGAACAGAAGGCCTGACATTAGTATTCGAGATCATGTTTGACAGGGAGCCACTATCGGCCTTTTCTTGTTTAGGCATCCCTGGTCTATTTTGTTTCTCCAATGTCTCTCCCTGGTTCCGGGTCTTTGCCAATAATAGGGCAGTGTCCCCATGTCCGTCCTTAACGGTCGGCCTCGTCAATCGCCTACCCTAACATTAACACTATCCCGCCAATGGCCGAGAGTCCTGTGCCGGGCTCCAAAGAGTCGTGATTGGCGTGGCTGTCGTGGCTGCTGGGATCTACGGACCGGGGTTAATGCAGACTCGACCCGCGCTGGAGCCTGACAGCCGGGCCACCATTGGATCTGTCCGGACAGAAGCTTGTGCGCTGATTGCTTTCGCTTGGTGAGGCTTCCTTCTGGGCTTTGACGACGATTCCGGCCATTCAGTTGGAACGGCCGGGGCGGCAATCTGGTTGTTATGTCGTCTGTGGATGTGGCCAAGGTCTCGCTGGGCTTACCGAGACAACCACCGTCTGGTGCTACGGCTCGACAAGGCAGACCATGTCGGCAAAGGCGGCGAAACACCACCCGGGAGCAGGCTGACTGCCAGTCACTGGCACGAATGGACGCCGTGTGGGCGTGTCTGGCATGTCGCAATGGACAGCGGGAGGCCAGGGCCAGTGTCCGTCAGACGCAAAGGCTAACGCAATACTATCCGCAGCCCTTCAGCTCCATGATGGATCCCTGGACCATGTTTTCCCATACCAATGTGGAGCTCGCAGGCGGAACTACTGGGTCAACATGCTTTAGTCGAGCAGATCGTCGCTCTCCATATTCCAAACGAACATGAGGAAATTTGGCATGCAGAACAAGTGTCCGCTTCGCTCGTTCATCTGCATCTTCGGCAGCTGCGGCCCTTGCATGCAGCACAAATGAACAGACGAACGAATGGCTACAGCAAGACTCTGGCAGCTTTGTTGATCTGCCTCTTTTGCCTCCTCATCGACCCCCTCAGCTCTGTTGTGACTTCGGATTGAGGGTGTTGAGTTGAACAACTCCTCGAGCGAAGAGGCCCATCTTGCTTGGGCTCTCTCTGAGACTTTCTCGTTGGTCAAGGATTCGATATTTCTGTGTCGCTCCTTCACGAACATATTGCCATCTTCCTGCCAGATAATCAGTCATTCCTGTTTCTGCTGCCCTGTTCCTGCCGTTGCTCTGATTTCCGGACGGGCAGCTTCCGGTCTTTCCAGTCGATCGTTCGCTACATAGACATCGCGCGCGTGGATTTGGGGCTCATTATTCTCGTCACCATCATCATCGCCAATCTCACCGTTGTCCTGTTTGGTCCATTTCGGTCGCGTGTGAAATCGGGGCCAAAAGGGACAGCGCCTTGTCTAGGTATGCCGCACGACTCGGGTCGATATGTTGTACCCATCCCCTGCTTTAGATCATTGGGCTCCACATGCACATTACTGACATGTTCCCAAGCTTTCGCACGGACGCCTAAATAAGCGTCGGAAGCACTGTCGGGTACTTTGGTCGAGACGCGATACTTACTTCTCGCCGCTGTTATGCGCATACCAAACAACACCCGAGCTCGGACATCCTGAAGACGACCTTCGCTTCAAGCCTGAGGTGACCGTTGTACTGGGGCAGGGAAGAACATTATCTGTTCGAGAATCTGTGGCCAACGTAATAAACACTGGAACTTGCTACATACGGATTGGGATATACCTGATGCAGCATTCACGGCCGCCTCACCTCCCTTCCTTCTGCTCGTCGTTCAAGAAACACCGGTTCAGCATCGACAACTCCAGGTTTACCCTCGACCTCAGCCTGCCGAAACCAATCGCTGCGCCCGCCTGGGCATCTCTTCCTACACCTCCCATGTCCGGTTCTCCCCCACCGGAGCCACCCGTTGAACCTCCACAGATTGCCGGGCGCCGAAGAAAGCGGTCACATACTCCCCCCGTAAGCAACACCACTACTGGCGAGACTGCCGTCACCTCACCTGCGACACCACTGGAACAAACCGCTTCAAGGTTCGGTGTGCATGCAAGAGGTGGTGAAACACTTACAGAAGCTCCCGTACAGCCTGGTCCATTTGCGTTGTCATATCCACATCCAGGATCGTATCAATCCCCTTCAAGCCTACCTACCAGTTCTGTGGGCGGACAAGAGTCTCGCTATGTATTGTCTTCAGTCTCGCCACGGTCCGCACGGAAGGCCAAGGCCCATGTTGCTTCGGCCTGTATCAACTGCAAAAAGAAGCACTTGAGATGCGACAACAGTCGTCCATGCAGGCGGTGTGTTGCAAGCGGGAAAGAGGTAGGTTATTTTCCTCATGTTTATCGGGTCTGTGGTAGGCTGATCGATCAATTATTCACAGGACTCATGTGTTGATGTCGAGCATAAAAAGAGAGGACGACCTCCTTTGAAGCCCGAGGATCCTTCTGCAAGACGAGGCTTTGAAACTACAATGTCCTCTATTGGGGGACCATTGGCAGACCCGATGAGAAGGATGCCCGGCTCCGACGTCTTCCAAACCGCAGGCGGACAGCGAGGGTTTAGGCCTCTGCAAGCATATGATCCGTCAAGAGGACCCCCGTTGAGAGGGCCGCCCTTTCAGTCCATGTATGCTCCGCCATCCATTTCTCCGAGTCCAGCCACTGCACTAGGGACGTTTGTTCCCTCTTCACGACAATACCCGTCTGTGCCTGCGCCGATTCCTGGGTCTGGACAAGCGCCGTTACCGGGACACGGCCCTCAGCCTCCTGACCCTGCACTCAGGCCCATTGCATCCTATTCGGGCGGATATAGTTACCCGCCTCCTCAGGGTCAGATGGGCCCTCCTTCCCACATGCCCTTCGCAAATCCTATCTTTCCACGTCCACCTGAGCGAGGAACAGCATACCATAGGGAGTCACTCCCACCCTTACAGGGTCAAGCAAGTCTTCAACTACCACCTATACGACCGTCTGCGGCTGCGCCAATAGACCCTGCCATTACTCAACCTCCTGGCGCAACCGCCCAACCGCCTCTCCGAGCCGAACGAGGGGTCCGTGAGGAGGGAACGCATGATGAGCCTGATCCAAAACGACCAAAGATGGACATCCAAGGCATTTTAGGGCCTCGGCATGACTGAAGCAGGCCGGCGGCATGGCTTTTTGTCTGTTTTCCACGATATTGACCGAGCATGGCGCACATTTTAATGATCTTGTTGAACTTCACCAACGAGCAACGAACACACTTTTGTCGCTTTGGGGGAAATGGTGGCCCCTTTTCCAAAAATAATGTATAACATATTTTGACGTTATCTTGGCAGTCCGTCTGCGCTGGACGCAGGGGGGCATGACAATCAGGTACGATTCATTGTACGGCGAGCAGGTACGACTTCCAACAGATCGGAAGAGTGCAGATTTTCCATAGGAGAGCGACCATCATCGTCATGGCGATTGCATCTCTGGAGCTCTCCGTTCGGGAAGGGTGTGAAACGAGGACCCTATGCACATACATGCTCTCACGATGACGAGCGTCAGGTCCAGGCTATTGTTTTTTCTGCAATCCCAACTCGTCGCATTACAGTACAGATATCATGGTATTGGTCCACAGCACAAAACTGAGCCGGGATATATGCAGGAACGTCAGCTCAGCCTTTCTGAGATGTTGGAGCCTGTGGGTGCACGTCATTCGCCGAGACATTGGGAAATGATTTTGTCGGTTCCCAACAATCACAATTAAGAGCTTTGGGGTGGAAGGGATGTTATCTTAATGGTGTTTGGGTCTGTTAAGCCGACTGCGTGGCTGGTTGTACAGAACGGCTAAGCAAAAGTGGCTGCCACGGAGCACAATTGGCTTTTTTACGAGGACTGTGCGATACGTTCGTACTGGATGAAATGTTGAATGAGACCATTGGGGCCAAGGAGGGGCAAAAAGGGGCCGCTACCAGTGTCTGGCCTATATGTAGTTTGCTATGAAGCATTTTATGACCTATTTCTTCGGTTGCCACAGACAGCAGAAGCGAGAATATGCCTTACGTCGTGTCCTGGCCTGTCTGTTATATCTTGTTATACCATGGTGGCAGCACAATCCTGCTAGGAGGAGACTAGGAGTAAGTAGTTGGCGGGAGGTATCTCCTATCTTCTATTAGAGTTCAGTAATTGCAATAAGGATCAAGAACACGCACCAACCGAGAGGAAAATACACTGCAGTGGTCAGATGGGTTTAATTGTCTTGGCTATTTGGATTCTTGGGACCTCCGTAATTAGGACTCTTCCGTGAGGAATCGGATATTGACTTGTAAGATGGACATATCTCGGCTCGATTATTACAATTGATGGAGTATCAACACTTTCTTTGGCCGCTGGCAAGCAAGCAACAAGACCGGACTTTGTTGACACCTACCGTCTGTACGCAGCAGACCTTGGCATATCTTCTCCGACAATATATCCTCTTTACAACCATCTATATCCCGTGCACACCAGACACGTACCCACAACGATGTCGGGGGCTGTGTACCCAGGTAGCTTCTCCAGTCTTCACGCCTATGGGTACTGTACGGTCGGGTATGCAGGGAATGTACTGTAGGTAGATAATAAATGTAGGTATGTGGGAGGTAGGAGTGTCTGTGGGGTTCATTGAAGTAGTCTTTGTGATTATTATATATAGATAGCACCTTCCAGCGATGGGGACCAGGCCAGAGACATCGTTCGATTGACCGCTTGCCGAGTGAGCTCTTCCGTCCTGTTTTGTGAAGGAATAGGACGCTTCTCTGGTCATTTCCAAGGCGAGGGATTGGGATGGACGGGGAGGCTTTCTGGCTGATACCGAAAGTAAGGTCCTTTTGGAGTCCTGAGCGAAAAGGGGTATAATCCCGCAAGAGTATGTACGGTATACAGTGGTGGGATAAACTTTCTCCCACTTACTAACTAGTAGCCTATCCAACGGAGACAAATAGTGATTCAAGTAGTAGTCGGGTCGAAAATACTGTGACTACTACCATTACGTCGTCGTCGTCGTCGCAAGCAGCCCGGACGCCAAGGCCTCGAGGTCCTCGAGCGTTTGCGGTTCTGCTGTTGCTGCTTCCACGTGGCGGGCACTCTTCGCCTTCCTGCTCTTCGTCTTGTGACGGTCTGCTGTCGTCTCGTCCTCATCATCCGAAGCCGGATCTTCGAACCATTTCCGCTGTCGTTTCGACGGCGGCGGTTGCTCCAATGAGGGCCGTTGGTCTTCTTCTTCGTAGTCCTCGTCTTCAGCCGTAGCCAGCCGTGGCGGCGCCATGAGTTCCCTTTCGGTCTCGAGCTCGCGTCTCTCTCTTTCCTTTCTCTTCTCTTTCTTCTCGCGTCTCTTGGCCCGTGCAATCTCCTTGTCGACTTCGTCCATTTCGCGGGCCCGCTCGCGCTCGCGCTCCAGGAACGCGCGCTTCTCGGCCTCGGCGGCTTCGGGTCCAAACTCGCTTTCGTCGCGGTACGCCTTCTTGTCCTTGGGCGTGTCGGAGTCGCTGTCGAATGTCAAATGGGCGCCGCGGCCTTTGAATTTAAGTAGTTTTTTGCGGGACTTCAGGAGTTTTTCGCGTCGGTGCGAGTCGATTACTAGGGGTTCCGCGGCTGGGTTGTCTGAGAGTTTGATGGTTTTGACTTTCACGCCGTTGGCGTCTGTTTCGCCGCCGCTGACGTTATGGTGGCTTGAGGAGCGACGGCGGCGCTTTTCGGAAGATGGTTTGTTGATTGTTGATTCGGCGTCTGATTCGGATTCTGATGCAGAGTCAGAGGAGGAGGAGGAAGGACGACGACGGTCGCCTTGATGGTCGAGGGCTGCGTCGCCGGCGTCGAAGCGTCGCTTGACTGATAAAAAGTCCATTTCGTTGTCTTCGTTGTCGTCATCCCCAGACGCGGCTCCATCTTCGTCGTGTTCAACTAATTTCGTGTAATGCTCGGCGAGAACGTCCTGGTTCTGTCGCTCGAACATGCGGTCGTATTTGGTCCTGACGCCGTCTTTCTTCTTTTGCTTGCGTTCGCCGTTTTCATCCTCACTACCTTCGCTCTCGAGCGCGGCCAGCAGTTGTCGTGGTGCATTCTTTCGGGCCTTTGCGTCCTCGCCCTTGACGAATTTCACTCTCGGCGTTCCAGGAAGTCCTAGACTGGCGGCGAAAGCTTCGAGGTCTAGTTTCTTGAGGTCGAAGGTCTCCTTGTCCTTTTGGACGTGCACGCTGCGCACATAGCTGACAAAGGCCTTCTGGCCCAGGTATTTGAGCTCCGGGTCCTTGAAACACATGTTCTGCAGCTGAGTTTTGATCGTCTGCTGCATCTTCTTCTGCCGGACGTTGATCTTTTCCACAGTTACTTTCTTCCTCTCCAGCGCTTTCAGCATGCCTTCCTCTTCACTGGGGTCCACAAACATGACTGCTCGCCCGTCCCGCTCGTACCGTGCCGTGCGACCCACGCGATGGATGTATGTCTCTGCATCTTCGGGGCAGTCTACTTGGACGACCCAGTCAACCGAGGGAAAATCCAAGCCTCGTGCCGCAACGTCGGTCGAGAACAGACATGCGTATTTGCTGTTGGAGAACTTGGTCGTGATGTCTAAGCGGGCAGTCTGCTTTTGTCGCCCGTGTAGGTGAAGCAGGGGGATACCCGGCTGCAGGTGCCGGAAGGCTTCGTAGACGAAACGCACTTGTTTGCCACTGCTCAGGAAGACCAAAATCTTCTTCTTGACGTTCGCGCGGATAAACGACCACAGAACGTCGAGCTTCTCGGCCAATGGGGTGACAATGTAGTTCTGTTGGAGGGTCGAGGGCGTGGCACTTTCGGCTCCCTCGTGCACAGACACAAACTCGGGGTCAGTCAGACTGAGTCGAGCCAGATCAGAAACCCTCTTTGTTTGCGTTGCGCTGAACATCAGCGTCTGCCTTTCCCGTGGAAGATGTTCGATCAGCGCATCAAGAGTGGCCTTGAATCCCATGTCCATGATTCGGTCGGCCTCGTCCAGCACCAGCATTTGCAGATTGCCAATGTCGAGCTCGGCCGTTTGATCCATGTGTTGTAGCATCCTGCCCGGAGTGGCCACCAGGATATTCATCCGTCCCAGCCGGTCCCGTTCCTCTTGTAGACTTTTCCCGCCGATCACCAATCCGGCCGAAAATGTATGGTTGCGTCCGACCTTTCGCAGCACCTCGAATATCTGGATCGCCAATTCTCGAGTCGGCGAGAGAATAAGAGCCCCAAGGCCATCGTACCCGGTCCATCTTTTGCGGTAGAGGTTTTCAAGTACAGGCACGAGAAACGCAAGAGTCTTGCCAGACCCGGTCTTTGCGGCGCCCAAAATGTCAGCCCCTTGTAATGCCAACGGGATGGTTCGACTTTGAATCGTCGTCATGGTCTTGAAATGTGATGCGGCGAGGCCATCCTGTGTCGCGGCGGACAGTGGTAAGTCTGTGAAGAGTTCTGGCGGCGTCGAAGCCTTGGGGTCCAACTCGGCCACTCTTTTCGACAGGGCTTCCAGATCCTCCTCTTCCCTCTTGCGCTTGAGGAGTCTGGGCCGCTGGAATGGTTTTTGGGGCCCTTGACCTCCTTTGCGGCGGCCTGGAGGCGGCGCCATATTGCCAGATGATTGGAGTGTGGATGTAAAGTATAGACAAAGTAGTGAGGCAGTTCAAATCGGTTGCGGGCGATGAGAGAAGTTTCCAAAAAATCTTTGGTCCCGTGACCGGGAGTGCTTATCGATAAGAGAATACGGTCGATCAGCTGTGACGGCGAGAATCCACTGCAGTGGCACATGCGCAATGAACCACTCGTAGCGCATAGCACATGTAGTGCAACGATTGTAGTCCAACTTGCCGCCGTGCTTGCGCAAATCATCTACAAGGCGACTACTTGTCTCTGCTTGCTGCCGCGTCCAGTCCTCTATCTGACTGTCGCTCTTTGCATTTGACCAGGGCGTTTGGTGTTCTGTCATTCTTCTTGCGCCCAGCCATCCCGCAGCCTGATCTAGTCATTGGTAAGCCGCAAACTACCAGCCCAAAATGGCTAATGATGAATCCGATGCTCTTGACGTGCTTGAGAAGGAAGCAAAGGAGTATGACAAGGTACGTGTCCGTGGAACAATCTGGCCGAGGCCGCTGACTTCTAACGCGACCATCTAGGATGCCGAAATTGATCGGATCCTCAAAGCCTTTAAACTTGATGCGTAAGTGCTTTGGGCCTTTTCTGGGATGTACAGTCCACTGACTCCTGTTCCAGCTACGCTGTTTTAGACCTGCAGCCTGGTGTCCCCGAGTCCGACATCAAAAATGTATATCGCAAAAAGTCGCTACTAATCCATCCGGACAAGACCAAGAACCCACTAGCGCCCGAAGCGTTTGACCGCCTGAAGAAGGCTCAAGTGGCTTTACTGGATGAGAAACAGCGGCAGCATCTGGACGAATGCATAGCTGATGCTCGGCATCTGCTCATGCGCGAGCACAAATACACAGTCGACTCGGAAGAGTTGAAGACCGAGGAGTTCAAACAGGAATGGAGGAGGAAGACCGTCGAGGTTCTCGTCGAGGCTGAGGCGCGGAGACGAAGACAGATGAAGGCCAGAATGCAGGAAGAGGGTCGAGAGAAGGCCAAGGAGGACGCCGAGATTGAAGAGAGAAAACGGAAGCGAGAGCACGAGAAGAAGTGGGAAGAGACCCGCGACGAACGGATTGGTAGCTGGCGTCAGTTTCAGAAAGGCGTCAAGAAGGGAGAGGAGCAAAAGAAGAAAAAGAAACTGAAAGTGCTAGGTTGATTGATTTCGCTTCCGTACACCTCAGGCTGTCGATGATATGATCATAAGATAGAGGGAAAAAAGGGGTTCGTCCTATTGAGCGTCGACGGGGGGTTCCGGGGTAGATCGTTATTTGAGGCTCGTTTGGCTCTGCAACTTGAATCCCCAAGAGCGCTGATTCGTGCGAATATCGACTGGTAGTTCTCATTGTCTGTATGTTCTGTATGAACGGTCCTCATTCGAAGCAATCGAGCCTTAGCCGAGAGAAGTAGTGTTGCGGCCACTCGTCGCACAGCAAGCTCGAGGGGTTGTCTTGAGGCTCACATCCACAGAGCTGGCCATAACGAGACTTTCTCTTAGTCGACCATGGGAATGCTGTTGAAGCAGCTAGCACTAGACGACTGTCAGGTCGCCTCGTGCCTGTACCTCGTTATTCGTACTTCAATCGGCGGCTCCGAGCCCGACTCGGCTGTCTACTGTAACTTCCCCACACCTCGGAGAAGTGAAGAGACTCACTACTGGCATCATTTCCCATGTTCCACGGCTCACCATCCACCGCCTACTCGACTTCGACCTTGTCTGTTCTGCTTCACTCTGGTGACTAGATACAATCGCATTTGCTGTCAAGCTGTGTGTGTGCCTTGTCGTGTTCATCCTTCTGCCCATGCCTTCGTCATGACCGATACGTCGCTGCCGCCCAACGCCCCCATGACCAACGGCAACGTCGTGCCTGGTCATGGAGAAGCAGATGCATCCTCACATACGAACAACACCGACACGACAACGCCCTTGCCTTCTCTCCAAGACATTTGCGCACTGGTCAATGGCCAGGTCAACGACTTCCTGGCCGCTTCTCCACCGGACGAAGTGACGAAGCGGACTCAAGAGCAGGCAAAGATTGCGCTGGAGGTGATATCCAAAGCATTAGAGGATTACGAGTGAGCGCACCCAACATACCTAAGCAATCGAGGTGGCAATACTGACACTAGATTGTTTTCCTGGCAGGTTCGGCACGCTGTCTTTGTCCTACAACGGCGGTAAAGACTGTTTAGTCTTGCTCATTCTATATCTCGCCGTGCTGCACACCCACTACACACGACCCAGCAGCCGACGGAAACAAGACCAGCAAGAGGCGGAGCAAAATCCAACTTCACAACCCCCTTTAAAAGAATTTCCGCAATCCATCCCAGCCATCTATGCTAAACCGCCAGACCCGTTCCCCGCGGTCACTGAGTTCGTCGAGTACTCGTCTAAACTCTACCATCTCGACCTGACACACATATCGACGAATCCGGGGCCACGACCACGAGAAAGATCGCATTCCAACCCACCCCTGAGACACACATCGTTGCCGGCTCTCTCGGATCTGGATCGACTCGAGCACGAAATCGCCGCGCCCAAACCCATCATCTCCTTCCGCGATGCCTTTGCATTATATCTGACGGCGAACCCTCAGATCCGGGCCATTTTCGTGGGCACTCGTCGAACCGATCCTCACGGCAGCAAGCTGACGCACTTTGACCCAACGGACCACAACTGGCCGAAATTTATGCGCATCCATCCCATCATCGACTGGCATTTATCCGAGATCTGGTGTTTCTTGCGATCCCCACACCTCAAGGATCCATTGACCGGCGGCCCATTGAGGTATTGTCCCATGTATGATGAAGGGTACACCAGTCTTGGAGGCATCAATGATACCTTGAAGAATCCAAAGTTGAGGTATGTCGACGAAAATGGTGTCGAACGGTATCGACCAGCCTACGAGATGACTCAAGATGAAGGCGAGAGACTGGGCAGGGAGTAGGAGTGCCTCGAGAAGGAGCACTTCACCAAGGGCAGCCGCGCAAAAGCCCTTGCTTGTTTTTCTCAACCTTTGGCGTCGTCGAGATATTATGCCAGCGCCAGCTACATTCTTGCTCTCCTGCTCTCAGTTTGGAGCAAATGCCGCAAGACACCCCAGGCCAGCCACGTATCATGTCAGGGGCGTATTGAAGAAGAAGTGTGTCTTGAATCGATCGGTCAAGCGGTATCAGGGAAGTGATCCTGGTCCTTCATTTGGCTTGAAGCGTTGGCCTGTACAGGCTCGGATGGCTCAAAAGGAACGGCCAGCCGCCGACCATGATGATGATCAGTTCTGTTGAGACATGCACAACAAGAGAGCATGACAAAAAGATATTGTGGTAACGGCTTGTTTGAGCTGACGGGAGATACCCAAAAGTGGCAGACCGGCCTATCGGGCTTTGCGTTACGAGTGGAAGGAGGGTTACAATGCTAGAGAATCTAGAAATGCGTCTGAGACAAGCAAAGCAGCTTGGAAAGAGACGCAGACTGCCGGTAGGCAATTCTGACATACTAGAATCATGCCAATCGACCAACCAACCCTGGGCGACAAGACAACACCATGACTGCCGGCGGTGTAGAAAAGAAAAGGAAGGCGAGAAGGGTTTGAGACGAACGAGAACTCGAACATGAGCATATCCGAACCCGGAAACAGGGTCGTCCTAGAGATATATCCTGTGAAGCATTCCATGCCTGGTATACAAATAGATGTGTAGACATGTGGATATCTGTAGTCTCTTACCCTGGGCACAGAGCAGGAATTCATAATTCCTGGAGTTTGTCCAGCCATGACTTCTCCACCTGGAATGGGAAGGTTCCTCAGTCGCTATCGTGACAGGGATAGTAAGTGAATAGCCGCAGCAGTAGTAGTGACGGTGAACACCAGCGTCCAATCATGGTACCGAACACTTAACTATCGCCTCCACAACATGTATAAATATCTGACTTCTAAGAAACACTTCCAATATCGCAAAGACCCCTAGGAGGTGAAAGTACGCCGCTTGACAGAGTAGGATCTCCCGATCCGATGGTCGAGTTGGAAGCCTTGCTCCTAGGCGCCGTGTAAGCCTCGACCGAAAGCACAATGATTTTGGCCCCTTTGGCCCCCAGATGACATGGATATGAACCCTTATTCAAACCCCCTATGACCCTAGGATCCCGTTTCGAGACACGTCCCCCACAAAGCCTGGTTCGACCGGTCAATAGTGAGCCCCGGAGTTACTTGGCCCAGCCAGGAGGCCATCCCCCAACGATACGCCGACTGTCCAATTCGAGGACTCCGTTCCTACTACAGGCTCAAGGCCCTAATCCCGGAGAACACCGCCTCCAAATGAGGGCACGGTTTCACTTCCCGCAACCCCCGACCGAGGGGTTTGTGGAAAAAGTTTTTGTTCTCCTTCAAAGATCAAGTTTATGCCCGAGGCTGAGGTTGGCGATGCCACTATACTGTATTAGTACTAGCGCAGCCTGACCGGACAGCCGCACTTCACGTGACGTATGTAGCACCACCAATCAAATGGGCTCTCCTTCCCTCGGAAATCCGACAACTTCGAGAAGCTGGGCTTACAGTATGGACCATCAATGGCTTGTATGTTGTAGTACCTATATATACACGCTTTATCCAACGGCTTGATTACTCTCGCTCCCGGATACGGCTGTCCGATTACCAGTCTTCTCTCCGGCTTGTCAGCCGCCAGCAACATATGGCGGGAGTCATGCGTGAGTTGGCTGACCTCACTTCGACATGTTGCGTGGTGTGACGCGCACCAGAAGACCTTCCTGCTTGACGAACCATGCATTGTGCGTGCGCCATGTTTGACCCTCCTCCCACAATTCGAGCTGGAATTTCCTCAGCACAGATGGAACCAGCTTGTGCAGCTCGGCCAGGGAGATGTTCTTTCCGATGCACGTGCGGGTCCCTGCTCCGAAGTGCAGCATATACTTGTCCATGGCGGCTGCGTTGTCTTCGAGCCACCTGCCCGGGCGGAACTCTGCGGCATCCGGTCCAAAGATGGAAGTGTCGTAGTGGACCACCGCCGCGTTCATGCCCACACGGTATCCCCCTGGGATATATTGCCCAACAAGCTCAAGACCTTCAGCAGGAACCATGCGACTCATGGTCAGTCCGACGCTCGGGTGTAGTCTCATAGCCTCCTTGATACAGGCACACAGAAGAGGGAGCTTGTTGGCCTCAGCGTATTTGACAGGTGAACTGAGCTCGCCCTTTTCTGCGGCTTGATCAAGCTCCTGCATGAGTTGCTTGTAGACAGACGGGTTCTTGAGGAGATGGTAGAAGACGGAGCGCAAGGCAATGCCAGTGGTATCTGATCCAGCGAACCTGAGCGATGTTAGCTTGTCACGGTGAGTTTGATCTTTTCAGACAAGGAGCTTACAAGGCAATCCAAGCTTCCTGCTCGATTTCCGGCATATTGAAGTCGACCTTTTCGCCCTTCTCCTGGTGGATTGTGTACAACTGCTCGAGAATGTCGGTCCTGTCTTTACTTTTTGCCTCCTTCCCTTCAGAAAAACGTTTGGCTGCACACTTCCTTGCCGCTGTTGCAATGGTATCGATAGCCTTCACGGCTTTGAGAGACCCAGGCACGGCGATCGACGAGGCGAGAATCAGTGGTCGAACGTATGTCGGCACCACCGCGGTCATGCACAGAAAAGGTAGCAACAGGTCCAGAGAATGGATCCACGATTCATGATCACTTCTCGTCTCCATGAAACCAAACATACGCCCGAAATACAGTTCGCCAATCACATCGAACGCGTACCTTGGTAAGTCAGCATCCGAGGCTTCACGAGGGTTCCAAGCTTTACATACATTTGCACCCATCTACCCAGGTCGAAAGGCTTTTTCCCGTCCTGATACTCGGCCATTCGCTCGAGGAACAGCTCGGTACATTTATCAATGTACTCCTCGGACCTGAGCACGTTGCTCAGAGTGTACACATGGTTGATGATGCGTCGCCTCTCGGCGTGGACCTTATCGTTGACACATGTGAACATATCTGGGTGCTTGCTGAAGTTCTGGTTGTTCCAGACCGTGTAGAAGTCGGTCTTCTCGAGAGCTCCTTGGGTGCGATAGATGGTCTTGATGGCATCTGGATAGGCGCATGCAACTTCATTCGGGGCAATCCTGATGAGTGGTCCATATTTGGCATGCAGGCGCCGTTGGACATGTTCCATATCTCCCCGAGCAATCCGGATCAGGTACCATAGTCGACTTACGGATGCCAGCCATGGCCCTGGGATCTTGTGGAGGGGATGGAAGTTCCTGGTATACACAATCCAAAGGACCCAGTATATGACCAGGGCGCCTGAGAGCAAGAGAAGAGAAGAGAGCGAGAAGAGGTTGCCAACCCCGGCCAAAAGAGTGACCATCTTGGAACAGACGGTTGCTCACAAAGAATAGACAAGCTCCCAACGTACAGCGAAGACAAGGGAAACTTTGCTCAGGAGCAAGAGAACTGTTTTTCCGAGGCAGTTCAAGGATGATATACCAGCACCCCCCCATTGCACCCTGGAATGCACTTTTACACGAAACAACCGTCTTCACCTTGGCCGGAGCAGGCCGCTGTTAACTGCCGACCTCCTATTTTCGATTAGAGGAGCAGCATGCCCACCGTGGTTCTGGTTGTATACGACAACTATGCTGGACTACTCACCACTAGTTTTGATAAGCCAGTTTATCTAAAGCCAAAATGTGAGGCAAATGCTCTGGAGATGCCGACGTCCACTGTCACTGGGCGGTTTCATGATGGGCCGACAGAATTCCGCGAGACCCAGTAGCATAACGGTCTACTTATCCCTGCTAGGCTTGCGTCTTATTCTCTCGACTATTGCAGAGTTCGGATGCGATCAACATAGGATACTCTCGTCTCGGGCAGACCCTTGACATCCTAGGACGTTTTCCTGTTTGTGGAAGGCCCGCGTACCATTCTCAAATGCAAAACATCTCCACCATAGGGTCGAAGTGGAGAGGGCAGGCCGTTGCCCCATTTTCCAGGGGAAGGGTTTCACTGAGTGACTGATGATCGTCCAGGACCGAGCCTCGCGTCGTCCGGGGGAGATTCCGCTCAGCCAATCCGGACAGCCTCGCCCGGGTACCGGCCCACAGCATATTTCAACGTCGCTGTGAACCTGACTCGTTCACTTGCACCCGTCACGGTGGAACCGACCATTCTACCCACAATCGTCAAGACATTTCCAATGCCACCTTCTGACCGCTAACCTAGAGATGGCAAGCTTCTCTCCACAGGAATGGTACCTTCTCAAAAACAGGGGAATTGTGATGGCGACAGTTGCAGGAATTTCGTCTGGGTACAATCTAACCTAGTGGCAATGTCCTTTGCTCTTGACCACAATGCAGTGGAGGAATGCTTTCGAAGAACCTTGTCAAAAGCTGACTTGGGTACTCGTCCGCTCCGCCCTGCCCCGGAACGTTGTATCCGCCACCATTTTTCCACCCATACCGCTCTCGGTCGGGTCTAATGCAGGTAAACAAGGCACCGTTGTTAGGTGATACTGATGCCAGACCGTTTCTGTCTGCTTGGAACCTTCGGCATGTGCTTTAGCTCTTCTTTCCTCAATGGTTGCCCAACTCTTTTGCCAATTGCTCGTCACTCTATTGGACTGATCCTGGTATATCAAGGATGACCTTCCGGGGAGGCATCCGCTAACTAGACCATCACAAGGAGGTCCCAGATTCCGTCACACACCAGAGACGCCGTCGACACTACAGCCCCCTGCTACTTTGCACTATGTGCTTATAGACTACGAAGAAGTTTCTGGTTCCCGGCGAAGAATTGCAGATCATCACCAGCCTCGGGTTTGAACGAAACCAGAATGTCGGTGGTGGAGTAGCAGAACACTGCTCGATTTCCTTGAGTGAACAACATATATGATACTGAACCGTCGCCTCCTTTTGTTGCTGGATCCGGAGAGGCACGCCACAGGTCGACACAGAACCTCTCTTCAGTGTTGAGAGTCAAGTGTGCTGGCTCTGAGGAAGGACCATTCGTTCATTCATTCTCTCAAGATCTTGATACAGGAGAGCCACCATCACCATGAGGACCGCTTGGTTGATTGCGCTCATTGTGAGCTTCACAGCCATGGCGGTGGCACAGCAAATGCCAGCCTGTGCTGTACGACTAACCAGATGCTTTGTGAAAGGACGATGCTGACCTGTTGCAGAGTGATTGCCTTGCGAAATTCTTGCCCGACTCCTCATGCGATTCAACGGATTTTGCTTGCATCTGTGCGGATAAGTCCTTGATGGACAATGTACAGACTTGCTCTATGGGCAGCTGCAGCGTCAAAGATGGTCTAAGTATGAGCTCCATCCTGCCTCGACATGATCGAGGTTTGCTGACTCGATGCATGATACAGCGGCGAGAAATGCCACAGCGACACTTTGTAAGGAGCCTGTTCGAGACGCTACGGCAATCACCCCGATCATTGTCGCGGTGTCTGGGTCTATTGCTATCCTGAGCGTTGTCCTTCGACTTGCGGACCGGTGGCCCAATATGGAACGCGTTCAGTGGTCAGATCTGTCCGTCGTCCTTGCATTGGTAAGTATAGTACTGACTACGAGTCATGACTGCGAGGCACGCACTCACACTTCTCAGCTCTTTGGGATTGTCATGGGCATTCTGGAATTTTTCAGTAAGTTTCTCTCTGCTAAGCCTACTTTGTCGTTGTATTGACTATTGGCAGTGTCTAGTGACGGGTTTGGAAAGGACATCTGGACGTTACCTTTCGACAAGATCACTCGTGTCATCAAGGTAAGAATGAACCGGTCCCCCTCGTTCAGTACATCTCGACTTTTTCTGACAAGTCTACAGTTCACATGGTTGACTGAAATCTTCTACGTGGGTGTGATGGGCTTCACCAAGGTCGCCATTCTCATGCTCTACTTGAAAGTGTTCCCTACCCAGCCGTTTCGCAAGTATGCAATCGGGACCTTGATCCTCACTTTTGCCTACATCCCGGCCTTTTCCCTGTCAATTGCATTCCACTGCACTCCGATCTCCTATACCTGGACCGGCTGGACTGGCGAGGAAAAAGGCCAGTGCTTCAATGTCAATGCCTGGGGATGGTCTCACGCCATTGTCAACATTATATGGGACCTGTGGGTCATCTTCCTTCCAGTCCCGAGTCTTATACATCTGCATCTGGGCCGCAGGAAGAAGGTTCATATTATCCTCATGTTCAGCGTGGGGCTTTTGTAAGTGTCATGGTGTTCCTGCTTTTGGAGCGAATACACTGACAGTTCTTTTTCTTAGTATCACTATCGTCAGTGTTGTCCGTCTCAGTACTCTCGTTCAATTCGCCAACACCACAAATGCCACATGTAAGTTGAAGTTTGATTCCCATATATGCTCCTAGCCAGCAAATGTGTCCTTTTTGTGTTTGAAACCTCATGTCTGATATGTTGTTCTTTAACAGATGACAACGTGCCCACGGCCTACTGGAGTTGCTTAGAGGCCTACGTCAGCATCATCTGTTGCTGTATGCCTGCCATCCGATCGTTGCTCCGACGAGTCTTCCCCAGCTGCTTTGGCAGCTCGGCCGACCCGGAATCTCAGGACCAAACCTACCGCATCTCGTCGCCTTTGCACAGCAACGACATCAAAAAGAGCATTGGCGTTAGTGTCAGCGTCAGCGTTCAGCGGGAGCGCTCGCATCGTTCTGGTGACTCGGATTTCATCGAACTGGTCGACAAGCCTGGCCCGGGTGGCCCGGGATTCCCCCGCGACTGGGCATGATTGTCTTTTTGCTCCAAACAGAAGGGCAAAGAGATGGAAGGAAGAAGGAAAAGAAAGGACACAAACTTGAAAAGGGCGTTAATGGCAAAGCCATGCATGCCACCCCAAGTCGTGACCGACCTGTCGGGTCTGTTGCAATTGTACTACCACCTCCCCAACGGCATTGGTCGTACTCGACCGCACGAGGGATGATATGCCCTCCTGTGTGTTCCTGACCTCATGGTACTGACAACGTACCGAATCACACTACGCCGCGCGCGGCGTCTGTTTTCATTATCTTGTTTCCTACGCTGGAGACGAATGTTACAAAGAAAAGAAGAAGAAAAAGGAAAAGAGGGAAGGCCCGCAAGGTGGCCAAAAAGTCAAAACCACATTACATGTCAAGTTCCTGTCGCTATCCAGTGGCGAAAAACTAATAAGTCATGGGTAGTCCTTAGGAGACATGTATGATCATATATGATACAAATATGCTAGATACCTTGTATATGGTATTCCGTCTGAACCACGAAGATGAAGACGGAAATCAAAATCAAAAGCAAAAGCAAAAGCAAAATCATGAAATGGTGCACCGGTCAACAATGATTCAGTCTCTGGCTGACTGTGCTACGTAGCAAAACAAAATTGCGGCATAGAAGGATGTGTGACCTGTCCCAGGAATCAGAAACAGGCTCATCTCCACGAACTCGACCACTTACTAGTACCTAGATTTGGCCTTACAGTAAAGAATCACCCTTCCCAGATCTCAAGACTTGGCTTCTGCTTTTGGGCCCAAGCTATCACACAATCATAGCGACAAGAAGTCTAGCCATACTTGCCACTTGGTCCATGTAGGCAAGGCTTCGGGGAGGCAATTCTTTGCAGGTAGATACAACTTACCTTGATCCTCCACAATTGGATGTACTGTGTAGTTCAAGTGGAGGCACATCATCGAGATGAAGTGAGGCGGTCTCAGGGAGTCTAGTCCCTGTGGACTCACGAATGATAGTACCTAAACCTGGTAGATAGATACCTGGCTCAGTAGTGGAGCCGCACTGCTCTGCAGGACGCGTAATGAAGTACTATCCACCATGGCGATGTTTTGGCTTCCGGCCAGGGGGCACTGGTTCTAAAGACACTAGTACAGTAAGTACCAGGTAGACAGCCCCATGTCACTTTTTGCCACCCGCGGAAGGCCCAAGGATACCTAGGTGTCCCTTGATTGATGGGACTGGTACATTAGTTAGTCCGGTAGTAGAACAAAAGACTATAGTAGTAGTATAGCGGAGTACGCTACCCTAGAAGACGGTAGGTCCCGGGAATGTGGGTTGCAACCGTTGGCTGTGGAATTTGCCCGACGTATAATGGTACTGATCGGGTAAGTATTAGTTGGAAGGCAGGGTGGTGTATATTATATGATGATCATCGAGTCGATGCGTGTCAGTCAGTCTTGACACGGTCTAACAGGCTGGTTCGACAACGGGGAAGCCTGCATGGGGACGATGATAATCCCAAGGAGCTAATAATGCCCGGACTAGAATCCAGAATAAAATCTCGAATCCTGCTGGTATCGTAGTCGATTCTACCAGCGGGTCGGTCCCGAAGATGTGGATTGCAACCGTTGGCTGTGGAATTTCCCCGGCGTAGAGTGATCTGATAAGGGGTGTATACCTTGGTTGGAAGTGTATATGATGATCATCGAGTCGGTGCAAGCAAGTCAGTCTCGGGCGTCCCGGCAGTACAGGGTGCGCTGGTAAAATAGAGGTTTTCCGGGCAAGAGGCGTCCATGATGATAAACAAGTACCTGCCTACCTTACCTACTAGGTAGGTAGGTGGGCCAATGGTGCCAGGGACTGGAATCCAGAAAATCTCGAGTCCTGACGGTGTAGTAATGACTTCTTTCTGAGAAATTTGGGTTGTGTTCTCAGGAGCGAGCAACAATTCGGAATGAACATCTGAGAAAAGGGAAAGTGACTCCTGAAGGCTGGATGGAGGGAAGCGGGGAGAGGATATGAGTCGACAAAAGTGTACCTTACCCAGGTGTACAACACTGTAAATTTTCATTGATTTGGCTTTCTTGCGTGTATGTCCACTGTATACTGTGAACAGCCGAGGAGCTGAGGATACTGTATACATATATATGTGAAATACCTTCTGCTTTCGTGTCTTCTTGCAGGAGCGGTTGTTGTCCTTGGACAGTGGCTAGTCTTGCGATACAAGGTGAATCTCTTCGCTTCATAAAGCACACGTGTCTTTGTCCGCACGCTTTATGCATTTTGGCATGTATGCTCCCAGGCGATAAGAGGACCTTGGCAAGGAAGACGGGACGATTTACAATTCCGTGGCTTGGACTACTCACGAATGCTGTGCCCGTATTGGAATAAATGGTCGTTCGCTGTGCCAGACGGAAGAGCCATTCACTGACTCGGAAATCACTCACGTGAGCATGAATACTGACTGAGGCAGTGGTGCAATATGGGAAACGGGCTGCCAGTGGTTCACTGCCAAAGAGACCCTGAAAGCGGCCTGAGCGAGGTTCCCTTCAGCTTGGCACAAGGTGAAAGTGGGAAATTTGTACTGTACCGTGGTAGCCTGCCACTGTAGTGCGATCTGTCCAGTTTCGCGAAACTCTATCTTGTACCAAGAGGACAGGCTCACGCATCTACCTTTGAATCTGCACTGCTTCATTGCTGTGCGAGTTGCTATCACCTACAACGCGCAACCTTCCTCCAGCATCATTCTTACTGTGCACCACGCTTGAGCTCTCAAAGTCCATCAAATCCCGCGAAAGCAATCCATCCATCATGAATCCCCTCAGCCCTCAGATGTATGTCACACTACCAGCCCTCTCCTTGATGGTTTCGCGCCATGACTGACCATTAACAGCACCAACTTGGTGATCATCCTCGGGATGATGCAGGTGTCGAAGCGCATTCCGTTCGATGACCCCCAGGTCCTGACGGGCGTCCGAGTTCTCTACGTCGCATCCAACCTGATCATCTTCGCCCTATACTACTATATTAGATTGAAGATCAAGGCGAAAAAGGGTATGTATCCAGACCCGACTCCTAGGCGCAGCGATCAAGAAGTACGGTCATACTGATCCTTTGTGCACCGCAGACATGACCACATTGAAATACGTCGAACCTGCCCCAATGGGATCGGGTAAAGAACCAAAACTCGTCACCACCACCGTCCAGGAGTATGATCAGAGCCAACTCGCGGCCGCTTACAAGGCTCAACTCATGGGAGTGGCCATGATGGCGTTCATGCACCTGTACCTCAAGTACACGAACCCACTTCTCATCCAGTCCATCATCCCGGTCAAGGGCGCCCTCGAGTCCAATTTGGTCAAGGTCCATGTCTTTGGCAAGCCTGCGGTCGGCGAACTCAAGAGACCTTGGAAGGCTGGCGGTGGCATGATGGGTATGGGCGCCGGTGAGGCTAAGAGCGACAAGGCTAGCATTGAGGCTGCTGAGCGGGCTGGTCGTGGCGGAGCAAAGGAGGAGTAAATAAACCACAACGGACAGTCCGGGTCTGCCAGATGGGAAAAAGCAAGAATTGATTCAAGTTGTACATAACCTGCATTGCATCTTGGCGCGCAGGTGGCTTTCAATGATAGAGATCTCGGCAAAGATGTAACGGCAGGATGCACCCGTTCTCTCCGTCTTCCTTCTATAGATTGTATGGGATGGCAAGTGCTTGCCCTCGCTTGAAGTTCTCCCCCTCCACGAAATATATGCGTGAATTCTTCTGGTCTGGACAGCATCATCTTACTGTAACCGCCTGTCTTGTGATTTCTACTCTGCATTATTAGTCGGCCGTGCATTATTAAACGTATGCGACATGGCAAGGATTGTCTGGCTTGAACAGTGGCTGTAACACGAGCTTTGTCAGAAAAGAACGCGGTTGTACGGCAAAATGATCGGATCAATGGATAATCCGCCCCGAGTGCCGTACTGCCAGAACAGAGCTTCCAGGCGATTGGACCATGGGCGAGAAAAAGCGCCAGGCTGTGCGAGGCCATTGCTGCTTTGAGTCCAGCTTCAAAGGACACCCTGGCAGGCGCCTGGTATGATAGGCAATGCGATCTTGAGTCAGACAGGAAGGCATGGATACGGATATGTTAGGAACGTGTTATTGCATCACAATGGCACTCCGCTGTGGGTTGGCGGAGCATATATATATCACACCGTTACTCGCAGTTGACGCAACAGTAGAATGATCGGATAACCACCATTCTCCGCTGATCAAACATCGACATCGCATGAAAGAAAGAGATGTAAGTAAAATTTTGTATACCACCACCGCTACCTAGGTATCGTGTCCCGAGGTAGAGGATTCCCATCCGGTTCTCCTTCGTCGTCGGCCGGAATTCCATTGTTTGATTATCGTTCACGATAACTGTTGCTGCTAGCTACGGGGAAGTGGTACGGGATTGGCGCTTGAGCTGTCAGCCGCTGCCACTGCAGTGCATCATCTGCCAAGACCGCGCAGTCCCAGACCCAATCTTCGAGCTTGGAGGGACACTGCGGTGGACAGCTGGCCACTGGTACTGCAGTCCCGGATCATTCATTCACCAAACTTGAACTGCGTCCTGCCCCTCAACGTCAACATCTCGCCCCACCATCTGCTTCCCAGCAGTACTACAAAAAGCTTTCCTCATCATTCCATCACACCACTTTCGTTGCATTCTAACAGTTTCAACGTCAGATACAGCATCCTCACCTCCTCGATTGACCCCAGAGCTCAAGTAACACTTAAAACAGGTGAGTACAGCCTGATCTTGTTCCGCCTGCATCCTGGAGGCTACAAAAAGTCCATCGAAACCGTGACGACCCAGCTGACCTCAACCTTTTCCCTCCCAGAAATCTTCATTCACTCGAGATCAACATGCCTGTCAACGTCGGAATCAACGGTTTTGGCCGTATTGGAAGAATTGTAAGTCTCAGCAAAGCACCTAAGGCCTTGTGTCCTCGCTAACTCGTTTCCAGGTCTTCCGAAACTCGTGAGTTCAGCCTCGTTACTGTCCTCAGTCATTGGAACATCTCCTAACACTTACACAGGGTCGAGCACGATGATGTTCACGTCGTGGCCGTCAACGATCCTTTCATTGAGCCTCACTACGCCGTACGTGCCATCGATGGTTCTTCCCCGCAGATTCCGGAATATGCTGACAAACGCAGGCATACATGCTCAAGTATGATTCCACACACGGACAGTTCAAGGGCACAATCGAGGTGGATGGCGACAGCTTGATTGTCAACGGCAAGAAAGTCAAGTTCTACATGAAGAAAGACCCGTCGGAGATCCCATGGTCCGAGACTGGAGCCACCTACATTGTTGAGTCCACCGGTGTCTTCACCACCACCGAGAAGGCCTCTGCCCACTTGAAGGGTGGTGCGAAGAAGGTTGTCATCTCCGCTCCGTCGGCGGATGCTCCTATGTTCGTCATGGGTGTCAACCACAAGGACTACAAGTCCGACATCCCCGTCATCTCCAACGCCTCCTGCACAACAAACTGCTTGGCACCTTTGGCCAAGGTCATCAACGACAAGTTCGGCATGAAGGAGGGTTTGATGACCACCATCCACTCGTACACCGCAACCCAGAAGACCGTTGATGGACCATCGTCCAAGGACTGGCGAGGTGGCCGAACTGCTGCTCAGAACATCATCCCCAGCAGCACTGGTGCAGCCAAGGCCGTCGGCAAGGTCATCCCATCGCTCAACGGCAAGCTCACCGGTATGGCCATGCGTGTGCCTACCGCCAACGTTTCCGTTGTCGACTTGACCTGCGTGCTCGAGAAGCCCGCTAGCTACGACGAGATCAAGAAGGCTATCAAGGAGGCTTCCGAGGGCGAGCTTAAGGGTAAGCGGAAACACCCCACAGTTTGGTTGCCAGCTGATTGACTAACGTTATGTCTGTAGGCATTCTCGCATACTCGGAAGACGCTCTCGTTTCCACCGATTTGAACGGCGACCCACACTCGTCCATCTTCGATGTCAAGGCCGGAATCGCCCTCAACGACCACTTCGTCAAGCTGGTGTCGTGGTACGACAACGAATGGGGTTACTCCCGACGTGTTCTCGACCTTTTGGGTAAGTACTTTATCCGGTTCGGAAGTTTTCGGAGCTGCTGCTAACCAGGCTCTAGCCTACATTGCCAAGGTTGACGGAAACGCCTAAATGCGATCGCGACAACTCGAATTCCCGTTCACCGAGGCTCTCCCGCGGAGTTTCCCCGCGTTGGTACGGATGGAAGTCGTGAAAGGGTTTCTCTGCGGGCCATGGTGAAAATCAAGATGGAAAACATAGAATGAAAACCATTGAAAGTACGAATAGCCTAAACGCAGCGTATCAGTATTCTCAAACATGAGTTAGCCGTTCCATTGATAAGTGCAAGTCATTGTTTTTAACTGGATGTAGCCTGTTGATGCCTCAACCCCAGAAACCCCAGATTCAGGTTTGAGGTATTACTGCAGTGTGCTACAGATGCGTGCGACCGAATGACCGAGCGACAGCCGAGTAGTTTTGCAGCTTCTTCGCTCTGAACTGCAGTACTAGTGATACGGCGGATCATTGATTCTTGCGTGGACTATAGTTAATCACGTGATCTCAGCCTTCTCCTCGAGCACGTGACAGACTCTTGGCACTCTTCTGGCGCTGCCGGCCGCCCTTCACTGGCATGCAGTGTCCTGCATGTCGCTGGGCGATAAGAAGCCCCGTACCAATATTCTCTTATTGAACCTTGTGATAGCAGACAAGGTCCTGGGTAGGGCTCACGACTGCTCTTTTCGAAAAGCCATCCAACGGCAGTGAAAACTGTGCTCGCCCATTGGCGTGGTTGGGCAACGACAAGTCTCCGACAACACACTCCCCGGTCTGGACCCAGAGGTATGCTATAGTGGACACTCCCTGTCCCAGTCCCTTGCGCCCTATATTCCCGTTCTGCCTGACCTACTCAAAATGATAGTATGCTAGGGATAGCCTATGTGCTCCAGACTAACTTCCAATTATAGATCTCGTCAAAGATACTCTAGGACGTTTAAGACGCAAAGGATCTAACTCTCATTGCCGATCCGGCCTGCTGTTGTCATTATGCAGTTTTTCTGACCAACTTGGTATCTCTGAGCAAGGATTCAAGGAGACAATCCTCTTCTGACGAGGAGAGGCGGGGCAGATGTCTGCGCTTCCTTCCTCTGGTCAAGGGGACATGACCGCCCAGTCTTCCAATGGGTCGAGATATCCTTATCCTATTCCCACGCTTCAGGGACCTCAGCCGTCAGCGGACACGTCTATGAAGGATACAGATACTCCTGACGCGTTCGTGGGTGTGGAAGACCGATTCAAGGTCGAGACCTCTGAGGAAGAGGAATACGAAGATAGTCTCTTGTCCGATACGGCTTCGGAACTCGATGACACGGTTCCTAAACCACCGCGCGGTTTACCGGTCGCACAGCTACCAACTGGACTATGCTATGACGACCGTATGCGGTACCATGCCGAAATCGCGGCAACAAGTGGCGAGAATGTCCATCCTGAGGATCCTAGACGCATTTACTACATCTACAAAGAGCTCTGTGAAGCTGGCTTGGTAGATGATAAGGACTGTCCTCCAATGGTGGAGGTTCCTCTCAAACGGATCGAAGCGCGGGAGGCCACGCGGGAAGAGTGTCTCCTCGTCCACACTCCAGAGCATTACGACTTTGTTAAGAGCACCGCTGGTAAGTACGATATGCAGAAATGACAAGCTCGCGCTCAACGGGCAGAAAGCTGACTGTGAAGCGTAGATATGTCGGATGATAAACTCATTGATCTTTCCGAGGACCCGGAGATGGACTCGATTTACTTCAATGCCTTATCGTTCTTCTCGTCCAAACTTTCAGCCGGTGCCGCCATCGAAACTTGTCGCGCGGTGGTGTCAAGGGAAGTCAAGAACGCCATTGCCGTGATTCGACCTCCAGGGCATCACGCCGAAGTCGATCGCACCATGGGGTTTTGCTTGTTCAATAACGTCTCCATCGCTTCCAAAGTATGCCAGAATGACTTTGGTGAGGGTTGTAGGAAGATCCTTATCGTCGACTGGTGGGTACTGCCTATAAATCAAATTATGGCTGACAGTTACTGACGATATTTCTTCCTTAGGGACGTACATCACGGTCAGATTTGCGCTCAATGTTGCCTTCCTTGTAGGATTTACTGAACTTGACTTTAGGCAATGGCTGTCAAAAAGCCTTTTACGACAATCCAAACGTCTTATATATTTCTCTTCACGTTCATATGAACGGCATGTTCTACCCCTCAGGAAATGAGGGAGACATGTACCATTGTGGTGCTGGCGCAGGCCTGGGAAAGTAAGTTTGACCCTACCCTAGGAAAACTGTTCACGCTAAAATTATCGAAAGGAACGTCAACATTCCCTGGCCTACTAAAGGAATGGGTGATGGCGATTACATGTACGCGTTCCAGCACGTGGTGATGCCTATCGCAACTGAGTTCGATCCCGATTTTGTCGTCGGTATGGTCTTGACTCAAGATTCGATATGTCCATATACTCACATTTGTCTCAGTGGCTTCAGGCTTCGACGCGGCTGCGGGAGATGAGCTAGGTGGTTGCTTCGTCAGCCCGCCTTGCTATGCACACATGACACACATGCTCAAGTCATTAGCTGGGGGGAAGATTGCTGTTTGTCTCGAGGTGAGTTTCCTATATGCTCTCCTTTGTTAGCATTTCTAACCTTTGATGATAGGGCGGTTATAATTTCCGTGCTATCTCAAAATCTGCCCTAGCGGTCACCCGTACCCTGATGGGCGAGCCGCCGGATAGACTTGTTGCCACCGCTGCAACTGTCTCCGCCGTGGACACCGTCAATAAGGTTCGGAACGTCCAGTCTAGGTATTGGAGAAGTATCTATCCCAAAGGTAAGCTTCTGGACTAGAACCAGACCCAGGTGAGATCATGTTAACCATGACGTAGAACCTGTGGGTGGTATCTTTGGTGGTGAACGATTGCATGGTATGTTTCGCTAAGCTCGTGAACATGCGACCGAGTTGTTAATCGATCGAACAGACATCATCCGACAGTGGCAGGCTGCCCACCTTTATGACAAATACAAATTGACTCAGCTGCATATTTACCGCGACACTATTTCCAAGTCGTTTGACCACCAAGTTCTTGCAACGTGAGATGCACGTATGATGATGCAGCCTGTCTCAAAAGCTAATGTGATATGCCCAGACCGAACTTCGAAAGCAAGAAGAACCTGGTTATTATATTCCATGACTCGTACGTTGCTCCCCTTCTCTCAAGCTTTTACATCCGTTTGGTATTCCAAGTGGCTAATCACTTCCGAAACTCAGGCCTGACTTATTGGGCGTCGGCAACGGTTTGACCACGCAGGCGAAGCCGCATGATACGTGGATGGTGAGTTTGTTCTCCCCTTTTCGAGAACATTGGGCTCGCGACGCGTTGGCCCCCTTTCTTTCCCATGATTCCAAAGCATACTTACATTACCAAGGTTGACGGCTCACAGTCGTACATCCGCTGGGCGGTCTCACGGGGGATGGGCGTCATCGACGTCAACATCCCGGAAGTTATCACCATCTCGGACCCCAATGATCCTGAATACAACGATGCCGAAGTCGACTATGCCTCTACGGCGACAGACGTTGCACGAAGAGAAGGCGAAAAGCTTGCCGCATATCTTTGGGAGAACTATGTCGAGCCGTACTTCCGAGGCGGCATTTTCCTGATAGGTGCAGGCCATGCATTCCATGCCATTGCCAAGCTGGTTAGCGAGAACGGTACGTCTTTCCTCCCTTTGCTCTTCCGGCATTGATCTTTTGCGGACATTCGCCCCTTGTCACATTATGGGATTGTGGATGTGTCGACCGTGCACTCCGCTCCCATGGGGAGCGACTGCGTCATAAGGGTATAAGAGGAACATATTTCTAACCGGAAGAATTGAACGATTTAGAAAGCGTCTACCCTACCCTGCTCGGAATCGTAGGCTTCATTTCTACGGAGCCGATCCGGCCAATCTCCAACCCCGGCTCACACTGGGTCAGCCAGTGGTACCGTGACAACAGCCTGGTGTACGTGTCCAAAGTGCACAGCTTGTGGAAGAAAGAAGGCAAAGCCTCGAAACGATACGGCAATCTGGTGCGGTCAAACGGAGAAGTGCTCAATCAGATGATGAAAGTCCATGAGCAGGAGGTGTTTGCTTGGATGATTGAGAAGATCAAAGAGAACGGCGATGACGAGAGTACAGAAGAGGATGAAGACGGTGAAGACGCCGAGGGTAGGGACAGTGACGGCGATACTATCGACGATCCGAGCTCCTCGGAGCAGCAGCAGTCGTCGTTGAGTGCAGCCGGTGGTTCCCGAATCCCAGATCGGAACGGGAACGTCGAGAACGGAGGTGATGTGTTGATGACCACGGAGCAGTGACGCCTCGCATCATCCCCATCACCGCAGTGGTGGGAGTTAGAACAGAATAAACATGATGCGGGAAGTTGGTGACAACTAGTGATTTACTGTGTTTGAGCTGCGGCGGGTCATGGTCGCCGAACCAAGGACAACGTATGCAACGAGGCGTACATGCTGCGATGAGTTGTTTTGTTCCTAAGCGGTGCTGCTGATATGGCAGCTGTATATATCTCATCTTGGTTGGCGTTCCCTTTCCTTAGCAGTCCATGCCTACAAGGGGAACGGCCAGGTTACTTCCTACAGCCGGACTGCAACAACATTTCATTTCCGCCGTATAGGCCGGGCTTCCACTGAATAATGATAAATCGATGTGTATGGTCGGGGGATCATTCCAGGTACATGTAGATGTATCAAGAGTATAGTATGAAGACAGGGGCAGAAGAGCACTCTGGGCTGTTAGGACCATGAGGTGGTGGTATGCGTTCTTTGGCGAGGCTGCAAATGAGGGATGATTGAGCGTCCGCCATGGAAGTCGGAGACCCACTATTTGGACCATTGCAGTTTTGGGTTCTGGACCCTGATCATGATCTGCATATCATTTGGAGTCTGCGCATGATTTTTTGACGCCGTCCATCTCAAAGGGACATTCCTCAGAATTGATGCTTTGAACTCGCATCCTTTTTCCCTGCCCTACTACACCATCCGCCGATACGAACACGCCTTTTGTCGCGTGGTGTGTGTCGACCATTCCCACAGGCTCGCACCCATCCCGGCCCATCGATAGAACACCGTCGAGGATAAAAAGAACACAACTCGGAGGAAAGACCTTGGGTTCCCGAAAGGACATACAACACAACAAGAGAAGGACAAGCGGAAATTTTGCTCATTCAATTCACAATGCAGCGCTCCCCACTTACGGGCTGTACGGCTTGCCGTCAATCGTTCGTTGACACCGTCACCTCTCTGGTGGCGGGCATCTCGGTCTCCAGAAGGACAGGTCAAGCAGCGGCGGCGACGACAACGGGAACAAAACGGATACAGCAGCGTGGATTGATGGTAACATCAACTCCTTTACGCAAGCCTCTCCACCGCGTACAATTCATCTCTCCGTCGACTACAACAAGATCGTTCAGTTGCCTACCAGGAGCAAGTCTCCGTCAACAACAGCAACTTCCTTTATCGTCTTCTGCGGAGAGTGAGCGGCCGCAATCGGACAGTATTTCGGATCCCGACTCTTCGTCTTCAAAACCATGGTATCTCCAAGTCGAAGAACCGACCCCCCCAGCCCCCATCTCGCCACTCCTCGCACTCCAAGAAATCCCCCCCCTGCCCGCCGACCCGCCGGCCATCCTACAACCTATTCTCGAACATCTATCTGTCCAAATCGGCCTGGACAATCTAGTCCTACTAGACCTACGCCACTTGGACCCCCCGCCGGCCCTGGGTGCCAATTTGATCATGGTGATCGGAACAGCCCGCAGCGTCAAACACCTCAATGTCTCGGCCGACCGGTTCTGCCGCTGGGTGCGGAAAGAATATAAACTGCGTCCATACGCTGATGGCTTACTGGGTCGCAATGAGCTCAAGCTCAAGTTGCGCCGTAAAGCGAGAAAAATGAAACTCGCCCAGAGCGTCGGGAATACCATGGCCATGCGCGATGGTGATGATGGCATCACTACCGGTTGGATCTGTGTCAATATGGGTGCGGTGGACGATGCTGTTTTGCCGGATGGGCTTGTTGATACCTTGACGGTTGAAGCTGGATCTGGAGCTGAAGCTGGTGTCTTCCTGGACAAGGAGGCGGTGGAAGTGGAAGCGGAAGTGGATGTGGATGAGGAAGAAGACGAATATCAAAATCCCCCGGATGCTGAATACGTCGGGTTCGGCAGTCGGCCGAATTCGCCAAGGATTGTCGTGCAGATGTTCACAGAGGAGAAGAGAGTCGAAATGGACCTCGAGGGTCTTTGGAGCGTTCGTAATACCAGGCGAGCACATCGTGAGGAGAAGGCAATGGCTGAGGTTGGGTTGGACACTAATAATTGAACTTGGACGACCGGCGGTTTCGAGCCACATATCTGTATGTGATAAAACTCGCTACTGAAATATCAGGTAGGGGCTAATAATGATTTAGGATGACACCATATCAATAAACCGGTCGGATTCTTGAAATATATCCAAGCTTTCTTAAGTTCAAGTTTAGGCTGAAGAGTCGAGTCACGGGTTCCGACCGCAGTTCCTCGCCCTCTTCGGGCCGGACATGAAACTTATATATGTGGATGTTGCCTAGAAGACTCGTACAATCGTCCGGCAACCTAACCTGCTTTGATCCGACTGTTCTTCAAAGCCTCATGACACGAACCGACTGCAAGGAGTCTTTGTGTCGGGGACGTCGACCTCATGCAGCGCCCGCGCCGGGGCCGGTCGCAGCTTTTCCGTTTCAATCCCACAGGGCCTTCTCCTGATCCTCGTTCTGGCGCCCAGGGCCAGGAGTGTTTCCTGCACACCTGCCTTTGTTTGTACACATCAAAAGAAGAGGGCAAACATGGCACGTAGCCTCCAACGCCGCTGCCGCCGCTGCCTGTGATGCGGTCTCCCATCGGTTCCATGGTTTCTGGCACGCTTTTTCGCGACAAGAATGAGCCGATGCTAATGAGGAAGACGGAAAAAGATCTGTAGCATGCAATATTGCGCCCGTTTCGGTTTGCTGGCCCAGGCTACCGAAACCAATGGGCAGGCTCGACCATTCAATTCCCAGATTCGGTCATTTCTCGTCGAGTATCATACAAGTCAGATTCCATGCTCGCTGTAGTTCGGCGTTCAAGGGGAAACATAGAAACGATACCCTCGACATCGTGTTTCGATCGGCGCAACAAAATGTCGGTTGTCCGAGACTCTGCACGGTTTTGGGTTCATCAAATACCAAGCAACCATTTGGCTCGTTCGTAGACGTAAAAGCTGGTAGCCGCCAAAGGCACCACCTTGACATATCCAATGGACAGACCGACGAAAAAGCCTCGCCAGCCTCTTTCCAGCCAGATCCTGCGGGCTGTTTCGGAGATGCCCAACCTATGACCATCCCCGACGGCGCCGCCGACTTGCATCCGCCGACGGATGACTTCGAGCGGATATGAAGCAGTCTGCGACACTAGGCCGGCCATGGCTCCCGAAGTAAGTTCGGCCGGGGCCGTCAGCTGGCTTCTCGGCTGGACCTTTGTGGACGAGTTGAAATCGTTTGAAGAGCCTGCGGTGGATCGCATCACCGTGTACGGCGCCAGGACTGGATGACGCAAAAGATCTCCGATCGTGTCGTGCGTCAAGAAAGACATGCCGGCGTAGGGCAGCATCCCCAGTAGAGTAGGTGCAAACCCGCGATAAAAATTGACCAGGCCCGACCTGGGCACGGGGACTGGTAAAGGAACTGCTTTATTATGCGCGACCACTCCCGCGGCGGAGCCCTTTGGTGGCCCTGCCAACGATTCGGTGTGTTGAGGTGATGGTTGTTCGTGGTATATTTGTTGGCAAATGCGAACCAGGGAGGATCGCGAATCTCGTCTTGTCTCAAAGGCTAGCCGGACCCGCATGACTTCGAGAGGGTACGTGAAGAAGACGGAGGTGATTCCGGCCAACGACCCGGACAGAAACCGTCGAACGGGCGTCTCGTGGGCTTTGTCGGGGATGACGAATGCGCGAATCTGTTCGTACGCTAGAAATTTGATCCCGGCATAGGGAAACACCCGCAAAAGGGTCGCTGAGTGGCCGCGAAATAGACCCCGGACGCCTTCGTTGTGGTAGATGTCTCGCATCGCCGTCACCACGCCGAACCAGCTGCCTGTGTATTTTGCGAATTGGGGGTTCGAAGCTTGAAAAAGAATTTTGACTCGGTCCAGAGGGCCGACGACGGTTTTGGCCTACATTCACAATCGGTCAGCATTGCATTGTGGCAGGTAACATGGTAACCGTCGAAGAAAAACGCACCGCACATCCCGCCAACCCGCCAGCCAGGCCGCTGCGCAGAATATAATCGAGGCTTCTCTTATCCATAGGTTGTTTGCTTTGTTGTTGCTGGCGGGCGCCAGGGCCCTGCAATGTCACCGCCGCATCGTGCTTCGAAGGTGTAAGCTGTGGCGCAGGCCGTTGTGTTGGTGGTTCCTCGAGCAGTCTCGAGGGGCCTCGGCTGTCCATCTCGGATGGTTGTGTGGGTTGTAGTGTTGTGGCTGCTGCATGGCCTGGGCCTGGGAAAGGCATTCAATGGCCTCTAACACATATCGAAGGGAAAGAGGTACGAGTGACACGTCGGTAGTAGTAGTGGCGGTGGTGATGGGCACTGAATCATGGGTTTTCGGCGATGCAGTGGTGATGATTGATGGTGGTGGTGGTGGTGGCCGCCGTCAAACCGCACAGTGCTGCACTGTAATCCCGAAGCTTGGAGCGACGTCCGCGGTCGGCACGGTTTCGGAGCCGTCATTCTGGACAAACAGCACTGGCAAGGCTGTGATAGGCTTGGGGAGGCTTAGCCAGGCTTAGGAGACACGCCCGGGGGGCCCGATTATGCCGTGATTACTTATTCCGCCCTCCGCATAGGCGGCAGAGGTCCCTGGAACCCACCCCTAGGCTCGCGGCACCGCCCCATGCTGTTGGGCGACTCCCCGGATCGCGCACACATTCCACACAGTGGCCATCCTCCATCCCGGGCGCCGGATCCGAAGCCTTTGCGGCGGCTTTCCGCGGTTACTGACGGCGCAAGGGGCAAAATATATTGTACAACCACGATCTTAAGAATGATCCCTTCGAACGAACTGATGCAAGATGGCTTGTATGCGACTGCTCACATAGTCTATGCTAGAAATACATATATAATCTGAAGGGCGCGACGCGTGTCGCAGGTGTATATATCTATCATTTCATGAATTCTCGCTTGTCTTGGGCGGCGGACTCTCCTCAGCGATACCGTGCACCACCTGTGAGCTGCGCCGACGAGATCTGCCGCTGACATTGGACGAGACCGGTGTCAACGCTGTTTTCTTCGTTGGGGGCTGCATTCCTCCCGTGGCCGCCGATGCTGGTGCTGGACTTGAGCGGTGCGTTGTTCCCTCAGTGGCCTCAGTGGATATAGGCTCTAATGTCGGCACAAACACGGGCGCCTGTATCGAGCTCCTCTTTCTCGAATGCAGGGCTCTATCCGAATTCTGGGGGCTTCTGGACCGATTTCTCGACGCTGTTACCGATGACATCGCATCCGAAAAAGTGCTCTTTCCTAGCCATATGCTGTCCCTCCTCCGGCGTCCCTCCGCTTCCCACCAATGCCGAGTCCGAGGTGGTTGATGATTGAGCTGTCCGCTGCTCGACACGCGCTGCACAGCGTGTGTAGCACGCCCTTCTCCATCTGGGGCTCCTCGCCCAAACATGGTTTTCACCCGGTCCCACGCGGAATGCAGAGCACAGCGTAACGACGCGTCTTCTTCCCTTCGTCGTGTCTTTTCCGCCCAGGAAAATATGATGCCGTCCGCCCCGGCTTGAAGGCTCAGCATCATCGACACGACTAGATTCAGCCAGAACACGGGGTGTCGAACATAATAGTCGTTGTAGTATAGCACGTGCTGGGCAAAGGGGAAACTCCACATGACCACATACACGGCCGGATAGACAAACATGTATCGTAACTGCTTGCGGATTGCATTCCGGGTCTCTTTAAGCGGATCATTGACATCCTTAGGCACTACCATTGTTGTGGAAACACCTGGCTCGGGGTAAAGGCTGGAGCCTGCTGGAGCTTCTGAAGTCTTGCGGCTCTCTGTCCTAGATGAATCGGATGCGCCCACTTTTATTGAAGGGTCGCCCAAAGGTGTGCGAGTCTCGCTGGACCAGGCACTTCCAGGCCCGGCAGACGGTGCTCCTTCCTGCTGCTCGGCCCCATGCTCCGGCACAGTGGCTTGCAGTGGTTTAGAAGTGATGAAACTCATATAGTCCCAGGGCTCCAAATTGTCAGATGCTGTCGATTGCTGAGGCGGTTTATCCGAGGCCCCTGCCTTCCATGATGGCAGCCTCAAGTTGGACAATTGCATCTGTCGACTGGCGCTGCCGGCCAAGTTCTTCTCTATGTCATCAGGTCGAATAGACGAATTCCGGCGGTCGTTCGAGCTGGAGCTATGGGACGAACCGGTGACGCCTAGGTTGTCAAACCCATGAAATTTGATCCGGACATAAACGTAGATCCAGATGTACATGGCGAAGATGACGGAAATGACCAGGTATCTCGGCACCCAGCCCAGCGCCAACCGATACCAGTACGGCCGCTTGGGCAAATAGCAAAACGTGCCTGCCGTGACATAGCCGTGACCGTCTTTTATAAACGCCAAAGAGGCGGCCAGGAGTGGCGGTCCTAGCCAGAGGAGATATATCCACTTTCGATAGGGATAAAGGCCGCCTTCACCCTCTTTGCTATTTGGCCAGAGGATGTAGGTGATGGAATGTAGAGCGATAATGAGAATGGACATGTCGGCGGATTCCACGGCAAACTCGAGGAGGAACCCGCTTGCCTGACACCAATTTGACGAGCTCTGGACGGCGTGACTGGCGAAGACCACTATGGGGAAGACGAAATACAGCCCAGCTTTCAAGGTATTGCTCATAATCAGGTGCATAATCAAGCGATGCCGGAAACTTCGTCTTTGCACCATGAAAATCCGCAGGGCATTCAAGACGACCAAGAAGCTGAAACATGAGCATGTCAGAGCTGCAATAAGGATGGCTCGGTTTTGGGAATCGGTGAGGGCACCGCCGGCGGATTTGGGATGCCGCAGTATCGAATTGGAGGTGGTCGATCTCTTCCATGTTGCCGCGGTAAGAGAGGAAGAACTGGGGTCAGTGAGGTCGGATGTCACCATTGGTGGCATGAGGTCGAGTGAAGGTTGCATGCGGTCCATGGCCTCTGTGAATGTCATACTGATCTTTTCAACATATCGAGCAAAGCGGCCAACCCGGGCCAGTGAACGTCTAACAAGCTCTGGCTGACACGAATGTCGAAGTCCGGACTGATGGCGGTACCTGCAGAAATACGAGATGCTTCACGCTTTCTAGTGGTGGTCAAGCAGTACCTGAGACTGACAGCGGGAGAGGGCAAAGGAAGAGTTGAGGTTAAGAGGGCGAAATGAACCAACATAACATCATACCTGCAAAATAGTGGCACTGCCATATGGTGACAGTCAGAGCGTGCCATCTACCCACCTGAAAATATGTTGTGATGCATTGACATGTCCTATCATGGACGGGATAGCCCAGGGACATGGACTCTGTCAGAGACTCAGGTTGCACGTCCGACGAACGAGCTTCAGCCCCCGAGATGTAGGGCCCCGCAATGGCAACAGGTGCAAGATGCTAATCGCGCACCATCCCCATTCTATTGCATCGGCATCTCAACCCAGCTCGAAATCGGGTTCCATTATTGCGCTCTGTCGCGAAGTTGGTCTGTGAGCAGGTCCGTGGAGACTTTTTCGAGTGTGCGAACAAGGCCAGATCCAGGAGCAACCATTCCCCATCCGGCAACAACCTTCCGCTCTAACTCGGTCGGGACGTTCGACCACCGCTTAGACTTCAATGCGAAGACGCCGTCGAGTCTTTTTTCGCTTCAGAACCCATTCTATGACTTGTTCATCTCCGTCCAGCGCACGGTCAAGCCGGAGTCATCGCTTTTGCTCATGCTGCACAAAGCCTGGGTGGTTCGCCTAATGTTTTTCAGCTGCGAGCACTAGCCTGATGTGAAGGTTTCATCGACAAGACAATACAAATAGCTGCTGGTCTAGACAGTCTAGCTAACAATCAATAATACATCTCGACGCTGGGAGAACGTACAAGTGAGCTGTATCGGGCTCTGGGGTCCCGAGATGGCGATCTCGCAAACCCCATGATGCCCCAGCCAGTTTTCCGTTGCAACCAAGCACAAACCACCCTACTGGTCGATATTCCTGCGTCTATCGAGCAAGGTCAGCAAACCTCGCACCGCATCAAGAGCACGTCGGCTATTAAAAACCCGTATCCCAGCACAGAGCCCAAGGGTCCAAAAAGGGATGTTCTTTTGGCGGCTATTGCGCCCGAGGAGAGGATCTACCATGAGACCCTCCAAAGAGAGATCTCCACGGCTCTGGCAGAGATCAAGGACTGTCTGACCGGCGACGCCGGTCTTTCGTATTGGTGCCATGGCCGCCAGGGTAACTTCTCAGAAGAGGTGCTTCCAACTCTTTCACTAGCCGCGGGCAGGTCCGTGCAAGCGAGCACCGATCGGACACCAATAGCACCTGTCATACTGTCGAGTACGGAGTCCCGAAATCGGGTTTCTTCCATCGACTGTCTGAGGGATGTTGCGATATGCAATCCCACCCGACGGAGGATGGTCGTCCTAGAAGCTGGAGATGTGGGCGAGTTTTTCATTCCTGCTGGTGCGTCTTTCATAATGTCCACGCTTGAGCGAGGACTGCCCGCCTTCGAGTCTGCTCGCCATGCCCTCTTTCCTGATGCTAGGCCATTCAATCTGATGTTATTGGACCCGCCATGGTCGAACCGATCGGCTCGACGGTCCGGCGTATACCGCACCTCAGATGAGCAGGCGCAAGATCCCTTCACGCAAGCGGTGCGCGTTGTCCGTGACTATCTAGCCCCACAAGGACTAGTAGCGGTTTGGATCACCAACAAGGCCTCTGTTCGCAAGGACGTGATTGAGGCTCTTCGACCGTTAAACCTTGGACTTCGTGAAGAGTGGGTGTGGATCAAAACGACTGCGCATGGCGAACCCGTCTCGGCTCTGAATGGGGTCTGGCGTCGCCCGTATGAGATTCTACTATTGTTCCGCGAAGATCAGCACAGTCAGCAGCGGCCGCATCGACGCGTGATTGCCGCCGTACCTGATGTGCATTCCCGTAAGCCATGTCTGAAGGGTCTGCTGGAGGATTGTCAGGTTCTTCCCCCGCAGTACAACGCCCTAGAATTATTTGCACGCAGCCTTACCGCAGGATGGTGGTCGTGGGGAGATGAAGTGTTGAAGTTCCAGCATGAGAGCCAGTGGGTGAGACAGGCGGAACAGGCATCGATGGCAGCCGATGGACGGTGACAGAGATACGTGTATAAATTTAAACCATCTCCAGGACTTTCCGTAGTAGTACTGCTGTATCTCATGCGTAGTACTAGTATGCTCTTCCCACTCTATTCGCCAGGCACGCGAGGCTTCAGCCTTATACGAAGTGACGAATCAGTGCAGTGGAATGAGCGAGGCTGCAGCAACGCCCTTGACGCGCCACCACCTGTAGCCTTGTGCCTGATTGCATTCAACCCCACCAACCCCAACTGCGTGCAGTCCCATAGTACTGTATGATTAGTTGTCTTAGTCTCTGGCTCTGTCTCTTCTACCACTCAGCACAAGGTCACGATAGAGTCGCCTTTCCATCAGACACTCGTTCCGGTGCCATCACCCGACTCCGCTAGCATTCTAACTCTTCGTCCTGTCCTCTTGACCATCCCCGCATCTCAACTCTAACAGACAACGCAAAAGTACTATCAGTACCAGACCCAACACCGTTCACAACAATGTCGGGCGAAGACGTCGATGTGCCCGCCACGAAGAAGGCATTCGTGCCACTTGGTACGTTACCCTGTACTATACAAGCCAGACCAAACCACCATCACTAGCACTCCCTTTGAAGACGCTACATCCACACCCTCATCACCATACCAAATCAAACGTATCTGATATATCCCTCTGTACTAACTTCACACTGTCCTGCCCAGAAAACAACCCAGAAGTCATGACACATCTGGTGCGCGAGCTCGGCCTTTCGCCATCCCTACAATTCCACGACGTATACTCGCTGACGGAACCGAGCCTGCTTGCATTCCTGCCGCGACCGGCGCTGGCGCTGCTGCTGGTATTCCCCGTGACGGAGACATACGAGCGAAATCGGGTGCAGGAAGACTCTACGCGGGGACCCTACACCTCCAAGGGAAACCTGGATGACGAAGAAGGCGGCATAGTGTGGTTCAAGCAGACGATCCGCAACGCGTGCGGACTGATTGGCCTGCTGCACAGCGTCACCAACGGCGCCGCCCGCGACCAGATCGTCCCCGGCAGCGATCTGCACAAACTCCTCCAACAGGCCGTCCCGATCACTGACCCCGACGAACGCGCCGAGTTACTTTACAACAGTAAAGCTCTTGAGGCGGCACATGCCACGGCTGCCGCAAAGGGCGATACCGAGGCGCCTGAGGCCGATGCCAAAGTGGACTTGCATTTCGTTGCGTTTGTCAAGGACACCAAGAACGGCGATCTGTGGGAGTTGGATGGTCGGAGAAAGGGCCCTATCAATCGTGGCAGATTGGGTCCGGATGAAGATGTCTTGAGCGAGAAGGCCCAGGAGTTGGGCGTCCGTGCCTTCTTCAAGAGAGAGGAGGAGGCTGGCAATCGAGAGTCGAGGTTCAGTGTCGTTATGTTGGGTCCGAGTTTGGAGTAAATCGATACAAGAGCCAAGGACGGAAGATGCTGAGCCCTTTGCTTTTACGACCTTCCTGGCGTTCGAATCGGAGTCACCACCAATATGAGCTACGACCAGAGGATTTTTTGGCTTTGCACTGTGCTTGTTCCTGAGGAAGCACGGCTAGAGCCCACAAAGGGCAGGCTGTACGAAATCACGAAAACGCAACTGATCAACAAGATACCCCGGAAAATGGAAACTTTATTCACAAGTCCAGTCTATCTGGGCGAGACGCTCAGGCCGGGCCCAAGTTAGGCCAAGTCCTACAATGCATGAGGTAGTGTGAGTGGTACTCATCATGCTGAGATTCAGCCTCGTTGCATGCCCATGTGTCCGGTCACCGCAGGCCTGGATATAATGTCAAACGCCCAAGGAAGGATTCGGTTCAATCTAACCTTAACATAACAACGTCTATAGGCAGATGATTTGCCTCTGACCTCTGATTTGCCTCTGACCTCTGTTCTGGATGTCTGCGAGCCTCCACAACCGGCCCTCCATGCGTATTATTCGATGTGTATTGTTTCGATTTGCTTCATTCAGTGCCGATTCCGTCAACTTTTTAAAGCGTTTATCTTTTCAGCCTGTCGGGCGCATGATCAGCCTGAAAATTGACAACTCCTCACCCTCATGCCCATACCGTGCATGGTGTGAGACCTGATGTTGGCATCCATCTTTCCTTCCAACAACGGCAGCGTCGTCAGCCTTTCCTTTCCAATCCAATATTAACGGGTGAGTTCGAACGGCCGAGGATGGACAGCTATCGACAAGACATTCGATCCACCACCCCTTGCTACCACAGCACGTCAATCCCGTCCTCAGGGGGTGGCATGACGCGCGGTGAACGAGGATAGAAGTTCTCCTTGTCGGGACCACTTTGGCCGTACAGTATGAACGTCGTACCATCTCCTGTCTTTCAAGCCCTCACAATTACTCAACTTTGATTTCTCCAGGCCAGTCAATGCCCATTCTCCAATCTGACATCATCGCTACCCTCCTGCCTTTGCTGCTGCTGCTGTTCCTTTTCTGCCTGTGGTGTAGCAACAGCAGCAGCATCACCTTGCATCGTTTGAACCCCAGTCAGATTCAAAAGCCCATGAGGACCCGGCAACGTCGGCCCCCCACCCGGCGTAACACTACTCACATTTCCCTCCTCATCCACAAACTCGAACCTATACCTCGACAGATAATGAGGGATAGCACTCAACTGCGGTCCATACCGGGCCGTATTGTCGTAAAGTTCAAACAGCGGCACCGCCAACAATTTCATGTTCTTGGGCACACTGAGCACCTTGTTCGGCGGGAGGTGGATCAAATACAATTTTTTCAATTCTTTAGGCCGCGAAACGTGAGCTGGGAGGAAAGGGTAGAGAAACGTTTCGTGGTTTGGACGCCACCTGGAACACCACAAGAAACAGTTAGCAAAAGCCCATGCCAATGCTCCCGAACAGCCACTGGCTTGTGAAGGAGGCCATACCATTGCGCAAGACAATCCCCAATCTCCCACTCTGTGTCCCCTTCCTTCGGATTCGTCGGCGCCAACCGTTCATTCAATCGCATTTTGAAGCCTTCAATCTCGTCCGCGTCGTGGGGGAGATAATCGCCTGGTCTGTTACAGCACGTTCCACCACAACACGTCAGCCATATGCCTGCGTATAGTATACACCGACAGTGCCATCCCATCCTAGTGTCCAAACCACTCGCTTCGCTCGTGATTTGTCCAGTCTTACAATTTAAAAAACGCATTCGCAATCTGCAACATGAGCACATGCGGATGATTGTGTTCATGACACACCAAAATGCCCTCGCACGTCCGTCTCATGCCGTACTTTTCATAATGTTCCTCGAGTCTCTTGAGGCGCGCGGCCACCGAGGGGTCTTCTTCCGGTTGCGTCTCTTTTGTGCCAAAGGTGTAGTTGGACAGTGGGTATAGACGGATCGTGGGCGGTTGGTTGGCGGTGAATGGGGGTGGGAGGATCGGACTAGAGTATCATCAGAAGAAGCCCAAGGATTCCATGTAGTGTATTCTGTTTGGTTCGGTGATAGCTGACTCGTGGCCCGGTCGTGAGGAGTCTTCTTGTCGCGTTCGGCAAAGGCATTTGGAAAAAGCAGAGGAGGAGAGGACTTCATCAAGACGTACGTACGGGTAGGATGATTTGAGTGTGGTGGTTGTTAGAGTCGACATGGCGCTGTGTATACAGTACACACTGGTAGTACTACCTGGTACCTAGCCACAAACACGAGGATTGTACAATGCTCACGAGGGTCCGGTCTGCGCTCTAGGATGAGATTGCGACTATCCTCCCCACCAGGTACAGCGTGGATGCTGGAACGGGATAGATGTATGCGATGGACTGAGGTGTTGCTCTGTTTGACGATAGAGTGTAGGTAGGTACCATTGGGTTGCACATGGAAGTGCAGTACAAAGTACTATGTGATTGCAATAGAGACATTGTATTATGACCTCGGTACTTCTTTAACCGGTTTAGTTTTGTGATGGTTCACGCTCTCTCCTAACACCTCTATCGGCCTTACCAGCCTCGTGACGAAGAAGCCCATACCTACTATTTCTTTTCCTGAGGTCGCAGAGTCATGCCATGCCAGTGTTATGTCCTACAGTAATAATTCGTCTCTTCCACACTCGTCAAACCTGTCCCTATCTAACTCAATCCTCGCCATCTACTTCATCTCCACTTTCTCTTGAACCACCTCGTGTTCTTCAGCGCTACCTTTGTCCTCGGCTTCCCGGTCCCCCCGGAGCCTGGCCTGAAGAACATGCTTGTACTCCTTTCGGGCAAACAGCACGTCGATCTCTTCCAAGCTGAGGCCTTTCGTCTCTTTGACGCAGAAATAGACAAACACCACCGCCAGAACATTAAACACACAAAACAGCAGATAGAAGCGCCACCCAATGTCTTGGATGCCCATAGGTCCGAACTTGACCACGATGAAGGTGATAAACCACTGTGTAAAAACCCCCATTGCTGTACCCACATGCCGTTGATTCAGGGGCACAATTTCCGGAACCACGACCCAAGGCAGCGGACACCAAGATGCGCCGAAGCAAAACTCGAAAAGGAAGATGCTGACCACGGCAAGCTTGTTCGATGAGTCGGTGTTGACTGCCAGACCAATCGTGAACAAAATCATAAATATGGAGCAGAAAATGGCTCCATAGAGCATAACGGTGCGTCGACCGAGATGTTCGACTGTCCAGATAGTCGTGCATGTGCCACCAAGGAAGAGCAAGGTGACCCCTCCCGATGTAATTGCGGCCTGATTTTGTGACATGCCAAGTGAGTTGATGAAGAGGTACGTTGCATACTTGTCTTTGGTCAGCATAGTCAAAGTGTGCAATGGGAATCTGCTGATGACTCACGTAGGAGACGATATTATTTCCATCCATTTGTTGGAAGAATTGTACGAGCACGCCGAGCCAAAGCCTCCAAGTCGTGCGGACAGGCGAGGTGTCATAGAAAAAGTTCTTCCAGCCGAATTCCGATTCTTTCTCTGCCTCGAGGGCCGCCAACACATCCGAGCGATGGTTGGCAACCTCCACGCTATCAACAGGCACAGAATAGATCCGCGCCATGATGTCGTCGGCGTCCTCGATATGGCCATTCGCATAAAGATAGCGCGGAGACTCTGGCAGGAAGAATATGGTGGCCCAGGTAAGGAGAATGAAGACAACCTGGAACGCGATCGGTAGACGCCACACAGCAGACGTCCCGCTATGGTGGCGGAGCATTCCAAAATCAAACCAGTAGGCGATGGTCAAGCCCAGTATCACTATGGTCAGTTGAGTTGCGATCAATGCACCCCGAGTCGCTGCCTTGGATGTCTCTGCAACCCAGATGGGGACCATGGTTGTGTTAAACCCCATGCCTATGCCGCCAATGACTCGCCCGGCAATCAAGTAGGCACTACCCCTTGCACCGGCTTGTAAACCTGCACCGACACAGAGCAGCACGCCCCCGATCACGATGAACAGGCGGCGGCCGAGTTTCTGGCCCACGAACCCCACGAGGATGCAGCCTGTGAGGCACCCGATATCGTAAATCGCGACAATGGTGCCTTGTAAGTCGGCATCTTTGGGATCGATTTTGTTGGCCGATAGGAAGTTGGGCAGCGCAATCAGTCCGCCGAGGACCCCCTGGTCATAGCCTAGGACACCATGTTGGCAACTTGAACGGTTGAACTTTGGGTATTTCAGTTATTGCTTACCGAAGAGAGTGAACGCCCATGCGGAGCATAGAGTAATTCCAGCTTGAAGCCAGAAGCCTTGAAGAGTCTGAGCGTAGCCTCTGTTAAACGCGCCCATGATGATGCTGTTGTCCCGTAAAAATAAACCGCATTGAATTAATTCGTGGTGCTGCTGGACTTTGAAAGAAGGCAATACATAACATGATATGTGCATCCAATCCGATAGTTCCACGGAATTCGCACTGTAACCTTTGTCCAGCCTGACGGGAAGACTATGACCAGTCGGAATAGTGGTTGCGCTCGCCATCTCCAGGAGAGTGGTGGAGCCGAATATCCGGGCGTTGCGGGGGTTGGAGATCCAGGGACTTTTGCCGTAGCTACCCCAGATTTGAAGGATCCCAGGATCAATCGTTAGTTAATAGTGAATAGTGGTGCCGGAATTGATGGTAAGCACAGACAGAAAGCGCTAGGTTATCACCCTCGGTTATGGTCGGCCCAGAGATGGGTGCCCTGAAATGGACGTCGACTGACCTCCTTGTAGAAGTGCGGCAGGGTCCGTCACTGAGCTGTCCTTGACAGAATCCCTCACAACCGTAAGGAAATGTCTTTGGGCACCAACATCGAAGAAGAGGGCGCTATCTCCGATATCCCTTGTTGCGCTCATCCCAGTCTGGCCTTCTTGAATCTGTCTCCTGCAAAGGCATCATTTTGCCAACTCTGTCTTAACGAGGTGACCACGTCCAGTGCTCGTGAAGCACTCTTGTAGGTTTGCCCCATCTCTCCCAACGCCTGAATACAGGTAAGGAGATTCGTCTGAGCTTCCTTGTTTTGCTCGGTTCCCGCAGACCAGGCACAAAGCTGAAAGATGTGGATCAATGCCGCCGTCATGGTGACATGCACCATGTGGTGATGTGGTCGTCTCAGGCCATACATTTTGCGAAACATGACGAGGATGCGGCATATCTCTTCGGCGCTCTTGACACACTTCTGCAAAGAGGAATTCGCTGGAGTGGGCACCATATCTGTTCTGATGTCCTTCGATGACATCAACGGTCTATGCAGGAGGATGATGCACTCATGGTAGCTCATATGTAACTCAAGCACGGCTGGCAGATGAAACGACTCTGAGTCTGATGCGTCGAGGCGAAGATCCTGCGGTAGCGACGACAACCATTCCTCAAAGTCAGCATCCGCATCCGCGACAAATTTCTCGGTATCCCTGGACAACTCAGGTACTCCGGAGTACAGAGCGTCGGAAATTCTGGCCAGTATGGTCATGAGCGAGGCCAAATATATGTGAACGTACGCGGCAGCACGAGAGTTGAAGTCCGGCGGGAACTTGCGAGTGCTGTACTCATCTGTGTAATATTCCCAATTGTAGGTTGGAGAAGGTAACGGACACTGAACATTATGGGCGAGGCGTTTCATCAATGAAGGCCGCCCGATGTGAGCGCTCCATAAGGTGTCTATTGTGTTAGTAGACCAAAATAGGTTGCGGCGTAGAATAGACACATCATCAGACTCGGACTCCCTTCTGTCCAAGCGTGAATACTCTTTTCCGAGATCAAGGTGTAGTCCCAGGTCTGTCATAATCTGGACGGCCATCCCGGAGTAGATCCATCCCCGGGACTCTCGAGCATGAGCGGCCTCATGTGAAGACAGAATCAGAACGGCTTGGGCAGTGGCAATGGTAGGACTGTCCATTTCTATCTCCAGATACGCCTTGGTCCGGAAGGCAAAGAACTCGTCTGCCGCTTCTTTTATGGCTGGATGTGAGCGGTCAGTGTAGGCTGATCCGACACAGAATCTGTTGAGCTTTAGTCTCAAGAAGGCGGTATAATGAGCTGGACCTGGAGAATGACCTACACTGCGTTTTCCAGAGCTGGAGAGTAGAGGTCAGTCATTTGTCCCTGTTTAAATTGCCGCCTTGCCCGCAGAAATATACTCTTGTCCAGAACATGCATGAGTGTATTGTGCCACGAGAAAAAGAGGTTGGTGAGATGGTTTTCGTATGCAAGATCACCCTGCCACACAAGGCCAGCTTGAGAAATGGCAGCATCCCCATGAGTCAAGACATGACGAATGTTGGGCTGCACCAGCGAGTTTGGACCGCTATGGAGGATGTGTAGGTTCGAAGTCGCTCCATAGTAGCGAGGCAGACCGTCTTCCGCAATTTGTAGACGTCCAAGGCGGCTCGTCAATTGCTTGGTCATATCACTTACAGTAGTCGCCAGTTCATCTTGCGACCGAGTCCTGCTCAGCTTGGTGGCGGCTCCTGTTGGAGCAACAACAGGATCAACAGAATGACTCTCTATGATGTTTGCGCCTGTTGGAGAGAAACCCTGGCTTGTTGTTGAGGTATCAGGAGTTTCGGCGAAAACTTCCTGGCTGACACACTCTTGCTGCTCACGAGGATCGAAGGATGTATCGGGGAAGAACGAAATAGACTGATACTGGTCGACTCCTAGACCGCCTTCGAGCCCTGTGAGAGCAACGCTGTCGTCGGCTGAAGGATCCCATTCCTGTTGTGAAAATGAGAAAGCCAATGATGGAGCGGTGAAATCAATGTCTGCTCCATCCTGTTGCTGTCCGGGCAAGCGGCCCAGGGCAAAGTCGTCCCATATTGAGGCCGAACCGCTCTCAACAGTCACAGAGGGTTCATCGATGGTGACCTCAGCATGATTGATGTTATGTGCCAGTTCTCCTCTAGTCACACTGGGTTTTCGGCGACCTTCTGACGCCCTGGAGGACAATCAGCGTAAGGTCCCCGAGGACGGAGCGGCGTAGATCCAACTCACCGACGGCGGTCTTCACCATAGATACACTCGACTTGGTACAGACTGCAGTTGGAACATCGGGGTCTATCATTGTTACACTAGGACAGGGAACCATCAATCATTAGTAAACAACAGCTGTTCATTGCCTTTTGGATGCCTCCAGGAAGGCGCACCTTGACTTTGCGCTTTCGGCACTCCAAGCAAGCGATGGAACTATATCTTCTTTCCCCCTTTTCTCTTCCTGTTTTCTTCGGCTGAGACATGGCCATGGGATCAGATATGAGTAAGCGGGCAGTGCAGAATATCAACGAGGGCTGACCGAAGCATTTGTCCACAGTTGTAGTTGGTGGTCCCTCGACTTGAAGCGGAGGAAATCCGGGGATGGAAGACAGTGCGGAGTCCCCGCAACGCCACAGAAACGCTGCGAGTAGAAGGACATAGCAGCTAAATGGATACGGCGGCCGTGGAATAAGAGGCATTTAGATGCTACAAAATCTTGATTCCTAGCACGGTGGACTGATTGAGGCTATCTGATATCGTGGAAGCCTCCGTCACAGACCAGCAGAGATCCATTCATGTAACTGCTCTCGTCACTCAGCAAGAAACTCAGAACATTGGCCTGTTCTTCAGCGAACGCCATTCTTCGCAAAGCAATTTGTTGGCTGACCGGCGACTCTTTATTCTCCTTTGTGCCCACGGTGCCTTCTTTGCCCATGCTGTGTTCTACCATGGTCGTCAAAGTCCATCCTGGACAGAGCGCGTTTACTCGGATACCGTCAGGACCGTAGAACTTGGCTCCGTTCTTCGTGACGCCAATAGCTGCATATTTGCTGGGAGTATAGGCGGCGAGGCCCGCCGCCTGAAGGCCGGAGATGGATACGACGTTGGCAATGGCTCCTCGTTGGCCTGGGATGTTGTGCGGACAAGGCGGGTCGAAGGAGATGGGTAAGGGTTCCTGCTTCCTCATCTGTAGCGCCTGATACTTTTGACAAAGCCACAGCCCGCGAGTGTTGATGGCATGTGTCCTGAAACCTTTGTTAGGCAGTGGAGAGAGAAGCGGAACGGCAATTCTTCATACCTCTCGAACAACTCCGTTGTTATACTCTCTTCCTCAGCCCAGATCGACTCGCAGATCCCTGCACAGTTGGCAGCATAGTCCAGCCGTCCAGTCCACTCCGTTGCAGCGGCTATTGCCTCCTTTACCGCCTGCTCCTGCGTGATGTCCACCTTGAGGAACTTGCTGCGAACATTCCACTTCTGAGCGAGGTCACGGGCGACTTGAGCTCCATCGTGTTCGTTCATGTCGGCGAGCACGACAGAGATCCCACGACGTGCAAGCTTGTGGGCGGTGGCCTTACCAATGCCACCAGCAGCGCCAGTCACAAAGGCAACGCGACCAGCAGCAGCCATATTGGTGAGGCGTTAAGTTACAGATCGCAGAACGAGAGTCAGAACTGTAACATCAACAGAAGGACTTACCTTACCGACGAACATTGTCTGCTGAGTGCATGGCGCATGGGGGGTTGCCGATCCCCTCTGCCAGACGTCGACCGCCATAGGATCTTGTTTTGCACCTAATCTGTAATGCCGTGGAAGTGTTGAGTGAACGAAAGCAAGATGGAGATCAAGGCGTTGGTCTTAGTAGCCGATGCGGAGCTGCTTGAAGAATTGACTGATGTGGCGGGCGGCCCCTGCATCTGCGGACGACTTCGGGGCTTAGGGGCCGTCTTTGGGGGTGATGGCGAACCGCTGGGTGGATGGCACGCTGAGTTTAGGGCTGATTCAGGCACTGTAGCCCCCAAAGGCAAGCCCTAAGCAGCCTAGAACCCCTACTGCTGACCTCTCCACCACCCCGAGGCGTCTTACCTAATGCAGCTGTCTCCTCCCGCAGCGCTCCAAGCAAGCGACTACTGGAGTTTCTAAACTTCTCAAAAATCGAACTCTCCCGAAGGACTCTGGCTCTTGAATTCTCGGACCGTTCATCAGCAGTTAATTGGAGTCTGTATATCGTGCCGAAACAGCGTACGATGCCCCACAGTCCATTGATGTGCGCTAGATTGCCTGCCGTAAACCGGTCAAGGCTGATTCTCCGTGGTCACAAGTTGCAGTGTTGGCCGTCACCATCAATTCCGTGGAATTGATCAAGCCCAGGTTGAGGGCAAACTCCATGGCTACGTCCAACTATGGCGGGCTCCAGTCTGCACAGGCGCGCTCGCCAGGGCGAACCATATTCCCATCTCCTGCTCGCTTCAGTTCAGGAACGATTTCAAACTTCTCGCCCTGATGACTTCGGGCCATTGTCTGCAGAAGACTGTATCACAACATTCACTCGAAAGCCTCGCCGTCTGTAAACCCTGTTCAACATGAAGTCGTCCACCAAAGACTTTGATGCCCTTATCGTCGGGGCGGGGTTTGGTGGCATATACCAGCTCTATCGCCTCCGGCAGATGGGACTGGCGGTCAAGGTCATCGACATGGCCAGCGACGTCGGTGGCACCTGGTACTGGAACCGGTACCCCGGAGCCATGAGTGACACCGAGAGCTTCGTGTACCGCTACTCATGGGACAAGGAAGACCTGCGGACCTATCCATGGACGCACCATTATGTCAAGGGGCCTGATGTCCTCCAATATTTACAGCATGTGGTCGAAAGGCATGACCTGCGCAAGGACATGGAGTTCAATACCGAACTTCTCTCCGCTGACTGGGACGACTCTACCAGTTTATGGCGTGTCAGGTTGAGCAGCGGCAAGGTGTACGCGGTGCGCTATCTCATCACCGCACTGGGACTACTGTCTAAGGCCAACTATCCTGATATCCCGGGACTTCACTCGTTCCAAGGGGAGACATGCCATACTGCAGCCTGGCCGGAAGGGCTTGATCTGGCCAACAAGCGAGTGGGAGTGATAGGCTGCGGTTCGACTGGAGTCCAAGTCATCACTGCAATTGCACCACAGGTCAAGTCGCTTACCTGCTTTCAGCGACATCCTCAATACACTGTCCCCAGCCAAGACCGGCCTGTCGAGCCTGGGTATCGAGAGTGGGTCAATAAGCATTACGACGAGATCTTTGAGCAGGTCAAGAACTCGGCTGTGGGATTTGGATTCGTGGAGTCCACCCGCCCCTTCCATTCCGTGGCATCGGCGGAAGAACGCGAGGCCATTTTCGAAGACCTCTGGCGGCAAGGCAACGGGTTTCGATTCATGTTCGGCGGCTTCAGCGACATCTCGACAAACCGCGAGGCCAACGAGGCAGCATGCACATTCATCCGCAACAAGATCTCCCAGATTGTCAGAGATCCAGAAAAGGCCCGCAAGCTACAACCGCACGATTACTATGCGCGGCGTCCGCTTTGTGATGGAGGCTACTACGAGCAATTCAACCGCCCCCACGTCGACCTCGTACATCTGCAAGAGACGCCAATCACTCGCATCACCGCTCAAGGCATCGAAACAACCGCAGGCCTGCACGAGCTGGACGTGATCGTGTTCGCCACGGGCTTCGATGCCATCGAGGGCAACTACAACCGCATCCGGATCCGTGGTCGCGACGGCGTCTCCCTCAAGGACTACTGGGACCCAACAGGCCCGACCAGCTACCTGGGTGTTGCCGTACCGGGCTTCCCCAACTTACTTATGATCACAGGCCCACAGGGTCCCTTTACGAATCTCCCGCCGGCGATTGAAGCACATGTCGACTTGATTGCGAAACTCATTTCTCACGCCGAGGCCTCATCATCGTCGATACAGACGCCCCTCATCGAGGCTCTGCCAGAAGCGCAGAGGGAGTGGAGCCGTGAGTGCGACCGCGTCGCTGAAGGCAGTCTGTTCAAGGAAACGGCCTCGTGGATCTTTGGCCAAAACGTGCCGGGAAAGAAGTACGCCATGCGCTTCTACTTTGGCGGCCTCAAAGCTTTCTACGGACACGTCCAACGTGTCATTGATGCCGGTTACATCGGGTTCCGGCCTATGAACACTACCACTGCTGTAGTGCCCTCAAAGGCGAACGAGCAGGACATGAGCAAGGCTGTCAGTGATCATATCGAAGACGTTGGTGCACCGCAGTTCGCTTCTATGGCTACGGCGGTGCCATCTTTGCAGCCTGTCAATGAAGTCCCTAGCACTTAAAACGCCGTCTGTGCAGGAACAACGACCATGTCGCCAGTGAACCTATTGTTGTGGAAGATGCTGTCGACGACAATGGATATATCATGTATATATGCAGGATTGCAGGAAGCTTCGTGGCCAGTTATAGGATGACAATGATCAGGGAGAGGAATATCATATCGTTCATTTCGTTCCTCACAGAGACACTGTAAATGCATGCTGCTAGACTGAAAGGGACCGGCAAAGCAAAGCACAAGCCGTAGGCGTTGAATGCCACCCTAATAGTAAGAATGACTATGCACTAGACAACAGGCAGCAGAAAACCAATGCTGCGAGCCTGGCGTTGCCACACCATCGAAGGAATCCCTTCCAAAATGGAGATGCCAGCGATCAACCAGCCACCCAAGTATCGCATTGAAGTCGAGCTTTGGAGCATCATCATGATCATTACCAGTGCAGTGACTATTTCTAAACTAACTGGAACTGTAAGCCAAAAGACCGGAGCCACGCCAACCCAGCACTGCAGGGCATCCAATGAGTTGATGTCATCCCTAAGCATGAGAGTCGTTATTTATTCTGTTTTACCAACGGCTACCACCGCCCCAGCTGCTATTGGCACTGCTGCCATGATGCTTTTTCTTATCCTTGAGAAAATCCTCAGTGATGCTACCCAAAATGGCACCACCGACGGTCCCCAAAAAGCCATGGTTGGCCTTCTTTCCGAGCATATGGCCACCGAAACCACCACCAATGGCACCCAGTAAACCGCGATCTTGCTCGGTCATAGGAGGAGCATTGGGATCGTAGTTGGGAGCGTTGGGATCGCTCGATTGAGCCTGGAACTGATGCTGGCTAACATCCACGCCCGAATACTGGCCTCCTTGTTGCTGCTGTTGTTGTCCCAGTTGGGCCTGGTAGGCTTGGTTTTGAGCATATGCGTCGTTACCGGCGCCGCCATAGCCTCCTTGTTGCTGATGTTGTGGTGGTGCTCCTCCTTGGCCGTATTGGTAATAGCCTGCGTGACCTTGTGGATTGCTGGCGTCGTAGGCGCCGAACTGGGCTCCGGCTTGACCGTGTTGGAAGCCGCCGTGCTGTGGAGGGCCGAAGGAATCTTGTCGACGTGGGGGGCCGAAGTTGTCTGGTGGAGGAGGGCCGCCGTAACCGGGTGGTCCTTGATGCTGCTGGTAGCCTTGGTCGTAGCCTTGTTGGGGAGGATAACCACCGCCGCCGTAGCCTTGTTGCGGATATTGCGATTGTTGGCCGCCGTAGCCGTAGGAGTCGTATGGTCCGGACATGGTGAGGATGCCCTAGGAAGACTGCGGATGGGATGTGGTGGGACTGAGGACAGAGGGGTTTGTTCCGCTTCGCTTTCAAAGTGTAGCAAGAGAGAGACACAGGTAGTTTTGATTTGAGATGTAGGTGCGAGAGTGTGGACAGCAGAAGTACAGAGGAGGGAGAGAAAGAGTTAGGTTCTAGGTAAGAAATATGTGGGTTTTTAAGAGAACCGCAGGTGGTGATGGTCAGTCATTCACCTCAGCATTCACTTCAGCTCTCGAGCAGCAGTTCAGGTGCGAGTTGTCGTCAGCTCAGCCCCGCGGCACAAGCGACGGATTTCACTGGCAGTGCAGCGCCACGGCAGCGGGAGGCTGTACGGTTGGTGCTGTTTAGTGAGGGGCGTAGCCGGAGCCCGGACCTTGTCATAGGACCCTGAAAATCGTACATCAACAACTCATTTAATGATTGGCTTGGAAATACTTGTATGAGGTCCATCTGACTTAGTCATAGGTCCACTGCTGTCCACCTGCCCACGGCGCAAGTTAGTCCGATCCGGCTCGGCCGAGCTGGTGACTGCTCACCCACGTGACTGATGTGAGGCGCAGTCTCCCCCAGCCACAGTTACGATAAGGATAAGGGAAGCGGAGGTCAAGACAACGATAAGCCGATAACCGATAGCGAGAGCGATAGCGATAGCATCCCCAATTCTGTCTGCTGGTGCATAGTCCTCGGAATTCGGACTTCAACGACATCTACTACTGAGTTGCGTGCCCTCGGTACTTTGCTATATGCTATCGGCCATCGATATGGCAGCTCCTCACCAAATAATCTTTGTTTCCGCCGGGCACAAGCCCAAAGCCCAGCCCACGACATAACTGGTAGTCCATCCCCAGACAAGAGCGCTCCGCAATCGCAATCGAAGCACGTAAACACACCACCACTATATGTGTGGTCGTGGTCCTCTTTCCGTCTCCATCCTGGCTATACCATCGACAATCTGGTGTCCCTCTCCCTCTCCCTGTCTTGTTCCCGTCCCATAGGTTTGACTTTTGGCTTCCTCCTTCACTGTCCCCTCTCTATCTCTTACCATCATGTCAACAAAAGACTATAAACAGGCTTCGGCCATTGCCCGGAAGAGGAGGGCCGCCAATATCGCCGCGTTCTACAAAACGCCCCATTGGAAAGAAGAAGACCTGCCCAAGAACCTGACAGAGTTTGCCTTGCATCAGTCTGGCTACTACACTGATGGCGAAATAGCCATTATACAATCCGAAGCCGACACTATCCTAGAGAACGTCAAGAGCAGAAAATGGACCGCTCTCGAGGTCGCGCAAGCATTTTGCAAAGCATCCGCTTTAGCACAGGAACTGGTATGAAAAGACCCTTTTAATATTGCATCACCCACCAGTGGAAATGATGCGGTCCACGCTATTGGCCTATAAGGAAAGATGTTTCAGCTGAGATCTCTCGTAGACCAACTGTGTGACCGAAGTCCTCTATCCAGAAGCGATGGAGAGGGCCAAATATCTTGATGACTACCTCGCACGCACCGGCAAGACCATTGGTCCTCTTCATGGGCTCCCGATATCTCTCAAGGACTGCTTCGTCACCGCCCCGCATCCGAGCAGCAACGGCATGGCTTGCTTTGCGAACGAGCCAACAGAAAAGGATTCGCTGCTAGTGACCATTTTGCGAGATCTCGGAGCCGTCTTCTACGTCAAGACCAACGTCCCTGTGGCCATGATGATGGCCGAGACCAATAACAACGTCTGGGGCGAAACCCGCAATCCTCTGCACAAATATCTAAGTCCCGGCGGATCCAGTGGTGGAGAAGGTGCCATCATAGCATTCAAAGCCTCGCCGCTGGGAGTCGGCACCGACATTGGCGGTAGTATCCGCATCCCAGCCGGATGGTGCTACTTGTACGGCCTGAAACCAAGTTTTGGCCGCTACCCTACCTATGGCGGCAAGCCGGGAATAGCTGGACAGGAATACATTCTGGCCGTGAACGGACCAATGTCACGCTCTCTCAAATCTCTCCAGTTGTACTCCGAATCCGTCCTCTCGGAGCAGGTAAGCCCCTGGGAATACGACCACAAGTGTCTCCCCATTCCCTGGCGAAAGGGTGTCATCCAACCTCCCGGGCGGAAGCTCAGGATAGGACTGATTGGAGCCGACGATGGCCTGGTGACATGTCATCCGCCAGTGGAAAGGGCATTGAAACTCACAAAGGAAGCACTGGAACGCGAAGGCCACGAGGTGGTTCCGTGGTCGACACAAGACCATGAAGCGATTGTCAAGGTAAAGTGCCGAATACAGATTTCCTTCTTCCGCACCTTTGTTCGAGGAAACCGTGTTGCAACGGCTTTTCAACTAACTATATCCCGTGAATAGAATCTACAAGCCGCTTTCTATGACCTCGGCGGCGCCGCAATCATGGATCTGATCAAACCGTACAATGAACCCGTGTTCCCTTCCATGGAAGGCTACGCCATCGCCGCCCAGGCCGGCGAAGGAGAGCTCGGCCCTACCAAGATGCGCCAGATGAACATGCGTCGTAACGAGCTGCAAAAGGCCTACCTAGATCGATGGAACGCGTCCGCCACCGATGGCAAACCGCGCATCGACGGCATCATCCAGGCAGTGTCTCCGTGGGCCGCACCTAGGCTTGGAGAAACACAGCGATCAGGGCTATACGTTGGGTGAGTACGAACATACAGTAACTCGTCGGCACTTGCAATGTACTTGTATCGGGAGGAACAAACTCTCTGACACGAAGTACTCCTTCATCTTTCTGCAAAGCATTGACTAACACTCTGATCGAACCAACCAGGTATACCGGTGTCTGGAACTTCCTAGGTACGTTGTATTGTCGTACTACATACTTTGAATCTGTCCTCTCTTACAGCTACCCTCATCCTCTCTTCTCTTCTCCCCCTTTTGCCGTCTTACCTCAACCCAGCCAAACTTCTTTCCGCTCATCTCTTTCTTCCTCCCCATTATTTCTTCTCCTTCTTCTCAACTAACCTTTTTTTTTCTCTTTTTCTCCAGATTTCGCAGCATGCACATTCCCCGTAACATTCGCAAACAAAAACCTCGACCCGCCCCGAAACCCAACCACATTCCGACCCCTAAGCGACATCGATAGCCGGATCCAAGCCGACTACGACGCCGACTTCTACGACGGTGCCCCCGTGTCACTGCAGATTGTCGGTCGGCGCCTCGAGGAGGAGAAAGTCCTCGAGATGTGTGAGGTTATTGACGATGCTTTGAAGAAGAACAAGACTACGTCATGACCATGACGGCGGCCTGAAATCAATGATATTCATTTAGATCGATACTACTTAGGTACTTACCATCAAACTCGGTTACATACCCCTGGAAACTGTCGTGTCAAAAATAGATTTTGGGGGTTTATTGCAAAAGACAGAACGAGGCAAGACACAGGATTTGATGTCATGCTAGGTAGATACCTATGTCATATATACTGTGCCGCAGGGGAGAGAGGTGTACATATGTCTGCAGTGTGGTGAGTAAATAATAAGCCTCCTATAAACCAGCGCATCCAGTACGTAGTGACTTTGTTTGTGCCCGTGGGCAACGGGCCCTTTTCAAGGCTAGCTGTATGTATCTCGTCACTCTTACTTTTGTCCCTCAAACATCCGCAGCAGCCAAATGTGGCATGAGCGGGCGGTACTACCACCCTGAGCTCTTCACTCTTCACCCTTTAGGTAAAGAAAGTCCTGGTCGCCGCGATCGATCTAGAAAGCTCTGTGCAAATCAGCCTCCTTGCCCGGTGGAGTCGGCTCGGCATGGCGGGCGAAAAGACGTCTCAGCCCTTTGTTGAGAACCAGGTCCACGACGTGGGCGGGACCTTTGGCGAGACTGAGGAGGCTGAAACGTCGGACGCGGAAGAGGTAGTACAGCATGATACAGGCGAAGATCTGTATATGACAAGATAAGGTTAGTGAATCAGTCTGAAGAAAGCTGGTTACTCGCGGGAAATGAAATGCAAGGAAAGCAAATCAAATCAAATCAAACCAAACCAAACAGTGTGTGTGTGTCTTACATTGAACACAATATACGCAAAGCCAATCCCAAAGTTGCGCCAGCGCTCATTGTAATAAATGTTGCTGCCGGCGAGAAACTGGTCCGCCGAGGTCAATGGACAGTACTCGCATGCGCTAGTGGCCGAGGGATTGTAAAGGCGACCGGGCGCTCCAGCTTTGAGGTACTCGGCCAGGTACTGCTGACAGGTCTGGCCGGAGGGAGGATCGAAGACGGCAAGTTCGTTGCGGGCGCAATTGACCAGCCTGCCGTGGAGACCGGTCGAAGCCCATCCCGACACCATGTATGTCATGGGTGAGACCCGGTCTAGAAGCACATAAACGTTAGTCAACCGAGCCGGCCCGATCGAGATCAGTGACAAAACAACAACGATGATAGACACATACACATGAATATCCAAAAGCCAGGCAGGGCTTTGGGCGTCTGGAGCACACCGTTGAAAGTGAGCATTAGACTGAACAAAAGCGTGGCGATGTTGCCTGCCGTCTCTGCATCTGGCATTGCCGCAATAATCATGTGGGCAAAAGTGCTGGTGAACAGCATGAACTGCACCACAAACAACAACATCAATCCTCGAGTTTGTCCGCTCTGGTTCTTGCCGAAAATGGCAAAATACCATGAGATCCACATCAGCACGGCCAGCACGATTTGATACGGTATCTCGACGAAGATGTTGGCCACCAGGAATGCAATCCATGAGTATGCTTTGGATGGTCGCTCTCGGACTTCGTAGAGCGATCGTTGGATCACAAAGCGAGGCATGATCTGCTGTACAAGTGTTGAAAAGATGCTGGACAAAGTAACAAGTTAGACGTACAAAATCCCATTTCGCGACCAGAGCAGAGCGGATGTGTTACGTGTACTTACGTGACAAGCATGAAAATGCCGAATATGGTGTTTTGAAGGCCTGCCGATGTCGTGTTTTGCTTGTAGAACGAAAATCCGATAAAGAGCGCGGCCATAATGCCCAACAAGAACCTATACATTGTCAGCCACTGGGACAAATATGATATTCAGAATACACTCACTTGCCACTGATGTACGATGGCGTCCTCCAGTATTGCTGGAACACTCTGACCGTAACATGATAGATCTGATATGTCAAAGGCATCGCGAACTGCGAAGCCGACTCCTGAGCCGCCGGTGGCTCGGACCGTTTCTCTTCATGAATCCGATCCAGTTCTGCCTGGACTTCCTTTGCTTCCGGAGTCGACTTCCAGACTTCACTCCAATCGCGATCCGCAGCCTTGCCGCATATATCAAGCATATACTCGGCCGGATTGGCGTCGTCGTCGCACCTGGGGGCTCCATTCCTCTCGAAATAATCGAGCATGGTTCTCGAGTTGGGACCGATATCACCAAAATATATTGTCTTGCCGCCCTTCATCAAAAACAACAGCCTATCAAACTCTTGGAATAGAATGGCCGATGGTTGATGTATAGTGCACAGTACAGCTTGTCCAGCATTGGCGAGCTTGCGGAGAAAGGTCACAATGGACCAAGAACTCTGAGAGTCGAGACCGGAGGTTGGCTCATCCAGGAAGATCAGCAACGCCGGTTTTGCTGCCAGTTCAACACCAATCGTGAGGAGTTTGCGTTGCTCGACGTTGAGACCTTCTCCAGGGTTGCCCACGATAGCCTCGCTGAAATCTTCCATGTTCAACATCTTGATGACTTCCTCAACAAAATCTTCTTTCTCCTTCCTGGAGACCGTCTTGGGTTGCCGAAGGTACGCAGAGAACCGCAGAGCTTCACGTACAGTGGTGGTCTCCAGGTGCAGATCTTGTTGCTGAACATAGCCAGTCTTTCGTTGAAAGGAAGGATCCAACGGCTTGCCATTCACCAGCTGCCACCGTTAGAAAGTAGTCATGTGAATAGACAACCAGACTTACCATGTCACCTGTCAGCACACCAATGCTGATCCTCTGGGCCAGTGCATCCAGCAGGGTGGTTTTGCCTGCTCCTGATGTCCCCATAAGAGCCGTGAGAGTGCCTGGTTTGACCCACCCGGATATGCCGTCAAGTAGCCTTCGGGGCTCCCCTTTGATTTTGATGTCAAGGGTGACATTTCGCCAAGTGAATATATCCTTTTGTGCTGGTAGAGCCTTGACCTCTTCTTCTTGCTTGGCCTGGACAGTGTCGGCGGCGGCATTGGTCCCCTTCTCATCCGTACCTGCTGCTTCTTCGTCTTTGCGACCCCCGTGGAGCAAATAGGATGGAACGTGGCCTCGGCGGAAAACCAGAAACTCGGCGGTCGAAGTCGAGTCCGAATTCAGCTCGGTAGCAATGAAGTAGACAGCGAAAAAGAAGATCATAAAGGCAAAGAGGAAGCCCAGGTTGCGCCAAATGTGGCTGTACGAGTATCCATAAGACGATTGCACCCATGCATCGCCTGACACATTGATCTCGCCCGGCACCGCTCCAGCGACTGCGCACTGAAAGTTGCCACCCTGGCCCGGGCCGTATGGCGGGACAAGGCTGGTTGCGGCACATGGAAATTCCCGGCCATGGACTTCGTTGACAACAAGACTCTCAAAGGCATATGATACTGGGTTCAACCATCTGGACCATTTGAACCAGGGATGCATATAGGAATACTGAATGGTGAACCCCGTGTAGATGACAATCCACAGAACCATAATGCCAGCTATCGCCAGAGCTGCCGAAATGGTCTTGGTGACAGCGGCCGTACATCGAAAAATAGCCGACATGGTCAACATTGCCATAAAGTTGAACAGGAAGAAGATAAAGAATTGAGAAGGTTCCCTCCTGAGGCCTGCCAGAAAGTAGAGAATGATGTTGAACACTGTCGTGACACAGAATTTGATCGGTAAATCAGCTACGATTCCTGCAACGGCCTCGGTAAATGGATGGTAGAAGGCATAAGACTTGTGTTTGGCGACAATCGGTCGTTGGGCGTATAAGGTGTTGATCTCAACAATTGATTGCAAGGCACTCAGGAGCACCGCAAAAAACAGGACGGATCCTTTTGCAAAGAAGCTGCCCGTGGACAGAGGAGTGCCATAGAAGACGGAGCCGATGATGAGGGCTTGTGCAATTTGACTAAAAATGACAGCGCTATAAGGGGGAGGACGTTAGCCTGGCACAATCATGGGTCGAGTTGTCGTCCTTACATAGTGGATGCTTTATCATTCCACAACCTCTGATATGCCCGGGTGGTGCATAAGCGTATTTGCATGGGGATGCTGATCACGTAGGGAGAGCCAGGACGAGTATGTTCGGCCTGCATATCTTTGTGCGCCTCTCGAAACGTTGCGAGGGCTTCTTTGCCGCCCGCATGCACTTCCTCTGCATTGTTGGCTTCCTGTTGACAGTACTTGAACTGTTCGCTGGCAAGCCAGTATCTTTCAAAGTCATCGGCGGTTCGAGGCACTTTGCTTTCGTACCCCTGCTTAGGTCTTCTTTCACTCGGGTTGGTGACCGATCTGTTTTTGCGTGTTAGCCGGTGATGGCCTGTCTAGGTATCGTGTTCACACACGTCAAAAAATCACCAGTGGTCTGTCTGGGAGGACAATACCAGCCCATTTCCTCAAAGTAGGCTCGTGCATCTTCGGTGGGACCAAAGTAGATCTGCCTTCCTTCATACAGCACGATGGCCTTATCACACAAGTCGTAGATGGCCTGTGAAGCCTGGTAGATGGCAATGAGTGACGTGAGACCACCGATGTCGGCGGCGATTCTCAAAGAACGTATAAACTCGAGGGCCGTTTGCGAGTCTAGACCGCGGGTCGAGTTGTCCCATGCTGCGATAGGCGGTCCTAACGGCGCGTAAGTAACAGTCGCCAGTGCAGAGGTAGCTTAAACGCACCCGCAAGCGCCATTTCGGCAAGACTGACACGTTTTCGTTCACCACCGCTGACGCCACGAACAAAGTCGTCTCCAACTTTGGTATTGCGGGTGTGGGCTGGGTGAGGTAAGTATCCTCCTTGTAACTGCAGCTCATTTCACTCACATAAACCAAAAATGTTCATCATGACGGAAGCCATGTACTCGGCCCAAACCTTTCGAGGGACGTCTAGAACACGATTTGACGCAGTCCGGCAGGCTGCAGCGAAGTTGAGTGTCTCCCCAACCGTCAAATGAGGAAAGTGCTTCTCGTTCTCCTGGTTGTAGATGGCTTCGCCCTTGAATTCTTTGAGAAACACATCCTGTGGTATGCCACTGTACGTGATGCTTGAGTCCTTTGATATTTGCAAACCTTGGAGTTCTCCACAAATACTCTTGAGAAATGTCGAGCAGCCACTGCCCGGCCTTCCCAGGACGATCAACAGTTCACCACTGTTGACATTACCATTGAACTGACGCAAAATCTGTTTCTCCGGGGGATGCCTGAACATCTCGCGAAAACGGAACGGTTGCATGAAGATGGAGCCAACTGTTTGCTGAAGGACCAGAGCCGACCCTTTTCCCGAGACGGTCAGGTTGCGGAAGGTGAATCCGCTCCTTCGCCGTTTAATGTTGCGCTCTTCAAGGAGTTGCACAAACTTCCGAATCCAAAGGAAGAAATTGAAAGACGGATGATTGGGGTCAAATTCCGGAGATTCAATGCCCATACCAGCGACAGTATCCTGTCTTTTCAGGCCGGTATTTGTGCTTGTGCGACTCGGTTGTGCTCCTGATAAGACAGAGGCAATTCTGGCAAGCTCACTGCGCGTATCTTCGCCGCCATCGTCGAAGTGATAATCCATCGAATCACGCGTCCTCCTGGTCCGGATCGGTTCGAAGCGTGGCCCTTCAGAACTGCTGGTCGAGATTTCCCGCTCAAGGCGCTCCTCCGGCGTCAGCGGACGAGTATTCTCGTCGTGTCCCGAAGCCATGGCGTCGACGCTAAAGGACTTATAGGTACGAGACCATGTGCATATGGAAGGCGACGGTTTTCACTTCAAGTACCTACCTAGTAAGCAGCCAGGAGTAGGATAGATAAAGGAGAGAAATAAACAAAAACGACTATGGTGAAGACGGACCAAAGTCTAGCCGCGAGGGAGTGTCGGCCGCTCTCGCACGATTCTGGAAACAACAACATCCCAACATCCGAGCACCGTTCAACTGCCTCTCAGCTTGGGCTGTCATGCTCGGATCTGTATGTGACTGGCAGTGGCCCGTGTAATGCACTGCATGCATAGTACTAGTATGGATCATAGTAATAGCATCCGGTTGTATTCGAACTCAAAAACGCACGGAACTTCAGCCCCCAGACCTTGGCAATACAACATGCACCACCGGCCCAGACTTGTCGGTCGTGAGGACCAGCTGCGTAGGCAATAATGCAAGGATTCCTGGCACAGTGCTGGCGCCTATGACTAGTCATAGTGGAAGGCCCATGCGGAACGAGGTAACTGGGTGTACGTGATGCTGACGGCCCAACTGTGAGCCCTTCTCATCTAGAACGAGCCCTTGATCGGCATCCTCCGGTAGATCCTAGACACAGGGACTCCAATACTAGCCCGCAGGGTTGGCGGCCTGATACCTATCAAGGCGCTTAGCTGATGGCACTGGTACCGATAAAGTTTGTGTTATTCACTCCGCTAGAGTCCCTGGTGCACGGACATGGATTGCATATGAGCCAGCCTGAACAGTGTACTCCGCGACAGGCGACACCCACAATCTGTCGAGGATTGAGTGGACAGTCATTGAGTCTAGTACTGCAATGTGAGGATGAGACACACGTTAGTAACGATGACTGAGCACGACCGGATGAGCAGGAAGGACATCCCTGTCGAGGTTGTACTCTGCTGAGGCTGTACAGTTGTACATGAGGGGAGAGTTCAAGTTCGTCCCGCCGCGGCTGAAGTGCTGCACGCTGCGGGCATCGCTGACTAAGAGCCAAGGTGTCAATTTAAGCGTAGCACTAGTGAGATTCTGGCCTAGCTTTTGAACTAGCCGTAGATAGACATCACTAGTCGGTTGCCTGCATTACTAGTCACTAAGTGCTGGTACTAGTAGCCCTAGACGTCTGCTAGCTACCAGACTAGTACCTTGCTAGCATCAGTATTTTGAACTGCAGTGATCTCACCTGCTGTACAGGACCTTGTCGCACTCTCCGAAGGACTATCCACAGTTGTGCTGCAGGTTTGCTGTTCCTGCGCCTCATCCTTCGAGATGAAATGTCTTTGCCGGGCCTTGGGTTAGACGAGCCCGAAGAGGTCCAGACGATCGAGACAAGTCAGCATGACTTGGCCAAAGAAAACGAATGGCGCTTCGAGGTAGCCGTGGGAAAATACGTTCAGGTTAAGGTATGTTTGCGTGTGGATGATTGATTTTCGTATCGCATATTAACAGAAATACCACAGCTCTTGAGCGGTGATGCCGAACTTTTCGGGACCGAACTCGTCCCGGGCAACACATACACATTTACCGGGGTCAAGGCGGCAATCTATACGTGGAATGGCTGCTCGTTCGAGGTCAGCGGAGATGCTCTGCAGAGCGAATACACGGCCGAAGAAACGCCCATGAGCGAATATATCAATGTCCACTTCGCCTTAGAGACACTGCGCGAACGAGCCAAAGCCAGCGGGAACGGGCGCGAGGGACCTCGGGTTTTGATTTTGGGCCCGGACAATGCGGGCAAGACGACACTGGCCAAGATCCTCACGGCGTATTCGAATCGGTCTGCGCGCTCGCCCGTCGTGGTCAATCTGGATGTCAAAGAGGGAGTCTTGAGTATTCCGGGGACGTTGACGGCAACGGTGTTCAAGACCATGATGGATGTCGAGGAAGGGTGGGGGACTGCGCCGATGAGCGGGCCAAATGGAGCGATCCCCGTCAAACTACCGCTCGTCTACTTTTTCGGGAGCTCGCGACCAGAAGAAAAAGGAGGCGCGGTCTACAAGGCTCAATTACGCCGACTCGCCCTTTCGGTGACTGGAAGACTGGCTCAGGACGCTGAAGCGAGGGAGAGTGGACTCATTATCGATACTCCTGGTAGTCTCACGTCCGCTAAGGAGGGTCACGAGATCATTCAAGACATCGTCTCGGAACTCGCAGTATCGGCCATCATATGTCTGGGATCCGAGAGGCTGTATAGTGATATGGTCAAACGGTTCGACGGGCAGCCTATAGTGTCTCGGTCAAGCGGCAGCTCCATCAACAATGGCGGTGCTCCCCCGGAGACGATATCGGTAATCAAGCTTCCCAAATCCGGCGGTTGTGTTGATCGTGACGAGGCATATATGCAAGCGTTTCGAGCGGCGCAGATCAAAGCATATTTTTATGGCAATCCACGACTCAGCAGCGGCATCTCGCTCCAGCCCCGTCAGCAGCAAGTGGACTTTTCGACGCTCAGTGTCTGGCGGCGAGTCAGCAGTACACCCGACCCAACATCGTCATCATCCGCTTTCAACGACGAAGACGACGAAACCTTTTTGCCAGGAGGCATCAACGACGATACCTCTACATCTCCCGGTGGGGGTGGTGGTGCTTCGTCCAAAGTGCCACTTCCGGCATCGCAAATCTACGAACGTGTGTCTGCGCCCTTTGCGGCCATGCGCAACGCGATTTTGGCCGTGATGAACTGCGAGGCCGAAGCCGAGCAGGACGTGATTCGAGACAGCAGCGTCATGGGGTTTTTGTACGTGACAGACACCGATGAGGCCAGAGGCCGCATCAGTCTGCTCAGTCCTGTTGCTGGGCGAGTGCCTAGTCGAGCCATTGTTTGGGCAGGGTGGCCGGAGCCGGTGCTTGGTATGGACAGGTCTTGATTGTGAGCCGGCCCTGCAGTAAAATATGAAACAATGAATTTAAACGTATGACGGGTTGGGATAGAAAAAACAGATCAAAAAGACAGCAGCCATCAATAGAGAACATGTCACAGCCAATGCTGGTGGTACTGTATCTGCATCAAGAGTTCTAACAGAAATTACATTGACCGTTTCTGGTTAAAATCCGCTTCTTGATCATTTTTCAACATGGGGTACTGTCATCATGTACTGGACGAGTAGTCATGACACACACCAGAGGGGCAATGCTTGCTGCTACTCGTCCAGGAGACCTTTCAGAATGCCTATCAGACTCCGAACGCCCTGGAGGGCATTTTCATCCGGGCCCTGACCGGGGGTCCACGAGGCATGGGCAAAATCAATCAGCCTGACCTCGTGCACCTTCTGGGGCACAATATCGTCGCCGTCATCATCATCCTCCTCCTCCTCTTCTTCTGCTTTCTCATTCTCCTTCTCCTCTTTGCGGCCGTCCTGATCGTCATCTTCCGTTTGGCCATTCCGTTCCTTTTCTTCTTCCTCAAGTGCCGACTCCAATGCACTCTCATCACCTTCGTAAACCATCAGCACGCTGGCGCTGTACATTCTGCTCTCCTCGTTTTCCAGAGAATACTGTATACTCTCGAGTTCGCGAATCAAGCGCTTTGCAATCAAGGGGGCGTGCTTGCGCCTGAACACGGGTTTACCTGTCGTTTCGTCCGACCGCACGCCGCCTAGATACGTTGTAAACGCGTCGACGACGTTGTCTTTGGTGAAGGATTGGCCGTAGAGTTTGGTGTACGATTTATACCCGCGCTTGTACTCGACATTTGATTCCGGTTCGTCGGGGCTGTTGTTGCTGTTGTTGTTGCTGCTGCTGCCGTTCGGGAGGTTGTCTTGTTGAGTTTGCTCCTGCTTGTCCTCGTGTTTGTTGTCTTTAGGCGTCTGGTCACCGACCATCGCCGTCGTTTCAGGACCACACCACAATTTCATTCCGGCAACGCGAAACCCCAAACTCCCACTCGTAGTACGCTGAGAAACCTCATCCAGTTTCCGCCGTTTCGCCTGTGGAGCATCATCGTCCCAGAGTCTCGCGCCCAGTTTGACGTCTAGGATGTTTGGTTGTTTGAATCCAGCGGTGACGTTCTCAAGCACGATCGCTAGCCCTGTGGACAGTTTCTTGCCGCCTGATGGTTTCCAACTGGTGCGCTTTACTAGTTCTGGCATCGTGGACGTCGGGTCGGCGACGGCCGCATTGCCGTTGTCGTTGTCAACAGAATCTTGGTTGTTTGGGACGGCGGCGGTAACGGTACTCGTGGTCGCTGCTTCTTGCAGTAGAGGTTTGACTGCTTCTTGGTCTTCATGTTGTGACAAGGACCCGATGAACGTCGGCATGTGCGCCTGAAACAGAGGGTGGTCTTTGGCGGACTCGTAGAAGTCGATCTCGGCTTGCGTGCACGGCTTGATTAGGAGAGACCCGGAGGCGTTGGAGCTGATGCCTTGGCTAGATAAAGACAGAAAACGTCAGCATGTTGAAGGACTAACTAACCTATGGAGGCCGCGAGAGAGTTTCCGGGAGTTACTTACTGGCCCGCGGCGCTGTGGTCGAATTCGACGAGTTCGGACTCTGAAGGCATCACTGGCCCTGCCACATGTTTGGCGGCAGGGGTATTCGTCGAGGAATGGGCCATGTTCGGCGACGTGGTGAGGCGGAATCGAAGCCACGGATGAGGTGGGATAACAGAAGATGAGGAAGTCAATCGCTGAATATCAACGTCTTTTCTGCATCGGGTTCGTTTAGTTTGTTCATTTGGAGTCTAGTCAGGCACCGGCTGATTTTACTTTGGAGGATATCCATGGCCGTTGCTACTACTGCCTTTTCAGCCTTATGTTGACCGCAAACGAGGCACCAGGAGAAAGGATCTCTTTGATAGACGAATGTTGGTAGAGGGTGACTGCAGACAGTACAAAGTTTGCCTTTTTCAGACTGATCACAATCCATCCATGCACGCGACAGTATATGCAATGGCATAGTTGATTGCTACTTACTTCAGCCTGACTTCAGACTTCCCCCTTCTTCTCCTTCAATTTGCGCAGCGAGTGGACGATGCCCGTCACTTCATTCACCTCAAGATCGTCACCGCTGTGGTAGGGCCTGTTTCTCCTGCTCCTGATATCTTCAAGCAAACTACTGTCATCTCCCGGTCCTGTCACTACCCGCCTCCATGCCTCTTGGCCACATTTCCAACTGCCTTCTCTTTTGAAGTTCTCTCAAAAAGCAAAATCCGCAATAACTCCTGGCAGACCAAGGGGTTATCAAAATGGAGCCCGAAAACGGTGCGCAAGCGCCAGAGAAGAGCAGCTTTCGTGCGAACTCAATCAGCAACGACGTTTCCGGCGTGGGGTCAGGGTCTCGTACGCTTCCATTGCGGCCTAAAGAAAATGGTGTCAACTCCGAGAGCGCGGCAACGGTAGAGGATGGCCGTGGTGGTCAAGACCAGACTCAAGCTACAGCTCCCACAGAGTCCGAGCCAGCCGGCAGCCAGAACGCAGAAGAAAACGAGCACGAAGACGCACAGGACCAAGACTATGGCGAAATCTCCGAGTTACCACCCACTCAGCCAAAGAAGAAGAAGAAACGGTCGAAACGAAAGCCAGCCAGCCAGCGAGGACTGGTAAGTACCTTATCCCATCCGCTTCTCTTTCTGAACCATGCATGATCTGACACCGGTACTATCAGGACAAACCTACAGGATTCGAAGACTTTTTCGCCGACGCGCCCATAACTCCAGACCAGCATGCCGAAGAGCAGAAACTCTACAGCACAGACCTACCATTCGTCGACCGGATCGTCACGGCAATAGCACGGTTCGAACGAACACGCAAAATGACCAACGAGCGCCGTGACATACTGTACAAGTATCTCTCTTACGGCAACGTCGACGTCTCGCCCAACAGTTTCCAAGGAGGGCAGGTAACCGAGGACATGGACAAGAACCAAGTGGCAGCGGCACTCACGCAAGCCTCAGTGAGCAACGACAAGCGTGACCTAGGCACAGAAACGAGCTTGTACGCCGTCGACTTCCTAGGCTGCTTACAAGGGTTTCTCAGCCGACGCGCCAAATACCTCTACGGCTTCGAAACTCGCGACCAAGTCCTATTACTAACCACTACCCTCGAACGATTCATGGATTACCTCCTCCAACACGATGTGTGTCCAGAATACCGCGACGACGTCTTGGCCGCACGCAATCTCTGCCGCGAAGTCCCCGCGGAATTGTGGGCCGTGGCCGAAGCGACGCGTCGCTTGCCCGGAGACTTCAACATTGCCTGCTCGACCTTGTTCGGCGGACGCTATGCACAGAGCTACGACGGCGAGACGTGGTGGGGTCCCGAAGAAATGCAACAAGAGGACCACGTCTTTGTCGGGATGAAGCCCGCTGAAGCTTCGCAAATAGTCCATTTTGGAGTTGCCGGCGCCGCCTCTGAGCCCGTCTATGCCGCATACCTTGCTGGAATCAACGGCCCGGCATCCGCACAAAATCTAAAAGTCGATTGGGTCAAAGAAAACGTTGGATTTGAGATCACAAAGATCGAACTACCGACTGAAGAGTGCAAGCAGTTGTATCTCGAGGGCTCGCGACATTTCAGACCTGTCGGACTAGTCTATGCGAAACCCTGGAAGAATTCCGACTCACTGCCTGAGGATTTGACTCCCGCTGAGCAGAAGCAGAAGCAGGAGCAGGCAGGAAGATTACAGCAGGACACAGACACCGACACCGACAAGGAATACGTTTTCTTTATCGAGTCAATTCTCCAGTCGCATCTCCGTGTTGGTTTCAAAGTTGAAGCGACGGTGCGCAAACTCCACTGCGGAATCATGTTCTTTGACGACGTTCTCGACGTATACCCGACCTTTGATGTGTTTCTGCACAATGAGATGATGTCCGGCTGGAAGAAGCCGAGGCCGATGATGGGAGCGTTTGACTATGTGGAGACAGAAGGAGAGAATGGTGGAGAGGATGGCAAAGACCGTGAAGCTGAAGGAGATGAATGAGCTGATGAAGCTCATGGAGCTGCCGATGCCGAAGGTCATGAAGTTGAAGAAAGCTAGAAACGGCGGTGGTGGTGGTGGTGCCGGACATGCTGATAATGAAGCTGACTCCAAGGCCAAGAGAACATAAACGGCGGCATTGATCATCGTAGTACAGTCACTGATGGTGGTACCACTGATGTTAGACCGCCGCCCGCCACCAAACCGATCGATCTCACTTCCTCTAACTGGGATCAGTTTTGAGTCTTGAGTCCATGAGTCTGAGGCAGAGTAAAACCGGAAGTTACTTTGGCCGAGCGAGCATTGTCAGCGTACTAGTATCGAACCATAAGCTGATCAAACGTCATTCGATCCTCTAGCTCCTCGTGAAGATGAAAGAGCAGAGGAGCATACAAAACACAACAAACAATTACAGTCGCAGTATTGCCAATAACGAAGGTGGCGACGAACGGCCGACGCCTAATGCTAAATGAACCCATCCACCTCTGGCGAAGCGATTTGAGACAGAAAAATCAAACATCCATGACAACTTTTTGCTTTTCGAGCAAAACAAATATCCCACGTCCCAATCCAGAATATACACAAGATCCCGGCCGTATCCCGGAGCAAGTAGGGTAGCTAAGATAGCTAGCTCAAGCGAGTCAACACCCTTTTTCCCAACGACAAAACGCTCTTCCGCCGTCCAGTCTCCGGATCACTTTCGACATTTGCCCCAGCCCCAGCGCCCGCGCCATCATCATTGTTGTTGCCGCCGTGCTGTTGCTGCTGCTGATGATTATCATTATCTTTATCATTATCCGCATCTCTATCCGGACTGTTCCCATGGCTGTGAGCCTTGTGGGTGTTGTTGCTGTTATGGTCACGATGGCCCCCCGAGGAGTCACCCTTGATCAGCCCCAACGCGCCGAAATGGACACGACCCAAGGAAGGCTTGACAGTGTCACTGGAGAAATGTCGTCCAATCGTATCCCTCAGCAAACCCCTGGAAGAACTTGTCTGTGAATTCGCCGTGGGAGGTCTATTATTGTTGTCCGGCGACAACGATTGAGTACCAGTGGGTTTGTTTGACGACGAACCGGGACCAGGACCAACACCAACACTGGACCCATTACTGCTTCCGCCGACGGAACGAGTTCTAGGCGCCGTAGAACGCGGCAATGGCGGCACTTGTAGACCGCTACCGCCGGCGCCAGCAGCTGCAGAAGCATTGACAAGGTTATTCATGTTGCTCGAATGCCACGAGCCGCTGCGCAACAGAGGCGATGGCCCTCCCTTGAGGCCATTTGTAGTAGTTGTGGGTGATTGGAACGATATGCCCGAAGATTCAAAGTCGTCGTCGCCGCGGCCGTCTTGGGAGAAACTGTACAGACTGGTTGTCTCCGAGGTGCCAGTGCCAGTGCCAGTGCCGGACATTTGAAGACTAAACTCGGAACTCGGAATGGTGGAAGAGTGCGCAATCTCCTTGAGCCGCTCGACCTGGCGCCGGTTGGGACGATGCTGGGAGAATTTGTTGCCGATGATGGCGCCGGTGTGCGAGATCAAGGCCTTGATGACATCCTTCTTGAGCCGCAACGCGAGATCGAGATTCGACCATGTTTTGTTCCGATACTCCAACGTGGGCATGCGGAAGACAAAGTCGTGCAGGTCCTCAAAGTTCCGCTCGCCTTTACCCTTGTAGCTTAGACAAATGACGAAACTGTTGAGCTTGACGTGCGCCAGAGTCATGTAATTGCTTGCCCGCGACATCATCTGCGACAAATCGTCCGAGGGCTTGTTGCTGTTGTCTTTCTTGTCCTTCTTGCTGACTACAGCGCGCTGCTCTTTCTCTTTACTTGTCGTGCGCTGCAACACATTGCGCTTCCTCTCCTTCTCCTCGTTGTTCCCGAGTGTCACGAGACTAGTGGAAGAAGCGTCATTCTTCTTCAACCTCAGGCTGCTGCCCGATGATTTGCGAGTCGGCTCTTTAAGCACAGACCGTGCATTCGAGGTATTGAAGTGTCTAAAGAACTTGTGGTCGCCCGACAAGCCCAAGCCTCTTCGTCCATGCGTCGACGGAGATGGACTGCCTTTGTCGTGGTCGTTCATGTTATAGGTGGGCTTCAGCCTCCTCGCAATGGCCCCCGGCGAAGTTCCACGCTGTGCCTCGGGATTGGTGCTGGGGAAGTCGGTGTCCGACATGAGGGCATCTTGTGCTTTGTCCAGTTCTTCGCTTTGATCGTCCTCCAGTGGCTCCATGTTCTTAACCATCAATGGCGAAAAATTCCCATGTTCAAAGGCACTAGACCCCACCCCAGGAAAAATGTACTCAAACAGTTTCCTGCCGAGTTCCCGTTCCAATTGCACCTTGAGCGGGAACACGGTGACGTGGAACTGCTCGAGCACTGGAATTCCAGCAATGGCCTCCAACATGTACCAATGGACTTGTACCATTTTGGCTCCTTCTGGAAGGCTGCCACGCCGGTCACCGTTCTCGAAATACGGTCCGATGATCTCGGGATATATCGCGTTAGGAAGGAGGTTCCACCCTCGGATGTGCTCGATCTCCAAAGCGTTGTGATTCGACCCGTCGCTGTTGTCGATGCGCTCATACGCAGCGTTGCCCAGTTGGAATTCGACTAGTGGCTCGTCCCTTTCCAGCATAAGATGCCACACCACCTCAGAGGCGCTGAGGTACCATCGTAACATCGCACTCGACTGTGTCGAGGCTTTCCGATCGTCGTTCCTTTGTTGAGCTGTGTTGATGGCTTTCATGAGGAAGAATAATTCGTCTTCGCAACTGGCCAAGTCCTTCTCCAGGTTGATCCGATCTTGCCAACCTTGCTTGTCCAGGTATTTGGCATTGATCTGAAAATGGACCTTAATTTCCTCAAGTTGCCGGATCCGTTCCTGCAGGCTTTCAGCCATCTCAGGAGCACCTCGCAAATCACTGAAGTCCGAAGCAAGCATAATCTTTTCAAGCCGCTCACTCCTCGTCTTCTCCAACGGCTCGCTGTAAAGGAGAAGATCGAGTACAATAATGTACATGGTGTAATATTGAGCCGAGTCGCACCTGGCCCGGACCCTGGGAAAGTCAACCCAGAGATGATCAATTCGATTCTCCCTGCTCGTAGCTGAATTTTTGACCTCACCACCTTCGGCACTCTCCTCCACCTCTTCATTGTACTTCAGGCGAAGAGGATTATACTTTTCATATCGTAAGCTGGCCGATGTCTTCTGGATGACTCTTTGAAACCCGAACGGTTCGAGGTGGAAATCAAACATGGCTTCGAGAGACACCCATGGCGGCCATGAGGACCCAGGAGAGTTGCCATACCGGTTGCCAGAATAAAGGTGGAGATATTGAGCAAGAGTCTTCTGACTGGCCACGAAAAACTGGGCGCCATCCATGTCGAGAGCAAAGCGACGCTGTACTAGGCCACTCACGTCATCCGACATTCGGGCTTTGTCCATAATGGAGACAACCTTGAGCTGCATTCCCTTGGTAGCGATCAACACAATGGACCGGCTATTTTTCTCGCTTTGCAATTGGATCTGGGGCGCGATAAGACGTAGGTGATAGCTATTCATCGCTTGGAAATTTTCCGCTATTTTGTCCCCCAGATCCACTGAAGATGGTCTTCGCTCCTGTGCATGGGTTGTGTCTTCTTCATGTGTTGCAGGTGAATCGTCCTCCTTGTCATCACCGGCAGACACAAACCGTTTGGCATCGTTCAGCAGCTGTTGTATCCTGTCCTCAACCACGTAGTCATCGTCTTTTTCGGCGGTTGGAGAGAACACGCTTGGAGTCGCCGGTACTTGCATGTTCGGCTTCCCATCCTGTCTTCGACGCATCTCCTTTGCCTTTGCCTGTTCGTCGACAATGTCAAGGATGAACTTAACCGCGCGGCGAGACATGTAGTACACAAAGCCTCGGCGTTGACTGACTTGATGGCTGTAGCGAAGAATGATATTTCGCAACGAGTTGTTCCACTTGAATTGAGCATTATGGATGATGAACCGGTTGTTGAAGTCGCTGGCAAATTCGTCATGCGGAGCAGAGTATAACGCATCCATGTCGACGTGCCCATTGTTTTGATTGTCCAAGTCTGTGGTTGACGGGGCTTTGCTGCCGCGGCGCTGAACGGAATCCGGCACATGAGCATCGCCCGGATGCGTATGGCCCCCAAGTCGTCGAAGTCCATGTTGTAGAAATCTTCGTTTGCTCTCCAGCTCCCTTTGCTGTGCAATGAGGGTGTTATGTTTGTCTTTAATGGCTTGATCCTGGTCTCCGTCGCGAATCACAAGGAGCTCATGCTCTTCCATCAGTTTAAGGTGAGTTTGCAGTTTGTCTTCCAACTCGTGAAGTCGGGTTTCGATCAGATTCATTTGGACTTTCCGTGGGTCATTATGGCGGGACATAACACAGAAATGGGTATCTTCATCACCAAACGGGCTTGTACGAGACTCGTCCCCCTGGATTCCAGAGCCATGATCAGTCTGCCGGAAATAGGTGAAGCGTGGAGTAAATGCCAATGGCAAGATTTTGGTTTCTGGATTGGACTCTGCCGGCAATACCCAATCCAATTCCACGAAGTCATCCATGTCAATCCAAGTGAAATCGCGGTCCGGAATGGTAAATTGGGACATGTCGACGTTTGCTGGCACTTCTTGTAGTGAAGACAGCATCTCATCCGAAGCATTTTGTATCTCCTCTGCGGTAGTTCCCGCTATGCTTGCCGCGACAGCCCTCAGATCAGCGCGGACAAAATCAAGCTCGGCCCTATAGATCTTCATCCCACTGGTCCTCATCTGCTCTGATTTGCCTTTCGATAAAGTGTCAAAGTACTCGCGCCGCTGATGAAGATCAAGCATGAAATTGTCAATCTTGATCTTCAACCCAGTGGCGTGGACGATATCGTCTTGATAATCCTCCGCATCTTTATGCTTATAGATATGTGCGATGTAGAGTGGCGACAGAAGCAGACCATATTTGATGGTTGCGAGGTGACGCCCAAACTTCTTGCTGGATCTTTCGGGGCCCCTCCAGAGCGGTCCCTGTCGAATTGGCAGAGACATCACTCCCGAGAATAGGGACCACCAGTTGAAGAAGTGGGAGAAGAACCTGGGACTCAAGTGGACGCTGTTGTAGCTTTCCGATGGAACCACATCTGCTCCAACCCAGTCTCTGTCGAAAGGGGCAGCCAGAGCCACTGAAAGGTGAATGAAGTTACTTCGGAAGCCGCGGAAAGCATCATAGTTGGTCAGATCCACGTTATGCATCTGACTGGGGTTTTTCAAAATCACGTCGTAGTGCGGCTTGAAAGTTGAACTCCGACCTCCATCTTCCGACGCTCGCTCAAAGACAAGCCCAGCTGTCCATTGGACGTTCCCCGAAACTTTCATGATCACCTTCTTGAACAGAGCCGCATTCTTTTGTGAGCTGCTGCTGGACATACTGTCTGTATCTTGGTTGCCAGCCTGATCAGGGGAGTTGCGAGCTTCGTGGCTGTAATCCGGGATAGCCAGCACATACTCGCCGCTTTTGACTGTCATGAACTTGCGTGGATCATCCCCGTCATGGATCAGCCATTGTACGTCGTTGCGCCAACACATCACAAATCCGGCTCCGTAGCCCGTCACAACATACGGGTCTCTAGAACCTTTCAACCGGAGCTGAACGTCGCCATCACCCTTCCAATTCACTGTCAAGCGTGAATGGAAGCTGAGTCGAATCTTGTCCCAGAAGCCAACTCTCTCCGAAGGATCTATTTCAGGCTTTGTGAAACCTTCAACGATCATCATCATGTCTTGTATGACAGGCTGGTAGGATGTACCCCACGAGATGGTAGTCGACTGGCTTGTATTGATGTCGATCACCGGGTTCGAATATGTTTTAACAGGCGCCACCGTCCTCCTCACGTCGATTGCAAAGGAAGGGATTTCCTCGCCTTCCGGACCGTGCTGCCCTTTCGGGACAATCTCGACATTGATATGCCGCAAGGATTCCTCGTCACGGAATTCCTCGGCTATGACGAAATCTGTCCGTAGGGACCAGCTAGGTAATCGAGGAGGTTGACCTGAGCGGATGGGAGGGATATGGAGAAGATTCAGAGGATAGTCTCGCAACAATACTCTAGCCTCGCCCATATCTAGACTAAGGCTGACAGGAACGAGTAGTGCATATTTGGTGTCAAAGGGCAGCCCCTTTCCAATGTCGTAGAGAAATCGGGGCAGGTCGGAATGTGGAAAGGAAGGTTTGTCGACCATGAGATGTAGATCACTGATGATCACTGTCATGAGCCCAGGGCGATTAGGAATGGCAAGGATGGTCTCTTCTTCCGCACTATCGTGAGGTGGTTCATCTGCTCCTTGAAACATCTGCCGGACTTTTTGGATGGTGTTGTTCTGTAGTCGTAACATCCAATCAATACGCCTCTTCCAGCTCCTTGCATTGTGCTCTTGGAGCCGTTCCCATGCCTCGCTAGCTTGGATTTTGGCACTGCTGCTCAAAGCACAGATCCCTTCCTTGTCATAACGGATGTATGATGACCTCCTGCCTCGCCTGCCTCGGGAAGTGGACCTTTTGCGTGGCGTACTATCAAGGCTTCTCGACCGCCGAGATCGATGGTCAGAAGAACCTGCAGGGGATCCTTGCCGACTAGACGAAGCGCGGTACCGAGAAGTTGAGCGGGGACGCCGTTCGGCGTTCAGGCGCTTGACCTTTAGCCTGAAGGCGTCGGCACGGGCCAACCGTTGTTTTTGTTCGATGCGGCCAATGCGATAGATAACACCGATTTTCCATTCAAAAGGGTCGTCTTCCAACTCGAAGCACAGAGCCTTAGAACGAAGCGAGACCCTAGGTACCTTCTTAGGGCCCACTGGTTCCTTCCGCAGAATATATTCATTTGTCCGCGTCTTGAACCGGTGATGCAGCTGCGCGATAGCCTTGCCGGCGTTGATAAAGTTGTCAAAGACTTTGTACATCTGCATACCATGGGGAACCGCCAGACGGATGAAATCGGTTGAAACATCAATTGATCTCTCCTCCACCACCCCGGTCTGTGCTTTTCTCTTACCCTCGCGCAGATCAAGGCGAATGTTGCTTGCCCCCACTATCCGCGCCCAGGCGCCCTTCAGTCTCGGCGGTTCTGCATGAAGTCGAAGAAGTTGAGCTCTAAGGAATGGAGCTGACCATCTGTGCCGGCCAGCAGAGACCTGATAGATCTGTAAGAGCATGGCAGGATCTGCAGGCATTTTGGCTTTGACTTGTATATAATTGGCCTTGACATCAACCACGAAAAGCTCACGGCCTCCAGGAACAGCCATGTGCGGCTCCCTGACGACATCCGCTGTAGTGGAGTGGGCCGCAGCACGTCCAGTATCTGGTTTCGCCGACACAGGACCCAAGAAAGCATCCTTAATGATTGAGCCTGCAACGCCTAGCGAATAGAATCTGTATAGCGAGAACTCCAAGTAAAAGGCGCGTATTGTAGAGTGGATGTGGAAGAGCGGTCCTTGCTGATCTCGAGACGTACTGAACGCGATCTCAGACCTTGGGATTGTGGCAAACGGTTTTGGTTCCCATCGATCGAGGGCTTCAATAATGAAGGCTTCGACACCCTTGACGTGAAAAGCGAGTCGGCGGCCATCAGTGGGGTCAGTGTGATGACGCCGAGGGGGCGAGGTGGTTGGCGACTGGAGTTTGCCGCCGGAGAACTTCTCATCATAACGAACCGAAGTGCTGGTTTTCCTCCGCGTGAGAGTATCTCGAACCGTTTCGGCCCGGGACGAGGTGTAATGTGCTGTCCAGGATTCAAGCTCCAAGGCGAAGCCTCGGGTCTGGCTGGAAATAGCTGCATCTACACCAGCGGCTTCGATGCTACATCCAGAGCCTTCAAATTGGATCTCGATCAACCAAGAGGGAAGCGTCCTGAGAAAAACCGTTGGGACAGGCCTCGATTCATCCCTGGTGGGGACATGGCGCTTGAAGTGCCTGACTATACTGTAGATTGCCTTGCTCACTTCTTCCCGAACCATGAGTACGGAGAAGGTGCGGAGATTTCCCGAGACGCTCACAGACACGTCTGTAGACGCAGCTACCTGAAACTTTAGTTCCAGTGCTTCGGCAATAAGGATGTTGTGTTTGACGCCGGTGGAAGCTTGGTAATAGAGCTGTTGCGACATAACCCGAAAATTGGAGCCCAGAGAATATAGTAACTCACCACCTGCCGAGTGTGACGATTCGACGTCCAGTGAAATGGAAGAAATGGAGTTTATGATCATGTCGTACTCGCCCGGGCCAGCGTTGGCAGGGTCGGCCACTGGTAGAACAAACCGTACGACCGGCTCATGGATCGAAAATTTTATGCTTGCTTTTGGAAGTAATCGTGAGATCAACCGATGCTGACTCTGTTGAGATTGGCCGGACTGGTATTTTCGGAACTGAGTAAGCGACAGCAGTCTGATCAGATGTTGCGGTGCCAAATCAAGAGAGGGAGAAGTGACGACGAAATTGGCAAACAGAATATTTTTGTTCCTCTCAGCAACATCCCGATCTTGAGTGAAGCTCATCGTTTTGGCTGGCAGCGTCGTCCTGATTGTTGTGGTAGCCATGGGTATGTACATGACCCTGTTTGGCGTGTAGTCATCCTCATCCAGACTGACTGAGATGGACACGGCAGCGACCAAGGCTTGGTGAGCCACGTCTTCCCTGGAGAAGTACATGCGGTGAGCTGGAGAGTTCTGGTCGAGGCGATGAAGGTCAATACCAATCTCATGGATGACCATGTTGGCAATCAACGGCAAATTGGCCTGCCGGAGAGATTCAATCTCCTTGGATATTCGTACAAAACTCATACCAAGCTGGATCTCTTGGACACTCTGTAATATCGAGCTGAAGAATTCCTTCGAGTCGGCGACGGTTTGGACGATTGACGCTTCCCGGCTGCCCGGGTTATCCAATTCCTCGACAACATCCTCGAACGAGATTTCCTGAACAGGGCTCAACGTTGGAGGCTGTTGTGACAATTTCGCGATTTTTTTGCTCCGAGTCGAGAATTGGAGGATTTCATCCACGGGAACATATAGACGGCCTGCTTTGATGGCAACAGACGTATCGCGCAGCCCTTCTCTCTCCTTGTAAAGGAGTCCATGCACATTGATTGACATAGCATCCAAAATCTCAGTCGGGTCGCGACCACCTACTCCCATTATGATGCTCTTTACTGTGAACACCCACTCAGCCGGCCGCTGGCCACCAAGAGGATCCTTTTTATGTCGGAATAAGCGGCCCCGGTCCAGGAGCTTCCGCCGCGTGTAGACCGCCGCATTAAAGGTCGAAACTTGCACATAGCCGACGCCCACAATTTCAGCAGTAGTGTTGAAGGCGCTGATGTCAAACATGCGCAGGATATGGACTTGACGATGTATCCGCTTAATGCGTTCTTTGACCTCGGTCAGGCGCTTCCACAACTTGCTTTTTCCGGGGGAAGTCCGACTGCCATCCTTGCCCGTACGGTCAGCCGGCTCCCGCTGCTCCGGCGACGCCCTAGAACCGGCATGTTGATCGAACAATGCCGGGTCGAGGGTGACCTTCAAGTCTTCGAATACCAGGCTGATCAATGTCGGCTGAGCAAAGGTAGGTCTATGCAGACTCAATCCGAGTCCCCGCAAATCCACTCTCAGCCCTTCTCTTGGAGTATATGATATGTGTCTCAGACTAAAATAGCCCACTCTTTGAATGGATATACCGGTCGCGATGCGCAGAATCGCCAACAGGACGAAAGAGGACAGGTACAGTAAAACTGCAACCGCTGCAACGGAGCTTGCATTGACCAAAGGCATCTTGGAACGTATATCACCCCCGAATCTTCTCCAACACCGGGAATGGAAAGGTATATCCTTCACCCAGTCCTAGGATCGTCTGAGATAGCGAAGAGATGCTGCGCAATCCAGTCGGCGACCGCGGCGAGGGTCTGTGATTGTATGTGTAGTTGCCATTGCCCGCTGCAGATTGTAACGTTTTCTCCCACTGCGACCAATGCCTCACTCTTCAGCAATATCCCCAGAGCCGGGAACCGCGATGGTCCAATCTTGTGGGCGAGCAGACCGTCAGAGAGATTGCGAGATGCCGATGGGTGCGATAGGCGCGGAGGAAACGGAGGCTCGAGGAGCAGGTAGGACTGGACAGCAGTTGAATCGCGGTATCATCTCATCCTCACAGTGCAGATACACAGGCATGCGACAAGTGACCTACAACTAGAGCAGCTTGCCGGCGAGCCCGGTCCATGCGCTTGGGAGCAGTCCAGGATTATGCACGAGGAATGTCGGCGCGCAAAAGCGGGCCAGATTACTATGTAGATAGGCGGAGGATGCTCCTTGGATTGGAGAGCGTCTCGACCCCGTCCAGTTCACGTTGGTCTTTTGAACGCGCCGGGATGGGCATCAGGTATTTCGCAGAATGAGGTGGTTATTTCGCAGAAACGCTAAGCTACTTTGGGCTCAATTCAGCGTGACGCTAGCCACTTTTGCATAGTGCATATAGCGCCGTATATCACGTAAGTCAATACCGTTATAGGTTATAGGCCTACAGCACCTATAGCACCTACAAATACGTACCTATTATTGCACAACTGCATACCTACAACTGCACGCCTACGACTGCACCCCTCTATCGGCGTATTACAATAGGCATATAGTTGTAGGGGGTGCAGTTGTAGGGGTTGCAGTTGTAGGGGTTACAGTTGTAGGGGTGACAGTTGTAGGGGTTACAGTTGTAGGGGTTACAGTTGTAGGGGTTGCAG